TAATAAAAATAAATCTAAATTAAAAGAAAATAATTATAAATAAGAAATAAAAATATTAAATATATATTTAATAAAAGCTAAATATATACTTATATTAATATTATAATTAAATAGATTTTAATTAGTAATTAAAAAAAATATAATATTTAAAAGAATTAAAGTAATATTTTTATAATTATTATTAAATATATTAAGTATAGTCTAGGAAAACTACTTTATAGTTAATATTTAAATATATTATAAATAATTTTAAAGAACTTATATATATTTATATATATTTTATAAATATAAAGTTTATTTATTTATTATTATAAATAAAGAATTTATATTAAAGTAAAGAATTTAATTTTATTATAAAGTTAAATAATTCTTTATTCTTAGTATATATTAAATTAATATTATTTAGGCTTCTAATATATATATTACCTAATAAGATAAAAAAAAAAAAAAAAAATTAATAAAAAGATATATATAAAAGCTAGCTATAAAGATTAAATTAAGTTTTTAAGTAAATAATAAAGATTTAATATTTATAGAAAATAGAATATATATATATAAAGTATATATTTATTAAGTTAATACTTTATAAATATATTTTTATATAATAAAAAGTAAACTAAAGCTACTAGTTATATTAGAGAAACTAGTAGTAAATAAAAGCTAATTATATATACTAAGTTAATATTTAATGAATACTCTAGTTTAAAGGGAAAATAAGTAAAATAAAGTTTTATTTTAATTAATATATAAGTATTTTAAATATTTATTTTATATTTCTAATAATATATAATTAAAAAAAATAAAGTATTTAGAAAAAAACTTTAAAAATAAGACTTTACTTTAAAACCTAATAAATTATTATAATATAAGTTATATATATATTAAATAGAATTAAAAAAGAATAATAATTTATATAAAAACCTAAATTAATAAACTTATTTTAAATATTAAAATTTTAAAGATATATAAAGTGTATTTTAAATAAAAAGTAAAAAGCTAATATAGTATATTATTAAATAAAAAAAGTAGTAAATTATTTATAATTATAATATATATTAAATATATATATTCTATTATTTATAATAAAATATTCTTAAAATAAAAAGTTATAAAATAGAAAAAGTATTTTAATATTTATAATTATAATATATACTAAGTATATATAATCTATTACTTAGTAAAATATTCTTAAAATAAAAAGTTATAAAATAGAAAAAGTATTTTAATATTTATAATTATAATATATATTAAATATATACTATAGTAAATAGAATTAATTAGCTTATTTTTAAAATAATCCTTTATGTATACTATATATTTATATTTTTCTATATTTTAAGCTTAGCTAGTTTTTATTAAAACTTTTTTTTTTATTTTTTTATTAAATATTAATAATTTTTATTTATAGACTTTATATATACTAGCTATATACTTAATATTTTACTTTATTTATAAATAATTATATTAAATAATATTATTTATTTTAAAAATTATTAAGTTAAAAAAGTAGTTTTATAAATATAAATAAAATATATATTAAAGGTTAATTTAATATTATATTTAAAGTATTAATCTAAAATTAAGAATTATTATTAATTAAATTAGAAATTTATAAGTTTATATTTAATATATACTTTTAAAATAGCTAAAGAGTATTATATAAGTTCTTAGAATTATAAAATTTAATTTTATTAATAATATATTTTTTAGCTATTTATTATATTTATTTTTTTAAAAACTTAATATATATAAAAATTATATTTATAAGTAACTAATCTATTCATTATAATTATTTAATTAATTTTATAATTTTATAATAATATTAATATTTTTTTATATTAAGTATATATTATATTATTAAAGAAATTTATTTTTATTAAATATTTTTTAATAATAAAAATAAATACTTTATATATATTTAATATATATAAAGTATATAATAAATAAATTAACTATAGTATTATATTTAATAATTTAAGTTTTTAATTTATAAAGTTATTATTTATAAAGTAGTTACTTTTAACTAAATTAGTTTTTTTTTAAATTAAATTCTAATATATTTTTAAAACTTTAATAGCTATAAATAATAATTTAATAAAAATCTAAGATTCTTATTTAAATTTAATTTAAGTTTAAAGCTTAAAATATTTTAAATATATACTTTATAAATATAATTTAACTTTTTAAATAATAAATTATTAAAATAAATATAAAATTAAATATAAAATTAAATACTTTAAAATTTTTTTAATAAAATTCTATTTAATATATATTTAATAGAATATAAATATATATTATAAATATTTATTTTAAGTTCTATTAAAATCTTATAAATAAAAAAAATCTTTAAACTTTAATAATATTAATAATATATTATATATTATTAATATATACTTATTAAGTACTTATTTTTTATATATATTAATAATAAAAATTAAAAGTTTTTTAAAAACTTAAAATATATATAAAAAGTTAAGTTTATATTCTTTAATTTTTTTAAATATATAGAATATATATATAAATAATAATAAATATATTTTCTTTAATTTATAATTTAAAAAATATAATAATAAATATTTAATTTTAAAAAAGTTAATATTTTAGCTTATATTAAATATATATATAAATTTTTATTATGTTTATTTTATTTAATTAAAGAAAAAATATTAGTTTTTTTTTAATTATTTTAAATAAAAAATTTATTTAAATATATTTAAGTATTTAAAAAATTTTAATTTAAATATATATATAATATATAATAAGTTAATATTATAAATTATTTTAAAAAATTATATTATAAATTTATTATTAATTTTTAAATTAAAGTTTATTAAAGTTAAATTCTTATATAATACTTTTATATATAAGCTAAGTATATATATATAATAAATAATAATATTACTTATAAAAAAATATTTTTTAAATATTATAATAATTTCTTTTTTTAAATTAATATATTTAATTAATTTTTATTATTTAAACTTATATAAAATACTTAAAATATATATTTATTATAAGTTTAATATATATTTATAAACTAAAGAAATAATAAAAACTACTTTAAATAAAATTTAATTAAAATAAAAACATTTTTATTAAAAATTAATATATAGATAATAAAGTTAAAGATATTATATTATTTTATTATATTTATAATTTAGTTAGTAATAGAATTAGGTAATTTATTTAAATATAATAAGTAATAAGTATATTTTATATATATATAAAATATATAGAATAGAAATTAAATATAATTTAAAAAATAAATATTTAATTAAATTAAATAATTTTATATATATTATATTTTTCTAAAACTTTAAAGATAATTAAAACTTAGAAATATAAATATAAATTTAATATATATAAAAAGTATATTTATTATAAATAATTTTTTAAAAATTAAAATTAATTATTAATATATAGTTTTAAATAAAGTTTTAAATATTTAAATAGAAAATTAATTAAAGATAATAAATATTAATTTAGAAAATTATATAAATAATAAGTTTAATAATATATTAAAATTTAAAATTATTATTATAATTATAATTTATAAATTAAATTTAAGTTTTTAATATATATTTAATATATATTATATAAAGATTAAATTTATATTATTTTTTTAAAATATTATAAACTTAATATATTTATATATATTTATTTTATACTTAGAATATATATATATTTTCTATAATTATTAAAATTATAAAAAAGTATTATAAAATCTATAAATATTTCTTATTATATACTTTAATATATTATTTTAAGTCTACTTTAATATTATTAGCTAATACTAAAGTATAAAACTAGTTTTATAATTAAATAATATTTTAAAGTTTAATTTTATTATATATTAAATGTATATAAAAGATATTTAAATAAATAAATTAATAATATTTAATATTTATATATTTAAAAAATTAATAAAAAACTTTTACTAATAGATTTTTTATTTTAATTTATAGAAATTATATAAATATTTTATAATATTTTAAATTTATTTTTTTAAATTTAAATTATATTTAAAAGATATTAAATAATATATAATAAATATATATTTTATTTATATTTAATATTATATTTTAAATAACTTTATATATATTTTTTTAATTATTTAATAAAAGTAAAATAAATATAAATTTTAATAAATAATATAAAAAATACTTTAAATATATATTTTAAAATAGTTTAGTATATACTTATAATAATTAATTATTTTTATAATAATAACTTAACTTTATAAACTTTAGTTAATAAGAATTCTATATTTATTAATCTTTTTTTAATATATATTTAATATATATTATAATTATGTTTTTTAATTATTTATTAATAATAATTCTATAGCTAAATATTTTTTTATATTTTATATATTTTAATAGTTTATTAAATATTTATTATTATTTAAATTTTATTTTTATTTTTAATTTAATTTAAAAAAATTTTAAATAAATAAAAATATATTTTTTTATAAATATTAATATACATTAAGTATATATATTAAATAGATTTATAGGAATAATATATAACTAATTAATTATTACTATATTAGTATTTAATATATTATTTATAATATTATTATTATATTAAAAAGTAGGATTAAAGAAAATAAAATTAAAAAATTTAACTACTATTTATATACTAAGTATATATAGTAAACTTATCCAACCCCTCTAAGTTTTTCCGGCGCTAAGGAATTAGAACTTATAGTTTAGGGTCGACCAAAGTATTCTTAGGGTCGACTGACCTAAGAGCCTATCGTATAGTATAGTGTATATATCTTTCGTGTACTATTTGACCCGAATCTTTGATTTGATGCACAAGGCTACAAGGATTGACAGTGAGCTGATTGAAGGTTGTGGGTTAATCCTTTGTCAACGGTGAGTGACCTCTCTGCCAGATCTCATTTATGAGCTACGTCACGTTACGCTATGTGAATTGAGGCCATGTGCTAAATAGTGTACCACCAGTACCGTACACGAAATTGACTCTAAGCCCTATCAATGACCAAACCACCGCCTTAGCGCTGCTTTTGCTGCATCCATGTCTGCCTCCGCATTCTCCCCCGTCACCCAAGCAACGATCCCATCAGGTCGTATCAACAAAGACCGTAGACCACCTGTGTCTTTCACTCCCAGTTCAACGTACTCAACATTTCCCTCGTATGATCCATCGAATAGCAGTTCCTTCAAGGTCGAGTCCTCTCCAAAATCAACAAGCATTCCTCTACCCCTTTCAAGTTTGGGACCCAGCCTTGAGCCATCGATCAGCTCGAAATCCGGGGCACTACTTCCCACAAGTGGATGCGTATCTTCTTTTCCTTCAACAAGCTCGTACCGCTGAGTGAGCCCCCAGAAGCGCTCAATCAACAAATTCGCTCCCTCAGTCGTACCAATCAAGTCGCGAATCAGACTTTGAGCTGCTTGGCCATGTGGGTCAGGCGACAGCACGTTGACTTGTGCGCGCACCCAATCTAGCACCCATACTCCGATAGGGTGTCTCTCACTCTCGTATGTGTCGAGCAATGCTAAATCCGCGTTTGCTCTGCCAGACTTTGCCTCCTGTCGAATCGTGGCGGCAAGCTTCCAGCCCAGGTTCATGGCATCACCTAATCCAAGATTCAGACCCTGCGCTCCCACGGGACCATGAATGTGCGCAGCATCGCCAGCCAGGATGACGCGGCCTTTACGGTATTGCGTCGTTTGCATGCATCGATCTGTGAAATTAGAAGCAAGGTGAACCTTCGTGATTTTCACGTCCGTAATGCCTGATATGCGCTCGAAAAGGCTCTGAACATGCTCCTTCGTAATCTCCTGCGATCGATCAAAGGCGCCGTTATCGAAGTCGGTCATGTACAGGGCATTTGGGCCACCAAGAATATACATCCCATTTTTCGTGGGATGGAATCCTGGTTTCAGCTTCTCAAAATGGTCCCAGTCGCATTTGATGGCGTAGCCGGTGAATTTGGGTTCTGTGCCGATGAAGTCAAAGCCTGCCTGTTTGCGGACGACGCTGTGCCCGCCGTCGCAGCCCACGAGCCACTTGGTGCGGAAAGATTGGTTTTCACCCGCATGCACAGTCAGGCTGTCATCGTGTTCGACGAAGCTTGTGACGCCATTACCCCTGCCAATCTCAACGCCCAAGGCTTCGGCACGCTGAATCAACGCTTTTTCGATCTTCTGAATGGTTGTAGGCCCCGGCTGTAAAGATGGACCATCAATGCGGTATTTCCATCGATCTAGGTCGAATTTATTGGCATTGAGGGAAATACCGGCGAAGTGACCGCCGAATTGGAAGCCAGGTTTCTTTTGAAATGACACAGCCCGCTCGCTGGGGTTGTAGATCTTGTCCAGCAGTCCACGGCGGTAGAAGCCTTCGATGGATGGCGTGTTGAGTCCACGTAGGCCTAATGGCATGACTTTCCATTCTGACTCTGGATTGGCGTCGCGCTCGAGGACACGGACGGAGACGCCTGCGATGCGTAGTTCGCAGGCTAGGAAGAGTCCTATGGGGCCGCCGCCGGCCACGATCACGTCGTAGAGCTTGTTCATGATGTAGTGTTTCGAGTGTTTGCTGAATCCTGGTCGAGTGAGATGGAATCCAGCAGTTATTTGCTTTCTGGAGGTCGTGGGGACTACATATGCAGGACCTGCGGCCCCTCATTTCGGACACTGATATCGTCCGACTTTCGACGGAGCTCAACTTCACAGATGGCTGAGACCAAACACCAACATCTTCATAGTCCATGGTTGCACGGAGCCCTCGATAATAATCATATGTATCGCAAATTTCCCCCGACTTACGAGTACGACTCGGGGACTCTCGGGCCCGAGATCCCGAAGATATCCGATCGGCCGACGGGTCAATTTCATCATCAGTCAAAAATCAGCTTCCTGCTCTAACGTACGCGGATCAGAATCCTATTCCAATTATGGTCAATTGAGCTGTGGAACTGTTCGTTTGGCAAGATCTGGACTTCCCTCACTATCGGGGCTGTCTGCATCATTAGACCAGTGCAAGAAGGTGTAGGATGGACTCTTCCGCACTATCGCCGAGCGCTTCTCCTAGAAAGCCGACGTTCGCCTGCGTCAGTTGCTCTGATCGCAAAGTGAAATGCGACAAACAAAGCCCTTGTAGTACTTGTGTCAGACACAATGTCGAATGTATCTTTCGCCCGCTAAAGCCATCCCGAAGGCATCGCAAAATCGTCACGACAAGAGATGAGCTATTGGAAGAGCGATTGAAGCGATGTGAAGCATTACTCCAAGAAAAGGGTATCGATCCGAGTCAAGCAACAGGCACTTCCGTAGAGAGTGCTTCAGAAGTCATGAAACGTCCACAAAGTAGCTCCTCTGATGTACTCGTTACGGAAACTATTTGGCATATGCCAACATCTGCCTCGACCGTATCAGGGCCACAAGCGACAACATTCAAGCCCCAACTACTACGAGGAGAGAAAGGCACAAGGCTTGTCGACAAGTATGCTCCTTTATCAGGATGCGAAGAACGGTGCTAAACCTCGAACAGCAGTCTGTGGTCGAGAGTGTCAGAAGAAGTGCGTTGTCCTTTGTCTGGTCAGCATAGACGATTTGATTCTAACCACTTCCCAGATACACAGTGCGGAGAATGCTCCGGACGAAGATTCAACCGACGATGCAAGCGACGAGGACGAAACGGATTTTGCTTATGTTTTAGGCTCGAAAACACACAAGAGTGCAGCCACACACCCTCCAGCCGAGATCGTTCAACGACTATGGCAGGTCTACGTCGAGAATGTCGATCCCTTGACGAAAGTGGTCCACGTACCAAGCTTGCAGCGAGCGATAGAGAAAGCAATCACTGATGTACACCGCATCCCAAAGGGCTTTGAAGCGCTGATGTTCGCAATATATAGCATGGCTATCTTATCGCTAACGGATACCGAGTGTAAAGAAACACTCGGGGACAATCGAGCGACACTCCTTCCGCAGTATGTAGCTGCTACAAAGACGGCACTCTCACGCGCCAGATTCATGAGCAGCACCAGTGTCGTTGTTCTACAGGCACTTATGCTTCATATTCTTTCTATCCGAGACGACTATGAGCCGCGTGCCGTATGGAGCCTAACAGGAGCTGCCATCCGGATTGCAGAGGGCATGGGTATGCGCCACGATGGCACATTGCTAGGCTTGTCACCTTTTGAGACCGAGATTTATCGACGTATTTGGTGGCAACTCAAAATGCACGACTTTAAAGCATCCGAGCTTGCCGGCCAGGCAAAATTCCGTGACTTTGAGATCGATGCCTCTACACCTAAGAAGCCTGCCAATGTCAACGATAGCGATCTATATCCTTCCATGACGCATGCCGCGCCTGAATCAGAGCAACTTACAGATATGATATGGATCACGTTCCGCTGCGATCTTGCTAGTTTTGCCGCTTCTCAAAAAGTGAGTATGCAGAAACAAGGCAAAGCTGTGTTCACGTCGGAGGAGTACGTCGCCATGGACGACTTAACGATAAAGGATGGGTTCATCAAGAAGATGCAAGATATGATTGAGACGAAGTACCTGCGTTATTGTGATCCAACTGACCCACTACAACTCTTGACTCTACTCTGTGGACGGGCCGCAGCAAATCTTGTGCGATTCATGGCACATCACCCACGCAGATGGGCCAACATGGACCAAGTTCCAGCCGCCGAACAAGAATTCGTATGGTCCATCGTGATCCAGCTCATGGAACAATTCAACATGATGCGAACCAGCCCCCAAATCCGCCGGTTTGCCTGGAACGCACCCTACTTCATCCAGTGGCACGCTGTCATTCATATTCTCGACACCCTTCGGGCGCACCCACTCCGTCCAGATGCCGCTAAGGCTTGGCAACTTATCGGCTCGCTTTATGAACACAATGAAGCGATGCTCTTGAGCCTCAAAAGACCAATTCTCGTAGCGGTTGGGAACCTCTGTCTGAAAGCGTGGAGCGCCCGCGCAGCAGCTCTTGCAAGGGAAAACAGACCCCCTCCGAAGGAACCGGATTATATCGCCAAGCTACGAGAGCAACGACAGGCTGCTAAAGTCCGGAGAGAAGCCGCGCTCGCGAAGAAGAGAGGAATGGGCAATAGCGGCTTGCTAGCGAACAACGTTAAGATCACAGACCAAGGTCTTTATCGCGCATCATCAGATTCAGTGAGTGAAGATAAGCGACAACAATTCTCAGCAGCGGCACAAGCACCAAACTCGGGTCTGGATGATGCATACTGGCTCAGCGACGGCATGAATAACGATTTATTCAACGGTGGGGCATCTGATCCAATGAATTTAGATAGCGATGCCATTCTGGCGCAAGCTTCGTGGACTGATACTCCGAACAGCGAGGTCATTGATTGGGGTCAGTGGGATAGTTGGTTTGGCAGTCTTGACCCGCGCCCGAATGCTGGCGTAGGGGTGAATTGAGGGAATTGGAGTCATTTTCTGTCCGCATCACTGGGCGTGATATTTTTTTTTCGGTTTGTTTTCCAATTCTTGCATAGCCCTCAACATACATGTTGGATTTCCGAAAAAGTCTTCTCCTCACTGATTTATACCTAAAACTGAATTCTCTCCGCTTGTTTGATATGCTCACTTGCCTGATTTTGCGCGCCTAGACCGTGGGCCATTCATTACTGGGAAAGTCTTATGGCTGCATTCTTAACTTCCCCTTCATAGGCGTAATATATACGGGAAACCATCCCCACGCAGTTCCACTAGTGAGACATACCCCAAGAAATACATCATTTTTTGTGCAGCCTTCTCTCCATCATAACACCAGTAAATCAAACCCTTCTCTACCCACAACCACTCTTGTTCCTGGGTTCTCGAATATCGTCAGCGTTATCTCAACCGTGCACGAGTCAGCTTAATGAACATTCGTGCCAGGTCTACTCAATTCCCTCTGATGGAACTTACTTAGAGAGATGATCATAGTTTTTAAAACGTCCGTTCATGATCCCGTCGCTTAGTATTTCTGCCTTCTCCGACCTTCTATCTGTTTCTAAACCCTCTGTACAGCTCATTTGTGAGGTGGGAGGACATTTCATTTTCAATGAGGGAGGGGTGACGATGACTTTCTTGGAGGCAAATTAGAGAGGGCAGGGGAAAATGGAAGGCCGCTCGGTGTGCAGTCGCGAAATCAAATTGTATTAAAGCTACCCAGTCTATGGACACGCGATGAAGTTTTTCGAACCGAACGTGTGTGTATTAAGAGAAGCCAACAACCTCCCCTTCCCCTTCCCCAACGCCTCCCTACCCCTCTCACCACAGACCGCGACCAACCTTCTATTCCCCTCTCCTCACACTATCTATGGACACACAGGATAATTATCCGGATAGGTCGAATTGTGATAAGTGTAGAACTGCCCAATACTACTATCCGCGGTGAAATAACTGCCGCCTCCAGTGCTGGTGAGATCGCCGTGATAGACCGTGCAGTTGAAATTGCCATTCGACAGCACATTCAAGTAGAGAGTATGATACGGCGGGCACTGGTTCTGCCCAACTTGACTGCACAAATCGATCGCAGTGCAGGGATTGTTGTTGGCTGTGGCTGCGGTGATGACGGAGTTGAGCGGCGGATACGTGCCTGGTTGGTCGTTTGCGGGATTGCTGTCGAGCAAGCGCAGCCCCGTGCCGTTGTTAAGGAGGGAGAAGCGGCTGTTGCACACCGAGGGGTCGGTGACCGGGAAGGAGTAGAACCGACCGGGGGAGTTCTTGAAGCCTGTTGACTGTGTCCAGGGCTGGTAGTTCGAGGCGTTGAGCTGGTTGTGCCACAGCAGACAGCGCCACGTGTGCGTTGAGTAGTCGGCGGTGATGTCGAACATGTGATAGTTGTAGAAGCGGGTGCGACGCCGGCATTCAGTCACGAAAGAGCAGTTGTCGTAGCTTTCGAGTGGGTAGTCGAAGCTCAGCGGGCTTGGCCAGACCGCGTAGTTGTCGTTTCCAGGATTGTTGTCGACGAGACGGGTGCCGAAGCCTTGGTAGAATTGCTTGAAGTTTCGGACCGTGCAGTTGGGCAGGCCATAGTAGGCTTCGCCGTGCCCGTAGTTTGATGACAGGTCGGTGACATAGGAACTGTCGTTTAAGGTTGAATGGTAGATGGCGCATTGCCAAGCTGGAACGCTATAGTCGAATGCTACTTCATATGTGAGGTAGGAGTTAGTAACCGCAGCATTCTCACAACTTGTTCGGGCCTGGCAGAAGGTCTGTGAAGCGTCGATGGTCTGCGTGATGCGAGGATAGATATTACTATCCCAAGCGGCTGGGTTATTGATTGGTAGGCGCTTCCCAGTACCGTTGTAGAATTGATTGAAAGCTGTACCAAGGTCACAAGTGTAATTGGTAGAGAAAGTCGGTGTTGCCGACGCCGATGATGCTGTTGAGGCTGTACTTGATCCTAGTATCCGTGTTAGATACTTGCGATGGATTTCTGAGAATTTGTGAAGAACAGCCAGGTAGCTGATTGGTTTGAAGACAGGCAGAGGTTGGAAGTTGGGTATAAGTAGGGACAGGCCATGAGAGAAGGTCAAGGTGCCATTGCAGTGACAGAGGCAAATTGACACGCGGAGATACAGACTCGTTTTTTGGGGTCGCAGACATGAAGAGAGGAATTGCAGACTCACCACTTGTACTTGATCCTGAGACCCCTGGAGATGCTGCGCCTGGTAGGGTTGTTAGTATGTTCAATGCGACAAGGGAAAGAGAATGATACTGGAACTCTTACCACCTGATGTTGACGATACAGAGGAGCTTGAGGCCGAACCTAGCGTTCAATTATCAGCCACGACTTTCGCAACGGATGACATTGATTATGAAGTCTAAACAGAAACTTACCACCTGCATTCCCGCTAGGAGTGCTTGAAGCACCTGAAGGAGACGGGCTTGAGCCTAGATTAACGCCATACTGTCAGCCTGAATGATACGAATGATAACCGGAAGTAACAAATTGACGACTTACCACCGGAAGATCCACCACCTGAAGCTGACGCTCCTGGTGAAGACGACCCACCCGCGCCTGCGCTTGGAGAGCCCGTTGGACTAGATGATGCACCTCCAGCAGAGCCAGAATTAGAAGGCGAAGATGCTGCTCCTCCAGATGGACCTGAAGATGGTGATGGTGATGGTGAAGCACCCGATCCCCCGTTACTAGCACCGGGAGAAGATGAAGCCCCACCAGATCCTGATGCGCCACCGTTGGGAGAACTTGAGGGTGTGTTGCCATTACCAGAGGCTGAAGGTGACGGGCCGCTTCCACCACCAGAGGCAGATGCACCGCTTCCACCACCCGACGCAGATGGCCCACTGCCGGCATCAGACGCAGATGGTCCAGAACCAGCACCTGAAGCACCCGCAGCAGAATCGGATGCAGATGGACCTGGGCCAGCGCCAGCGCCAGAACCAGAAGCGGATGCCCCATTACCAGCACCAGAAGCAGCAGCCCCAGAAATGGATGGAGATGGAATGCTGCCGGCTCCAGAATCACTAGGTCCAGCTCCAGCGCCACCTCCAACTTCAGATGCAGACGGAGATGGACTACTACCAGCGTCCGATGCGCCAGCGCCAGAGACTGAAGCAGACGGACCACCCTCAGCAGTTGACGCACCAGCGCCAGGAACAGAAGCCGTCGGGCCACTACCAGCGCTTGACTCACCAGCACCAGGAACAGAAGCAGATGGACTCTCGCTGGGACCAGGAGCGCCATTATCAGAGCCCGAAGCGGGCGGGCCATTGTCGGATATAGATGCGCCTGCTGACGGCTCTCCACTTGGGCCAGAGGGACTGGTGATGATAGGTGTAGCGGGGACGGATGCACCGCCAGATGAAGCTTGGGGGCCTAGTTCGGTTTGTGATTCGGGATCGCCGATGTATCCTGGACATGCAGCCGCTATTTCGCGTTAGCTTGCTCGATAGCATGTGGGATAAGAGCCAAAGGGTTTCATACCTGGCTCAGCCGTGAGGTATACCCTCGTACACTCGCTCGGTGGGGCAACGGTGAAGTAGGTAGTGATATCGTCGCTGGTAGGAAATGTGCAGAAGACGGCGAGATTGCCCAAGAACTCTGCATTTCTCCATTCCAAAGTGCCGTTGTTGATTCCCCAGAACGTCGTGATATCACCGGGGCTAGTGGAAGGTGTGAACACCGCCGAAGCAACACCGGTCGTGGCTGAGTAGACCAAGTCGTCTCGATTGTAGACTGATAGGATACCATCTGAGTTCAATTGGTAGCCAGTAGAAGTCTTGCAATCATCCTGCGAGCCATTGCGACTTGCGAATCCACTTGTGGAGCGCGCGCCCGGATTGAGAGGTTGGCTGAATGCGATGAGGAACTTCAGTCGAGGTGGAAGTCCGGTGCTCCTGGATACGGTCAGCTTTTGTGTAGGTACGGGATGAAGTGGACTTACCCAGAGCCTCCACTTGGAGTGGGACTCGGACTGGCAGGACCCCCTCCGCCGCCGGCGCCGTTTGATCCAGATGGGCCAGGAGAGACGCCTGGCGATCCACCGGCACCACCAGCACCACCGCCGCTGGCAGAGGCTCCAGGGCTGCTGACACCACCTGGAGGATTGAGCCCTGAGTTCGTGGGTGAGCCTGGTCCACCGGAGCTTCCTCCAGCACCATTGCCTTGGCCTGGCAGGCCGGAGATGGAGGGAGAGCCTGGGCCTCCTCCAGTTCCGGAAGGGCCACCAATACCACTAATACTGGGTGTTTGCTGGCCTGAAAGACTTCCTGCTGGAGTTGCGCCGAAGCCAGAGCTCAGACTATTGCCTGGCCCTGATGGTAGACCGTTTGCAGAACCTCCAGAGCCGCCAGAGCCTGCAGTTGCAGCGCCACCAGCCCCAGATATGTCGGATTCACAAGTACTTGATGGCGGAGGGAGAAGAGGAGAAGTCGGATAGCAGATGGCTGTGTTGCTTGTGATGGTGACTGTCTTGCAGTGAGGGCATTTTTCGTCGAGTTTGGCGACTTCAGCTCTCTCGGCGATGTGATGTCCTACTTGAGCAACGTCTTGTAGTATTTTCGCTGTTGCTAATGATGCCAAGTAGAGCACCGAAGCGTTGATTTTCATGTTGCTTTTGGTAGTTCAGAATGAAAATCAGTGAGTGAGTACAAGACATGGCCGAGAAAGTCATATAGCATTGTTGGGGGTGTTAAAATTGCATTCCGCAATTTATTCGCGTTTGCACACGTTCTTGTTTACAACCAGGGTCCCCATGGATTTGACCAGACAACAAAGTCTCTGATGAAGGCCGGAAAACCAAGGTAGCATCCATGCCTCTCCTAAGATGAATCCTCTGGTCTTCGAATACCATTGAGATGCTGTTGATACAGATAGAGACTTATGAGTTGGCCTTGTCGAGGTCGCCAAATGTGCCAAGACTGCCCATGCTTTCTACTTGCATCTCCTTGCTTCGCGGAAATGAAGGAATTTCCCGCTGTCAACGAGCCTTCTGGAACACCCTGTAGGGCGTTCTCGACTCTGAACCGTTCATCGAACTCAAATTCCTAAAATGTCTCCGCCGTAACATTTTCTTCGAGCGCTAAACCTAGGCCAATTTGTAAAAATTGATCAACATAAGATCCAGTCTTCCAAAAGAAGACGCCGATGCCCCTTGTTGCGCCTGAAAAATGTCAGCAGGTTCAGACGATGCCTATAGCTACTTGTGTCTGACTTAAAGAAGCCCATCCTGCTACTCTTTGTGACAGTATACACCTATTGTAGAGAGGATGCGCAGCCACCCAGAGATCGTAATAGGTGGTAGTCGCTTCTTGTACCATCTGAGCTTCAGGGTCGAAACCTGGGAGATAACCCCACGGGAAAGCCCTTTGCAAAACTATTGCAAGCGTACAGCTCCCTATTCATGCATCTCAGTCGTCGTACGCGAAAGGCACGCGGGCTAAAAGTTTCTCACCGGACACGTATCTTTTTGGGAGCACTTGGACCGCCAGTTTGTCACTCTCGTACGTGTGCTGTAAGCGGAATTGAATTTCTGTGTACATATGAAGAGATACATCCTCGGAATAAAGCTTTTGTATCGCTCCATTGCAGTCGTCCGGATTATAGCCTTGACCAGCCCAGTCACGATATCTAGTGCAATTGATGGTCCATGGATCGTCCGATGAGCCGTTTACGGCTTCAAGAGTAGCAAGCACTATGACAGACTGGTGAAGCACCAAAAGAAGGTAGGGAACGAGCAGTGCTATCTTGAATGCATACGAAAGTGACCAAGGCTCCATAGGCAATCGTGAATGTGACCAATGCTACGCATAGCAATCAGACCTAAAGTCTCTGATTTAAACAATCAATTGGTTGGTGGACCAGGTGCGCTAATTGTCGGAACCAAGCCTGCCAATGTCTCAATTTCCCACATCAAAGCGTTGGAGACAACAACGGGGACCAAACAATCCTAGAGACCCTTCGCAGAGTCTCAAATATTTTGACACAGACATTTCAATCAAATTGAGCGTGCACGTGGTGATGGAGAATCCAAATCGAGATCTCAATTAGGAGATGAATCCTATCGACTTCGATGTAGGTCTCTTAGGTTGTTGGGGATTTTGCCAGCCACCTCTGCGCGTACATCTCTTCATGTCCGGTCTAGAAGCACTACATTGCTCCAGGGTAAGACCACGGCAATTATAACAGGTTGTTATTCATGTTGGATGGGAGGTAAAAGGAGGGCGATTATAAACGCGTGGTGAGCGCGCCAAAGTGGGCTAGGCTCAAATCTGACTAGCGCATAAAATTTCTGTCATCTCCAAATTACATTCCTGGCATCATACACGACAAACATTGACGTTGTTGCGACCCGGTAATTCAGCCAGGCAGAAACACGGGACTCAGTACTTCGAGTTTGTCACAAGGTCATGATTCGGCACTTCCTAACAAGCTTCTGATTGACGTGAAGAGCTGGGGATCCGAGCAAAATGAAAGGAATAAAAGACTTCGAGCATTGCTTCCTTTGCGATCTACGCTGGCACATAGGGCGACCCGACGAGACCTGAACTCGCCCATAATGACACTGCCATGCCTCCCTCTACAGCTCTTTGTACAAAAGAGCAACAGTACTTGCGCCAATTCACGCAAGTTAGAAATTGGGTCATACTTCAACATTCTCGATGAAGGGGTTCATTGAGAGGCCCGCCATGTCCAAAAGAGCGTTCAGGCCAGTACTACACTCGTTCAGGAGATATTCGCCCCCAGTGTTCTCGCGCAGATTCACCTGCAACGGAAGATCAAGAGCTTGGTCATATATTGCATATCCTTCGTGGGCATTCTAGTGGGGTTCTCACGGCAGCTACCCGAGCATTATGACCGAGTACGCCTACCTAGCATCACGACCGTGCGTATTTGTGCTTGTTCTGCTGCCGTGAGAGCATCCCAGTCGATACGGGTAGACGTACGCCTGGCTGGGCTGATCTAGCCGCCAACGCACCTTGTTGCCATATGGTCGATGCGTGTTGGGGCCGCATGCCACCGTCTTGAAGAGCTGCCAAAATTCTAAGATCAGAATCACAGGCACGTCATCTGCTCGCGAACCATTGAACAGCAGCATATACCATTGTTTACCGCTTTCCCAGTCCGCCTTGTCCCCATTCAATACGTTCCCTCGAGATTCTTAATTTTGTGTACCAATTGTGGCGAAGGTCCCTCCATTCATGCAGATGCCAGCCCAGCGTGAAGGCTCTACTCAAACCTTTCAGATTGATGGCTGATAGTCACTGACATCTACCAGTCCTCACTAGCATGAGAGGCTTTGGCGTCGCACTAACGGCTCTATTGCCCGAAACAAGCTTGCGCGTTGGTCTCGACGCAATGACTATGATAAGACGCGTCCATGGCAATATAATTGGTTCCAATGGCTGAATGTAGCTTTTTGTTCTCTTATCAGAAGACACTGAAATGCCCGACGAGGTTGATCTCCAGCATCACGTCCATGGACCATTTCAGGGTCCAAGGTCTTGAACTTAATAGAGAGACTTCGCTTGAGTGTTGTTAAGACTCAGGCGTTATCTCGATGACTTTAGGTCTGCGAGAGTCCTCATTGCCCAATATAGTACGAAGGTGCTGTGATCCACCGGCGGCAATACCAAGTCGCGTCCACGTGTGAGACACCACTAATGAGAAACACCCACTAAGCCAAGACCGTTGATGCGAGCAGCCTGCGCGTCCCGTAACGTGCGGAAGATTTCACGTCAAGGCCACTGCGTCTCTCCGAAACCCTGGCGCAGGAACTGACTTGTTGGCAATTATAGATCCTCGGTATGAGCAGGTCATTTGTTGCCATCGCTCGCCACTTCTTCACACGTTTCGATATTCTCAAGTTCAGTTGCAAAACAGAGCTTCTCAACGTCGTATGCGAATCGCGGCCTTCTCTGTCCCGGCTTCGCATTTGAAGCCTCAACTTCAGGTTTTGTACGCCAGGATCTTCAGCCAAGGCTTACTCCACAACATTTTCGTATGAGATCTATAGATACCGATCTCTACAGCCCTGTCCGTCTTTCTTGGATTTGCCACACGCACTCATGCCGCCAAAGTATCAAATTCGAAACAGACTCTAGCGGTGCTTGAAGAACATCAAACATTCGCTCCAGATGTCAACATGGCTGATTGCTACCGCTCTCATAGCATGTGCGATCGCACTGCCACGAGATCCTGAACATTCCCAACCCATCCAATTAAACCTCAGCACCTACTTCATACCAGAGAAGATCTTCAACGGACCCCCAATCAATGCCACACTGACGTCGAATTCTGAACCAAGTCTACTCGGCGATGGTTGGCAAATCAGATACGAGATAAACAATGACTCCCCAGTGAATTTATCTGCCGTACACGTCGATGAAACCGTCCGCTCAGCATTCGTAGACGCGAGAGGCTGGCCACCTTTCCAGTACATGCAGCCGGATCCCCAAAGGTACAATTTTCATAGTTGGCCTGAATATATTTTCATTACAGGATACATAGAGAATGAAGAGCGACTTGAATGGGGATGGCTGGCTGTAATGCTTACGTGGATTTACCTCTTCATCGGACGGAATCAGTACTCGAATGTGACTTGGAAGCCGGAGCAAGTGTTTATCACGAGGTACATTCCGGGGAAGTACGAGACTAACGGGAAATTATTGGGTTGGCTAACCACGACGACCGATCCTGACTTGAATGTCACCAATGGATATTCTTTGGGTTATGGATCCTCAGCGGCGAATGGTTCGGTTTCATTACCTACTTTAGCCATGTCCACATCTTAGAAGAGGCTGCAGGTACATATTTTGTTACACAGCAAGGCACCCTAAATATTTTTCGTAAAATGGCGGGCTCTTAGTGTCGTTTCCATATATGTTACATGTCGCTGTTGACTATCATAGTCTAGCAGACGTGGTAAATATCTTATGATAAGGGACTTGCGCAACCTTCAAAACAAAATCTTTATTCCTAAGAAGCCTTCTCTAAAGGTATATAAAAGCGCTTACCGACTAATCATTCAGAATTTAAGAAAATGGACCCTACGCCATACTATCCCTTTAATTGGCGCGGTCTCTATTTTCTTACGCCCTTTAATATCTACTTAGTAACGTCCTTAAGAACTTTTATTAAAACCTTCCCTAGCAATAAAGTCTCGGCGGAGAAGGCGCCTTGAGGCTATAATAAGAGAATAGACACCTCAAATGCCAGCTAAAGGAATAAGATACGGCATAGAATATCAAGGGGGCTATAATTCAAGCCTTTCACAAACCGCCACATCTAAGATCGACCTGAATCCGCTAATACCCTGACAACCACCAGCCACTCGATATCGTACTGTCTGGAGGTCGTTGTCCACGAGCTGGCTAGAGAAAGTAGGTATGCACGTAGGACCATTTTTTTCTTTTTGCAATGAATTGGCAGCTGTACATTATTCTGGGAGAACTGGCAAAAAAATTCCTTGTTTCTGCACGAGAGCGATTGGAATTAGAAGGAGTGGGATGGGGCGAGTAGGTGCTTCAGTGGTATAAGAAAGCTGCTTGTGCGTCTTTGGCGAACCTAAAAGCCGGTCGTGGAACCATTACGTCTTACGTATAAACCTACTATTCCTGATCGCCCCCCTCAGCTGTCCCAATCTCCCACCATTTCATCCATCCTCTCATGCACCGCGGCCCAGGCAATGATATCAAGACACACTCGTCAATCCAACAAGCCCCGCCCCCGCCCCCGAAACCCCGCCCTCCCCCTCCCCCTCCCCCTCCCCAGTCCCTTCCCCAAACGGCCCCCTGATCGTCACCGACAGCCGCCTTTCCTCACCCCTAAACACCCCGCTCACACCCATATTGATATCCGTTCGATCCGGGTTCGGGAACCAGAACTCCAACGTGCCGCTATATTCCGGCAATTTGTCGATATTGCACTTCAAGCGCGAGGACGGAGTGTTGCGTAGTGGGCCCTCGCACGTGTTGAGCCACATGTCATCGGCGGGTTGGGAGTAGACTTCTGCGCAGAACTGAGAGGTGGAGTCTGCGTACCAGCCTTGCAGCTGTTGTGTCGGGGCCGTGTTAGCGGGAATAGGGTCATCAATGGGAGAGGGGTCAGGGGGTTGGGAAGGGGGGGGGGAGGAAGGCATACTCTCATCAAATGAGCCGGTGAGAGCTCGAATTGGTACGCTCCTTCAGGAAAAGGCCCACACAGATGCCCACCGCCAATCTCGGTTTCGTTAGTGGTTTCTGCAATGAGAGGCATAGAGAGCGCCGTTGTGGCTAGAAGTGTTAGCAGGCCGTAGGCCGGTACGGGAAGCATTGTCTAGGGTGAAATAGAGAATATGTTGGTCTTCGGCAAGGACGAGTCAGAGGCTGTTTGCTCGATGTTTGTTCGACGAGTGTCAGTGCGCAGGGCGCGTGTTTGCTTGTGAGTCAGTAATGTTTCGCGCGGTCGAGATCTGGGGGGAGTGTGCGAGGGTGGTTCCGATTTGCGATCGTGGGATGCGAGCGCGAGTGAGTTGAGACAGTCGTTCAGATGGCGATGCAGGAACTTGCGACAGGCTGGCTGGTTTTTCTTCATTGTGTTCGGGGATTATTGATGTGAAGGGGATGGAACTTGTGTTATTGATGTCCGCAGTAGTGGAAGGTGTGGTTGTATCTAGCCAAGAGGAAAGATGTGTTGGACGAATTGGTGACTTTAGATCAGCATAGTATTGCTTGCAATATTATCTTATAGCAGCTATAAAATCTTTAGTGCCTTCTCTGAATTATAACAGAAATGCTAGAGGCACTAAAAGGGTATGAAAGAATTAAGAAACGACTAACTTTTCATATATTTAGAATTGAAATGACTCGAGGCGCTTTGGACTAGATTAGCGACGTCAATTTCAACGTTTATGCTGCTCAGTACTACCTCTCCTAGTACGACTTCAATCAGCACCTGCCACATTAAAACCTATGACCTAATGTCCTCGTCCTGCAATCTCTCACATAAGCTTGAAAATTAGCGATCTTAAAAGATTTCAAGATATCCACAAGCCATAATCATTGACAGCGTCTTCTCCGATAACCCAAACAGCGAGCTGAACTACGAGTACGGGGTTCCGGCAGCCCATCTATCACAACGCATCGCCAACAAACCCCGGCGGCGCAAGAGCAAGTGGCTGCTCCACATGAACTGGATACGTAGGCAAAGCATCTTGGGGGAACTCCCCATCGATCTTCACACCACATCTCACGACACGCTTACCACCGTACCCAGGATTCTCGCACACCCAGTCCTTCCCGCCTACATCGTCGGGCACTTTGACATGCGCGAGCTTAAGAAACCCCTCGTCCTGAAATGTTACGCTGCGAGATCTTATCAGCACATGCTTTGAGAATGTGTCCATTTGACAGATAGGGCCATGTAGAGTGACCCTTGGGTAGAAGTCCCCCCCCCTCCCCCCTCTTTAAAGGGCAGGAGACGAGGAAACGGCGCAAAGACTCACGTATGCCACACATCGAGCTCAAAATTCGCCTTCGTCCAATCATCATCGTCTTTCGGCGCTTCCGCAATCTTCAACCCTACACTACTCACGTTGACGGTGCCGCCATACCCGTATCCGTCGTCCTCGAGGCACGGCGCCATATAAGGAAACACTTGCGCCCCCCGCCTCCCCAGCCAGCGCTGAAGTGGCACGATTTCCCCGCGCCCCAAGGGTCGGTGAAGTTGAAGATCAAGGAAAAGACGCCTTCGCCGGCGCCGAGGTCGTCGCGCGCGCTGAATTGCAGGCCGGATACTTGGAGGTCGAAATTTGCGGTCGGGTTGGAGGTGACTTGGAGGGCGTTGTTAGGGGTTATGGTTTGCGCGGTGGTGAGGAAGGTGAGGGAGGAGAGGGTGAAGAAGCACGATGGGAGGGAGGACGGGAGCTTCATTGCTGCGTTGAGGGGGAAAGGGGGGCGAGCTGGGCTTGATGGGTGGGGTGGTGGGCTGTTATCACTAGATATCTGGTTTGCGGACTTATAACCTTTTTATGGTGGTTTGGGAAGGGCTTTTTATACTTCTCGCTGGCACCGCCGGTGTCGTCACTCGCTTCAGTCGTGTCGACCGCGTGTCGCAGGATCTTTAGATATTATCCTGTGAAGGCTGCTCGCTTGTTCTGTTGATGCGGCTATGGTGGGATTGCTGATTTGTTTCTAAACGTTCGGCGTATGATCGACATATTCGTTCATTGAGAATCGACATTGGTTGAACTGCTTTTGATTTCAAGGCATTGTCTTGCTTCACGTAAAAGAAACGCTGTCGAGTCCAAGCAGAAGTAGCTCTGAGAGAATAGCTCTGGGCGGTGCACGCGTATTCGAGGAGGCTGTAATGTGTGAGGAGCAGTGCGAATGTCTCGGATCCTTCTCAATTAGCGGGTGTGTCGTAGGTTCTTATTATATCAATGTGATCTTGAGAAGTCAGTCGCAAAAGGCACAAGTGCCAAGATTGACGCTTTCGCTCGCGTGAGGTAAGTGCTAGAGCCTTCTCTATCAAGGTGTAATTCGAAGTGCAGACATCTTAAGATCAAGGCTAATAAGAATTACACCTTTTTGGATATCTTTTGCGATTTAAGGCAGTCTTCTCCACCTTAATGAAAATTAATAGAGACTCCGTTGGGGTAATAAAATTTCTCTTCATTAACTTCCTCCAGCTACACTTCGATCAAAATGACATCTCCAAGTACTACCATCTTAACGCCAGACTTTAGCAGCAACTAGGAAGCCCCATCTTTACCTCCTATCTCGACCAATGACCCGATGGGTCTCCTCTCTGTCCCGTCTTTGTCCCGTAACTCATATTTCCCGTCAAAACCTCAAACATCACATCTTCACCCCACACATCTTTACAAAGCTCCGTCTCCTTTCTTAGGATCCTCTCTCTAGTTTCTTGATCTCCCGCGCCAACCGACGCAGCGTTTAGGAAGAGGCACATGGCCAAACTTCCCAGGGGCCGATAAATGTCCGCTTGCTCCGCTAATTCCAAAATTTCGCTTGCCAGCTGTGCTGAGTGCTGCTTGACGGCGGCCGATGGACCTTGGAGCAGGGTTTGTTGATTGTTGAGGATGAGGTTGAGTGAGAGCGCGGAGGCAAGGGTTCGGAGAGCGTAGCAGTGCGAGCGTCGGGCCTCTAGAGTGAGTTGTGCACCATCGGCAGATGTTCGCGACTTATTTCGTTGTTGCCAGCGATTGCGCAGGTCGTTGAGGATGGGGATGAAAGTACTTTGGACGCAGTAGAGCTCCAGAAGGACCTCATGGGGGTTTGGACTGGGTTTTTGGCTCTCCGGACGGAGAACTTCGCGGCACGAGGAGACCACGTGTGTCAGGCGGGCGAGCTGGTTCATGAGAGCGGTATCTGTTGGGCCATTTGAGACGCCCGTAATAACGAGGCTCTTCCATTCTCGGCGATTATGGCGCATATCCGAGCCAACTAGGGCTTCGACGAGCTATCATGTAGCCCCCATGTCAGCGAGCGGTCTAGGATTAGATGAGATTTACGTACGGCTGGACCTCTCAGCGCGGACAAGACCACGCGCTCGAGGTCGTCACTCGGATTTTGAGACCTGCGATCATTGAGGAACTGAATGGCGCCTCGATAATGCATGGCAGGGGCCTTATTGGCGCCCATAAAAAGCTACCCCGTGTATCAGTGTTAGATAGGATACATGGGTTTCCATCGTACCACAAACCTCGCAGATGGGCAGCATCATGACCGCACATAGCGTCTCCGGGGTCTTCGCTTTGGCAGGGACATCGATACATCGGTGCAAAGCAGTCAAGGCTCGCGAATGCTTGATCAGAAGATCGGCATTGGGCTCACGAAAACCGCTACGGTATCTCTTGTACCCCGCCACGAGGGCCTCTGCAGCGGCATCCAGCGCCTCATTCCTCCCTAGCCGCTTAGGCACTTCATTCAGGAAGCCCCCAAAGTTTCCAGCCAGCTGGTAGCTGACATCGATAGTGGGGGACACGGTACCAATGAAAGCCCCTGTCAAGGTCGTCAAGCTATTGTTTAAGCGCTGTCCAGGGTCTACAGCGAAGGCTACTACTGCGCTCGTGCTTGAGGTGGGGAGTGCTGCGCGGTAGTAGTCTTTCAACCGCTGGCTCTCGTCTTTGAACGTGTAGCGCTGTCTGCCGAAGCCGACGCAGGGGATATCGGCGTGGCAGCAGTAGGAGCAGCCTGAGGTTAAAGACGCGTCACACTGGACTTCTCAGTCTTACGTTGTATAGTACTACACTGGTCTCATACCTTTTTCTTGCGCCGACGGCAAGCATCGCAGCCAAGGCTTCTGGGGACTCCTACCATCGCGGCTTATTGGAGGAGAAATAGGAGACATATGGCGAAGATGTCGCCACATTTAACGAGAATCGCACACGAGCACACCGCTGAGCTGAGTCAATGTTGAGATGAGTAACGATGCGACATGAGGTTGAATTGCACGTAAGCAAGTGCTCTCTCGCCCCGACCAATCAGCAGTCCGTCGCTGTTTCTGACCAGAAGCGGTTAGCATGAGCGCAGCACCCTCTTGCGGCAGGCTCAGGCCTGTCAGTACCGAGAAGTCTAGACAGTGTTGAGTGATAGATTGATAAGACTTTGATTGCGGGGATAGCACAAGTAGAGCCACAGAGTAATTGGAGAAAGCGTCTGCTGTTGGAAGGAAGTGGAGGAGGAGGCAACGCGGAGAAAGATTCTGAAGTGCCAAGACTGAGTGTCGGGCAGTCAGTGTGGAAGACTTGGCAATCTACACGATCTTTCAAATCTTATCCCTGACTACTCAGGCTACTTTGCGAGTCTATTCTTAAGCCCCTATCAGCTCATTCTTCGGCTCTGAATCCTAAGATTTCATCTCATAGCTTCTGCGAAAGTTCATCACCAGAAGTGTCTGACTCATGGTTCACGAATCAAAGTCGCGAAATGAGTACTCTCATGCTAAGGTCGAGACGTGTGGCAGAGGGAGCAACGCATGGGCTCGGCTTGCTAAAAGGGCAGAAGCGCTCTGCAAGCACCGTCCGTCAAGTGACACCGTATGCAGTGTTCGGACTATTGAAAGGCGCTGGTGATTCTCGTTGCAGCTGCAAGTACCCGTTCTCGTCGCCGCTCGGGTCAGGCGGTGCTGCGCTGCCTGGAATCTCGCTCAGGATAATAACCAGTCCTTCATAAAATGGTCGCCAGAGGGAAAACGTGCAATATCTGCGCCATTACCCCCGTTTACTCTCACTTAGCGTAGATCTGATCTAATGGCTGAGCGAAGTGTTCGGCCTCAACCTTTCCAAGATCAGGGGCAGCAAGGCAACCTGCAGGCTTTGCCACCGATTGGTAAGGCAGAGAGTGAATCCAATATGGAAGGCTTTACTGATGACTTCTTGTACGTAGAGCTGCACATAACACGAGCTCATGATGTTGACCACGGTCAGTGATCAAGCTTTAGTGAAGTGTATGACCAGGAAGCCGGTCACACTTCACTTTTTTCCTTCAATCGGGTACTGTGAAGACGTTGGCTGACGAAGGCCTCTAGGGCCTGATAAACGCTTCATGTCAAGGCTAAGAACACGAATTTCTAGCCTTCTGAATGGGCAGCGACGTGGGAATATCCCTGATTGGCCATTAGACAAAATAAGCCAAGTCTGTGAGTAAGGCCATTGCTCTTCGAAGCGATTGACTTAGTCTCCAGTTCATGATCAGCCAATTGGTTATCCTTCGCTTGCGCAGTATATTTTGAGCGAGCCTGGCAACGGCTTCCTCATATTTAGGAAGTTCGCGTACCTGCAAACGAGATTGCTATTACAGAAGCAAGAGCGAATCAGCGGACTTGAGAAGAAGCTTCGTGATCTTGATAGACTGGCTGCGGCTTCAGACCCGGAAAGTGTCAAGTCTAGAGCATTTGATGATAGTAATAGCGCCCGCCAGGAGCTTTTCGAGGAGATCGACAGCCGGCTCGGAGATTACTGTATGCATTTGCTTCTTAGGCTTTCATTCAGTTCTAATGATTCTTCAAAGTTTGTCTTGTAGGTACACTAAAGGAGATGGCAATGATGAAATAACCAAGCAGACAGAGCGCCGAGGGACTAGCGCGTTATGTCAGTCACTATAATTGCTTGGTGGAAGACGATCGGAGATTCTTACACGAGGCGAACGATCATGTCTCGCTTGCAGAAGACAAGGAAGACGGCTATCTAGATGTTGCCATTCACAACTTGATTCATCTCTGTCTGCCAAAGTCAATTGTCAAGGTTTGATAGTTCGTCAACGATATAAAATTGCTTCGTTTGACATAATGATAGAAATTACTTTGTCGATCACGCAAGCCGGATATAGAGTACGCAGGGACCACATACTACAGCGACAAACGCGTGGACCTCTATGTCCGTTGTATGCTTACTTTTACCTCCGTGACTCTTTTGATGGGTCCCGCATCCGTATTGCTGTTTGTGAAAGGACATAATGCTCTTAAGTTTGCCGTCATCATTGTTGCCACCGTGGGATTCTCGATGGTTTGCAACATCGCGACAAGGGGCAAGCGAGTAGAGGTTAGTTTTATATTCAAATGGAATTCCAATAATGCGATTCTTTTGAGGGTTTGGGCTTGCTCCTCGAGCGGTTCAATTTTGGCGCCTGCTCCGTATGCTGAGACTTTTGCTGACCTTTCCAATAGATTTTCGCTGCCACATGCGCGTAAGTTCATCTTCTTTGATACAATCATCAAGCCATAGTCTTTGATATGCTTGCTAATCCACCGGATATCCAAGTTACACAGCCGCACTCTGCGTTTTCTTGGCGAACATAAATCCCGGGTAGTTTTACGTTTCGACTAGCCCAAATGTGGCGATTATATATATACGCATGATTGAATGATTCTGGTTTGAGCTATTGAATCCACATACGAAAGTGTTTGCTACGAGTTCTTCTTACAGTGTCGCCTCGAAAACTCTCACGCTTCTTTGAGCTATCCGCTTTGGTGGCAAGCGAAACACGCACAAAAAGCTGCGCCACGGCTCTAGATTTTCTGCACGCTAGGATCAATTCAGAGCCACAAATCTATCATGACCTTACACAGACTCATACCTGTGGCGTGAAAGCCCTTAGATCTTCGAGATTGCACTATGACATTGTCAATGAGAAACAAGGTGGCGCGCCCAATGGAGAATGAGAGCGATTCTCCACGACACATACTTGCGACACCTCCCTTGCCATCGCTACATTCTTATACTCCTGTTCCCATCAAATTCTCTTCCTTCTCTCCATACATGATCTGCAAGAGTCGGCTCACCAACCTCAGTTCTTTGATCTTTTTCCTCCAAGCTCAATTATAAATTAAGACAAGAGTGCAGCATGCCGAGCTATATAAACCGTCGCAAATCTAATTTAGAGCCTTCTAATCGACACTCGCGGCAGCGAAGACAAGATGCTGGAAAAATTACAAGGTCAGTTTCTAAGACCATAATCATGACAATTTAGTCAACGTAGTTTGCATCGTGTGGGCTCCGAATATTGACAAGTTTTTTCTAGCGAACCAGACATTCATGATGGGTCCTCAAAGATAGGGGATCAAGTGGAGCGAGTGTCTAAGGAATGCACAAGGAGTGGCCGACAAGAAGAAAATCTCATGGCATCCTACGAAGCAGGCTATGACAGCTTCATGTCAGATGAATACAATGATGTTGAGCCTGAAACCGCCGCTTCATCAAAGGACGAGAGATATCAACAAGTCGCTCCAGGAAGCGGAACTCTGGGAAGCACCAGCCACAGACCGAGTGAGAGAATTGGAGCGAAGGATAATGGCTCTCCAAAGACGCATGTGAGAGCTTAACGTTGAATTGACGACGTCAATGTTCGCTCATGTTTGCAGCATTGCCGACCTCAAGATACCTCGAGTCGACCAGGCGACCAGGTGTACAATTTGCTATCAGGTCAAGATATTGTCAACACATCGTCGCAATCGCGTGACACTGAGGATTTAGACGCGCAAAGATCAACATATGGTGTCAGTGATCGTACATACGGGAATGACGAGTGGTATGGTTCTGGTCAAGACAATGGCAAATCTCGTAAATAGTCCTAAGGAGGCGAGGATCTGATTTCTTGTCGATAGTAAAGGAGTTTGGGACCGTTTGCATGGCGAAAGCTTCAGATTAATGCTAATCATAATCATAATGAGGGAAGAGTAAATAAATGGATCTAGACTTACATGTGCAAACGATATCATACTGGCTGGATTGAATATTGACCTTGCATCCTATGATCTTTGAGCTAAACGGACCTAGAGTCGGTGGCTGAATGATGAGAATTCGACCATGCGCCGAAGGCCGGCAAGATTTGCGAACAAGTATCCACTGAGTTTTTTTGAATTCTCGACTTCGTGCTATGTGCCAGTGATGATACAATTCCAATGCAGGGCAATACCACGATAAGACCTCAATATACCCGTGAGCAATTGCGATTGATTGCGAATGAATGGTCTCTTTCCCTCCACTTAACCATACACAGCTTCCTCCTTCCCTCAGACCTCTTTGAATCTTTCAGGCCGACTAACCCTCAAAAGCCTCAACCCTTAGATATTTCCACTAGATGTCCAAGCATATGAGCTGCTTTGGCAATTTGCTAGGACTCGGTAGTTAGATTATCGTTCACTACGGGACATGCGACTGAAATTTAAGCGTAGCCGAAGCCGCCCGAAGAAAATCGTCGTTCAATTGAGATGCAATCATTCCTTCGCACGTCCTCAATCTTCAAACTCGCACGCCATCACGATTTTCAAACTTCAGTTCCATAGGAACCACACGCTTGACCTCCTTTACAAAATTCCTACAATTGTCACACATTGCTACCTTGCTGACCTTGATAGTTCCTTCAACAGCTTTCGCCGGCTTGACCAAGCTCAAATCCATGTCTTCCCCATCCTGGGCGACGGCTTCGTCATTATCACTGTCAAGAAGCACATGTTTCGCTATATAGAATGCCAGCAATTGCTTCTCCACGTGCGAAGCGAAAACTGGCCTCTATCTTGATGCCTAAGCTTGAAGCTAGTTTTATTACCTCTCCTGTCCATCTGTCGTTGTCGAGCACGTTCTCGCTCCATCCGTTATGGCTGAAGCCGCTCATGGCACTGACTATGGGGAAAAGAGGCCCACGATCTAGGCGGCCAACGGCTTTTTTCGGATCAGGAATCGGATATTGTATCCCTAGCTCCAGATAGTTGATGAAGATGGGCTGTGCGCTCAGGTTAGGCTCGAGAAAGATACCAGGACGGTGTTGCCGAGACTTTGATTGGCAAGGCTTCTGTGGTGGCTTTTCTCCAGTGATACTTTGCAGCTTTATTGCGATATGGCGACGGTGCAGATCAGCATCTCGTGGCTCTCGGTGATGGCTATGTCGCTCCCTTTCGCTAGTATTACGGCGAGATGGTAATGCCAGATCATATGCACTCCTTCCTTTTATGTCTCTCAAGGTGGCGTCGACTCCAGCGCTGAGTAGGTGTTCGACAACCTGAAGTCTACCCCAGAGAGCCGCCGCCATGAGTGGCGTTCGCCCTCTTTTGTTGGGCTTCTCTTTGTCACAGCCGTTGTCTTGAAGCCATTGCAGAAGCCTGAGATGCCCTTCTGTCGCAGCAAGAAATATGCCATTCCGTTCATACTCGTCGTGGGCGGCGAAGTAGTTGTCATCACTGGTTCCAACAAGCTTCCGAATCTCTGCAGGTTTATTTAAGATGCAAGCAGAGATGTAGCTGTTGCGACGGAACTCTGGATCTTGCATCATGTCTTTCCATATGTCGCCCGACGTCATGTTTTCAAGTTCTTCCTTGCTATATCTTGGTCTATCGCGCAATTTCATCCGTTCAATAGCCGCTTGCAGCTGTGCGGTTTGTTCAGATTCGTCTGCCTCAGAATCGACATCATCGATGGCACAGTGTACGGATGCTCCGTCTTCACTTATACTTGCCGCCTCCTCGTCATCTTCGGTGGTCTGTTGCAGGCCCACAGTCACAAATTTCCATTCGTCTTTGTCAATCTCCCAAGACGTCTGTTCTCCAATATCCTCAAAGGGATAGCGTAGTCGATACTGAGTCGAGTCATAAGAGCCATTTATATGACAATGAGACTCGCGGCACTGCCCGACTAGAGTCCCTTGACATGCGTGAGAGACGCCCGTTCCGTGATGATGTTTTCTCTGACAGTAAGGGCATCTAATTTCCACTGATCTAGCGTCCCATTGAAGTACATTCGCGGCTGGTACGAACGCCATCTCGCAAATCTATATGCAATCCCAGGAGACAGAGTTTGTAGGTGAAAACATGAGCGGAAACCTCAGAACTTCAGCCACATAGGATATCGCTTCCATCAATTTCTACGCCACAGGCTGGAAGTGGCTTGGAATTGTGACCGCCTATGGGGGAGAGCCTCTTAACGAGCCATACTCCATGATATTAAGGCAGGATGAGATAGGCGATAAAGTTCTGGACCTTCCCATTCTTACTGCCTTAGCACTCGTGCCAGAATGCTAAGTAATTCAGGGCAATAGCGCCCTAGGAAAATACCTGGCGCAGCGCATCAAGCCAGAATTCGATCGAGATTGAATGGGGAAGTCACGTATTATTGAAGACTAGGCGTCTATAAGCCATATTTTCAAGCACCAAAACGCAGAGAGACCTTATTATGAGGCATTAAACGAGTGCAATTGCATAGAGAACGCCAACTTCGATGAAGAAATGGTTAGTTGATAATGCTTCAATTTTATACATGTCTCAAACACTACGCTCAATGCCATAGTTGTACAAATGCCGACATAAACCAGAACAGAATGCAACCATCGCCATGCAACTTCAAACCCCTAAGTAACCACCCCTCAAGCCGCACCATACTTCCCAACCCTCTCCACCACCCCACCCCTCCAAAACCCACCCTCTCACCCCTCCACCCCCTCCAAATCCTCCCTCAAAATCCCCGTCATCTCCCCGACAAAGTCCCCATCGAACATATGATCATGCTGCCTATCGACCCTAACAACCTTTAAATCCCTAATCGGCCACCCACTCCTACGATCATTAAACCTGTATTCCACCGCCCACTTCCGCTTCTCGCTGGTACCCGGCGGGTGGTCGCCCAGGATATTACACTTCACCAACGTGGCGGGACACTTCAGGCCTTCCTCGGGCACGACCTTCGTGCTGCCCGCCCCCGCCACCAGGTCGAGTGAGTTGTAGATGTATTTCTTGAGGCGCGGGAGGAACTCGTCGACGTCCACATCGTCATCGTCATCGGAGTCGCTTTCGCTGTCGGAGTCGAGTGCCGGCATCTCCTCCTCCTCGTCCGAGGAGAAGTCGGAGTCAGGATCGTACCCGAGATTCATCTGCGGCGCGTACGTCTTGAACATCCACTCGGCCGTCGCGTCGCGCTCCTTGGGGTTCGAGTACGCGGGGCAGCCCTCGGGATTGATGGCGTCGATCAGCAGTAGCTTTAACACCTGGCTTTCTCCGTCGCCGCTCTCTTCTTGCAGGATGCTGGCGATTTTGGCCGCGACCATGCCGCCGAGAGACCAGCCGCCTAGTATGTACGGTCCTTGCGGCTGCACGGACCGGATCGTGGCGAGGTATTCTTGTGCGAGGGATTGGAGAGAGTGAGGGAGCCGGTAGGAGGCTTTTTCGTGGGTTGGCGAGGAGAGTCCGTACACGGTGCGGTTTGTGGCCAGGGAGCCCAGGTTGAGGTACGGCAGGCCGAAACCGGATATCGCGTGGATTAGGAAGACGGGCGTGAGGTCGCTGTGTTGGGGGCCTTGAATGTGGAAGAGGGAGTCCATTGCTGGGGTTGTGGGGTGGAGTTGGGTGATTGGTGGATGTTGAGGTGGGTTTGGGATTGGTGTGTTTGGATTTTGGAAGGTGGAGAGGCTGTTGAGATGGAGATTGAGATGTAGATGTAGATGATGGAATGGCTAGCGAGGTGTAGTGATGGAGGGTATGTCTGGATAGGAAGTTTGCTGCGTTGATTGTTGTTATTGTTGTTGATGTCTGTTCTATCACGATCGCGGACCATTGTTATATAGACCAAGATCGAGCACATCGTGATGTCCACACCAGGACGAGCCGTCTATGACGTGCAAATCTGATATGACGCTGGGTTCAGGGCAGGAGTGTTATTGTCCTGACCATATTCCGGATGTGGAGAAGGACCCACGAAACGTGCTTTTTCCAAGCTGATATCTCAACCGACCAATCAATCTATCCGAATTCCAAGTCTCACAATCTCGATTGCCATACGTCATGTTCAATTGCGGCCGAATAGCCTCGTTGGATACGGCAAAGGCGTCAGGGCGTAATCTTATGATGCTTCAGGGCTTGGGAGCAGACAAAGGGTCAGACCAAACAAAGCCCTGAAAACGCCATGACCGTGGATGGCACAGACTGAGCGATTATGAGGTTGAGCTTGGTAACGATCGGACATTTCCGGGCCTCATGGCGTCCGAACGTGTGTCGAGCTTTCCTACTGGGTGGTACATTGGGGCGTAGAGAGCAGCATCAACGATTGCTTGATCTTAGTATGTGGGGCCGGGGACGGCGACGTAATCTGGATGGATCCATAGTGACAGCATGCACTAATCTCAGATACTAATAGGGTCAAAGGTCCCTCGTGCTGTGTGGCGTTGTGTCGTGTTGTGGGAGGTCGGGCACTCACAAAGCTCATGAAACAGGTCTGAGTGGATAAGCAGTTCTTGAGATCTACTCAATATCGGTAACTGGGTGGCGAATGATAGACATTCAAAGACTGTATTAGCTAATGGTGGAGACAAGGCGAAGGAACGAGGTCGGTATTGGTCAGCCCCTGAGACCCTTCATGAGTCAATATAGAGGATATGAACCGTGAGCACACGGAGGTTTTCCATTTGGCTGACAGGACCGGAAGAGTGGCACACGCAGCCTGACAAAGAATGTAGCAGACATTCGTCGCTTTCGTAACGCAGCCTGGTTGTATACTTCACCCAACCACAAGAACCCATTCGTGCCATGCTAGTGTGCACAACGAGACAAGTGAAGCCTTGGGATAATTTCGTTGTACTATGAGAGTGAGCTGATAGTCATTTTGAAGGGTCTCCATACAATATTGGTTGCTGTTCATCAAATTAAGCAAAATAGGGGCCCCTAACCCCGCGGTGGTTGGCCATCACCCTGAAGCTAGTTGGTCCGAATATCACGGGAAAATGCTGTGAAGTGGTCTTAGGTTCAGAGTACGTGCTCAGTGGTAAGTTTGAAGAGGTCTCATGGGTCTCAAGCGATGAATGAGACGTTGGATGTACTCTTCAATGTTGTAGTATCTAGAACTTTGATCTAGAAACGCCCTTCTTCCATCTTCCTCCCAAAATGTCCATCTATCATCGTAGCTAGCGAAGGTTGCTCCTCTGGGAAGGGAAGCAGCAACAGAGAATCTGGTCTACTATTTCTCGCTGGCGCATACACGCGTGGCTGGGTCAAATTGACAGGGAAGGAATGAAACCCGCCAATCTCCCTCGAGTATCGATGCGAGTTACGGACATCAACAGCAGAAGAGCGTTGGTGAGGTCTACTTCCCACAGTGCTATTACGTAATACCGTAGATGACCGTTTCGCCAAGTCGCTGCCCATTTTCCCTATCTCTTTCTCAGTGCTAGAGGCGTTCACTGCAGCGGTCGCAGGCGTATCTTGATTGCCGATTTTTTGCACGGGCTCGAATTCGCGATCGAGACTTATGGATTTGATGGGGATTGAGAGGATCAATGCCACTCCAGAGAAAGCGCATAGAACTCCCCATATCATTTTCAGCGAGTCTGTGTACGCTTTGAGCAGGGTATCTTTCCGACCTCCACCAGTCATTGCCTGAATCACCTGTGCCAGTCCGGACGCATCATTCGCATAGTGCGACGCTAGGGTGGCAAATTCGGGGATGGCTGCCAATTTGGCTCTGAAACGGTTCTGGAAGATGACGCCGCCTATGGCAACGCCTAATGCTTGTCCGAAAGGGCGGAACACTGTGAAGAGCGCGATGGCGGACGTCATGTCCTCTTCTGGAACTGCCGCTTGGAGCATGACACCGATTGCGACGTAATTAAAGCCGATACCAATGCCGACGACGAGATTGAGAAGTATCCATTTTGCTGTTGATGTGTACTCGTCGAGTAGATACAAGACACCGACACCGACGGTAGTGATTGCCCACCCTGACCAGATGGACCAGCGATAGCTGTTGAACCGTGCGATAAGAGCACCAACAACAAATGCGCCCGGCGCAATGGTGAATGTTTCAGGGAAGAGTGCTACTGCTGAAATGATGGGGTCCAGACCCTTGGCAGCTTGGTAGTAAAGTGGGAGATAGTAGAGGATTGTGGTGACTACGAGACCATGAATTATGACGGTGACGTAGGCGATGACAGCATTTCGGCTTTTGAAGATGTTGGTCCGAATGATTGGATTGGCTGCGTAGTGCGATTCGTAGATGTAGAGGAGGACAAGACCTATGGGGCCCATGATTAAGGGGACGATAGTGTGCCATGAATCCCAGGGGTACTGGACGCCGCCCCAAGAGAGGGGGATGAGAAGCGAGGTGAAAGCGGCGATGAACAATGCAGAACCTATCCAGTCGATTCGTAGGAAGCGTTGAAATAGAGATGTATCAGTAGAAGCACCGAGTCGTATGAAGATGGGTGTCATGATGATCGATGCGCCAACAAACGGTAAATTGATCCAGAAAATCCACCGCTATACGTCGGGAGAGCAATTAGCGAGTTGATTCAATGAGCGGATGAGGCAACCCACCCAAGTCACTTTCTGAGCAAAGACGCCTCCAAGCAAAGGGCCAGAGACAGTCCCAACGGAGTACATGGCACTTATCACACCGAACCATTGGCCTCTGATCCTCAGGGGGATGAGATCGCAAATGATGAGCTGAGCGAGCACCTCGACTGCCCCTCCACCAATGCCTTGGATAGTCCTACCAGTCAATAAAACGATGAAATCATTTGCATTGCCAGCTATGATGATGCCAGCCAAGAACAGCAGCGCTGAAGCAAATGTCACCCACTTACGCCCAAACACGTCGGAAAGAGCTGCAGTCGTAGGCTGGAACACAGTGGAGGTCAGCAGGTATGCTGTTGCTGACCAAAACGCTTCTAGGGCATCTCCTTTCAATTTCTGAGCGATGACGGGTAGTGCGACAGAGAGAGCCGTGGAGTCAAGCGCGACCATCAGTGTCAGTACAGCGATCGCTGTGAATGCCATGTAGACTGTGAAATCTGCTTTGAAGACGGCAAGAGGAGGCGCTTCAGCTTTCTCTGGATCTAGTCCCTGGCTACTAGAGCGAGGTGATTGATCGCTAGACATCTCCCCAGCGACCAGTGTCTGTTCGCTACGAACGAAAGATCTTCTGGCGGGTGATATGGGCAATGGCCATGGTGGTAAAGCTCTAATATCCCCAGATGGGTGAAGCGAAGGCGACAGCAACGTATCAGGGTTCGGTGACTTCGTTTCTGATGTTGATTTGTATGGTGGCAGTGACGACGGTGGTCCAGACATACTTGAGATGTCCTGTAAATCTGCTTTAGGGCTCACGCTACCGTCGGAAGGTAAGACCTCAGACGAGGCGCGCGATAAAGGAAAGGATCTAAGTGGTGGCCATCTCATATCTGGGGAGGAAACATTGTCGCCCATGTTTTCACGGAGAGTAGGTCGCTGTCAAGTCAATCAAATCTCATCGACGCATGTTATCTCTCCCACCGAGAACGTAGATGCTGAAAGGGCAACTGTTTGTAAGAGCGGCCCTTGAAAACGTAATTGAACCCAGACTCAAAATGTAAAGGCATGAGTTCAGTAATCTGGACATAGCTTAGTAGTTGTAGGCCTAGATATCAGATCCTTTTCTCTTTCAGGGTATCTCGACTGGGCTGGGCGCCCCCAAGACACACCCCAGTCGAGTTCATCCTGCTCACGGGCAGCGTGTATCGACGATTAGCAACCATGATATTGAGGCTTGACGATATATGGGCGTAATTCTCCGCATCCAAAAGGTTCTTAGGCGTCCGTGCCGGGCAGGACCGTCTTAGGCTGGATGGCCCCAAGTGATGCACGGTTACATCACCCCCCACAGATCTCGGGAAACCAACCGACTCCGGCTCAGATCTATACACCACCACAACGAAGCCAGTCATGAAGCCCGTCATCTGCAAGTGATAACATCATTTGACGATAATGAGCGGTTGAACACTCGTGTTTCAGTATGTGGTGGGATGCTCTTGTAGCCTTCTGTCGAGTCAGTTTCCCTACGCTGGTGAAAAACCCTCCGTAGGCATGCGGAGTGTTTGACTCAGCACGCATACTTCGGGGAGCCAGAGCCCAAACAAGATGCGATCGTCCATGAATGTCTGATCACGAACTGGCATCTTTCATGTACGTGATGCGCTCGCCTGCAAGCCGCTGCCCAGTTGCACGATGCCAGGTCTATAAGGTGTAGTCTCCCTTCCGCAATTTTCTTGCACCGTCCTAGCCATAATTCCTCAATTCGACCCAAGCCGCCATGTCATCCATACTTCGTACCCTGGTCGCTCGCGATGACAACAATGACGTGGATTGCGAGAGTGTCAACGCACAATGCGCCCTTTCCGACTCCTTCTATGGGTACTTTCCGTCACTTGCAGCAAACACCGTGTTCCTGGTCCTCTTCATTTTCATGTGGATTGCGCACGGTGGGCAGGGTATCTACTACCGATCGTGGTCGACATTTGCAGCAATGAACCTTGGCTGTCTATGCGAGGTGTTGGGGTACATTGGTCGGTTGATGATGCATCACAACCCGTACAATCTCAACGGGTAAACTAGATGGTCCGTCCTGAAGGAGACTACTGACGGGAACAAGATTCTTGATACAGATATGCTGTCTAACAATTGCGCCTGCATTCTTCTCGGCTGCGCTCTACCTCTGCTTGTGGCGATTGTGAGCATCGAATGGTAGTCCGCGAAAGAGGCCTCAAGCTGATGTCTGACGTCGCAGGGTGTATTTGTTCGGCCAGGACGTTTCTTCGCTCAAGCCGATCAATTATATCTACATTTTCATATTCTGTGATCTTGTTTCTCTTGCGCTGCAAGGTAAGCCTTCGCTGGCTTCGAGCCTATCTTGTACTCAGCTCTCTCATAGGCGCTGGAGGTGGGCTGGCATCGGTTGCAGCTCAGAACAACGACGACATGGCCACAGGTGATAATACGCAGCTCGCCGGTCTAGTCTTCCAAGTTGCAAGCTTGGCGCTTTTTGCCATTTGTTGCGCGGAATATGCGTGGCGCGTCTGGCGGAATCCTGCGGCTTCAGCTAGGGTACCAACGGTCTTCAGCCAAAACAAGAACTTGAAAGTCTTCCTTGGAGCCCTTGCGCTTTCATATACGTGCATCATGATCAGGTGCATCTACCGTGTGATTGAGCTTGCCGGTGGTTGGGGAACGACCTTGATGATGAATGAAAGGCTTTTCATCGTCTTGGAGGGAGCGTGAGTTGCTTCAGCAGATCAAGCGGTAGAGTTCAGCTGACATCAATCACAGAATGGTTGCTTTCGCAGTCCTTGTCTTGAATGTATTCTACCCTGGGCAGTATTTGAGGAATGTTGGATCATTGTCGCAAAGCGCGGAGAAATCCGCAAGTACATCTAGCAGCGAGGTGACCAGCGTTGAAGAGAGAAAGTCAAGGGTTTGAAAGAACCTCGATATCATGAATGGGACAGCGTTGATCAGGAGACTCTACAGGCTGGAGCCGAGCCAAGAAGGTATCTTTCCTGTAATTGAAGGCGAAGGCGTTGTAGTTGGGTAGTGGTGGAGTTGACATATCGTCGGACGCTGGAGGCTATCTACAGATGACTCTCTGAATGCTTTGCGATGATCTTGGTGCCCATGTCGGATAAATCAATGCTACTGGAATACTCCAACAAGATGTCCGCAAGTCTCGCTACTGGTGTGATTCCGCCTTTTGTCATGCGCTTTCTGGCCTGCTTGACCATAGCGAATATGTTCTCCAGACTGATTCAGTACCTGAGATTGGCTGAAGCGGCAGCATCGATGCCTTTGAGATGCGGTTCTGGATCTTTGATGAAGATTGGGGGGAATTGAGATCAGCCAAGACACGCAATCTCCGCGGTAAAACCTTTCCCCGAAGTAAGCGGGCCGTCGCCGTATTGATTGTAAATTTCACTGGGCTGTATTTTTCAGCGATCTCGCAAGATCTGGGTACTGCCGTGCTTGCCGTTGCCGTCTCACAACCTACAACCTACGCAATCCCTGGATCCAACGTGGTCGTGTGGGCATGAGAATCCATCTGCAGCCATACGGCAGATTTTGAATCCCCGCGCAAGCTGCAGGAAATCCTTTCGCTAAAGCCGGTAACGGCCACTGCTGGCAATGCCGAAAACGTGCCAACGGCGCCCTCCACTGGCACCATCTGGCGTCGGGTCATACCCCAAACCCGCTGAAACGGACTCTAGTCTCAATGTTACCTAGATGGAGATCTGCTTATGTGGCAATGCATTCATTGCTCCACGTGGTGGGATGGCTTGGGGCCAGATGTCCTGTCAGAGGCCGTCAGCACGATATCGGGACACATGAGCCCAATCTACGCCACCGTATGTTAGATCTACCCCTGATCTTGTCGTTTAACCGGATCCTTCGACATGTTGTGTATGTGACGCAATGTCTGCTAGGGTCTTGGAGTTCGCGCTCAGCAAGTCGCCTAACTCACTATCACCTACCGCCCTGAGAAGTCGCAGTATGACGCGTACCCTTTCCAGCCTGCTCAAGATCTTGTCAGGCAGACGAAATGTTCCAGGCTTTCTGTGGTGGTGCCTAACCATCCGAAAGGCTTCGAAAGCCTACTGCAGCTGTCGGCAATTCCGGTCGCTTTTTCCAACCTTGCAGCCTTTTGCCTACATACGCCGCCTTATTTAATCTACTGGCTGCGACCTGGGGGTACAAATGCGGGGAGACTTGTCCTCGATCAGCCGAATGGGGTTAAGACATTCAAGCCCAGCCCTACATAACTCGAAACAGATGTTGCAGCCGATCTCGCTTTCGTCTGAAGCCTGTTACTGAAGGGAAAAGCGCGGAGGATGTCCTGACTCTACTCATAGTGATCACCATAAGCCTTCTTTACCATGTGGTAAGGTCGCTTTGAGTGGACCTGATCTTCGAGTTGTGAATTGAGATATTTCTGGGGTGGTTGCTCGCTAAGGCTCCCATGAGGTCGCATGCACAGGGCGTGATACATAGTAATGAATTACTCGGCAACCGACATTATGCTCTGCAGACCCACATGAGCTCATCTTGGCTCGCAATTATGGCTGCTTTATGATGATAGAAGCAATGATACAAAGGCTCCCTTCGCGCTGGCGAGTGTCGAGTGGTCCTAGACAAGGGCGGACCGCTCATCTCATACAAGTCAAATTATCTCAACCTTACCAAGACTTGAGCTGAAACCTGTAAGCCTTGCGCCTTTCGTCAGCCGTGGCGTAGCCATGCATACGAACAACCCGCCTCTGACAAGCCCTGGACCACAGCCCTTGATGCGAAAGAGCTGCCACTTCTGTAGATCAAGGAAAATTCGATGCTCAGGTCAAAGAATTTGCAATGCTTGTCAGGACAGAAATATTGACTGTATCTATGGACGTGAAGGCGTCAAAGGCCGTCCAAGATTGCAATTCGCAAGATCTTACGGTCGTGGCTCCAATCAAAGACTGAGAAAGGCTCATGCTACTGGCAAAAGCCATGTATCCACAGCCACAAACACGACGGACAGCTGCTCATCCGACTCTAGCCCAATCGCCTCCACAAGATCTTCTCCATTCATATCAGAAGAGCCTGAACGAAACAGTGTTACAACTCCAAATATTGGTGCTGAGCTATTGTTTGACTTCCTGTTCAACGGCAAACCCACTGGTCCCTCTATCGAGTTTGATGCCGCTAGTCAGGCGTTTGCACGTCAAGCGTCAGGACCAACGCGTGTCTCCACTACTAGATGCGAGCGACCAAAAATAGCCTACGAAAACGTCCTTTCGGTCATGTTCGATGACTTTGTGCTACTTACTCCTGCCAAATGCTGGAATTCGAGCCAGTCACTTACACTTAATGACGACAGACCCCCTTTTATTAAGGCCTGTCTGGATCTGGATCAAACCATCTCAATGTTCGATGAACTTACGAAGCTCTACAACCCTTTACAGGAGCTTACCGATCATCAAACAAGTCAACTGATAGAAATTTGGTTCTCCCATCACCCGCTGGCTTTTATCATCTCGAAAACATTACATCTCCAACGCTATCGAAACAATTGTCACGATCATGCTCTCCTGGCGATCATGCTTGCAGACGTGCAATTTGCCCAAAACAATGCGAGAGCGCATTCCAAGGGACATGAGTTGCTCACATGGGCCATAGCAGACTTTAAAAGATCAGCCCAAAATGCAAACGGCTTACCCAAGATTCAGACCCTAACCCTGATAGGGTGGCATCAGCTATTTTCTGGTAATGCACGAAGAGCAGTAGCATACCTACTCTATTCTCGAAGTCTATTGGCTCGACTTCCGAAGCCGGCGCTACAGCTCCACCTGGTCAATGGCATCGATGTTGGTGGGGTTGAAAGAGAACTGGCACAGAACATAGAATGCCTTCTCTATTCGACACTGACTTGGATATTCATACAATGTGGTGTATCTGTACACACGTTTGCCACCCCCTCTGAAATGATCTCATTGCCTCCATTCGACGAATCGAAGTCTGCAGCGCACGCCCTCGACCTCGCTTCAGACAATACCGCGACATTATCTCACCAAGAGAAGACCATACAATCGCTATGGCCCTTGACCCATTTGGCTAGCACGATCTCCCGACTCTGCAGTTTGTTCACATATCCATCTATAGCTGGCGTTACTCCGTCGTCTTTGACCAGTGGCTCGCAGGCCACGCAGATGCTCGAGACACCTTCACTCATGTCATTGAGCATACCAAGTTCAGATCAGCAAAACCAAAAGGACAGCAGTAAGGCACACGCATTCTTAAGTCGAATATCGAGCCTACTAAAATTGCGTCTACAACCTCACGTATCTCGCACAAAGCTCCTAGCAGCCTATCATACCCTGATGATATACTTGCTACTCCCGGGCTATGATGGAGGGGTTAGGGCCACAAGCGCTCTCACAGATGAAATCATCAACCGATACTGCGTTTCTGCCGGAGAAATCATCGAACTGCTCAATAACCAAAGTGATACTCCACGCGATGGATGTATTCTATTAAGCTCTAGAGCAACTACCAGTAATGACGCACTCCTCACGGGTCTAGATGCGTGCAGCAAAGCCATGAAATATGTTCAAGACAAGTCACTTGCGGGGTCTGGCTGGGCCAGCTCCAACTCGTCTCTCAGTGTTTCTGAACTTCAAACCATTGAATCTGATCTGAGGGTTATGAGATCACAAAGTCCAGAGCTCATTCATCTCACACGACAACTCTACGAGGCGTGTCAAGACGAAGCATTGCAGCATAGTAGCAAGATAATATCCATCAGAGACAGGGTCAAAGAGATCCTCCAAACTTTCGAGAGTCCTGCCTCCATGGAAAACTACAACGCGACATCTGAGACGTACGATCTCGCGAGTCATTCATCATTGGAAGGCACTTTCGACAGTATAGGTAGCACGACGAGTACGCGTACACCGCCTACTCCGTTGTCCGCATATGAGACAAGACCATACCAGGATCTTACCGCGATTCAAGGCCAATTCAACAACACTATGAGCGGCACTCAATCGTCTTCCTCCGGCAGTGCCCTCGAAGCTTTCAGTAACGGCTCGCTAACATTTCCAAACACTGCTGCCTTGGATCCACGACCCCATGAGAAGTTTGAGGGCTATATGGATGCATTTGTTCTGGATGAACGATACATTGGAGCCTCAGCAACTGCCTTGCAAAATGGGCAGGGACAGTATTGTGATCCTGCCCCATTAGAAAACGGCATGTATTTCAACATGCTATGAGAATAAGTGGCGAACTAGCTGCTGCAACGCGTAGTAAAAGAAGTATATGACATAGATCAACATTAGCACTTAATTTTCCGCAACACATCGTGCGAATCTTAGGACTTTTCCCTAGCTTACTTACCTAATCGCCTCAATATGACGTGATCTTATCCGATCGTAACATATCGACGCTAGCGGCCCCCATGTATTGAAATCTGTGTTTCGCGACGGTAGCCCGATCTAGAGTAGCGTCATCTGTCTAGTGTGTTTCACCGTGCCAAGATCATCCCCCCATCACGCAACACCGTTTTCAGCCTTTTCACTTAGCATCTGGGGATCTAAGCCATTGCCCTTACATATCCTCCGTAGTAGAACGCAGTGTTCTGCTTCTCCACGCGGCCTGGTCGCCTTCACCATGTTACTCAGTCTGCGAACACGTAGATCCCGACATGGAAGCCGAAGGCTGCCTCGAGCCCACGAACATTCCACGTGTCTGGAAGAAGCACTGAAACAAATTCTCCGACTCTCAGATGCAAACGGTCTTCCTCCATATGGGCTATGCGTACCCTGAATTCCTCTACCCTGGAGTTCGCCAGTATCCCACCCGAAGGCCTGCGGACAATATCTTCCAACAGAACGGAGGACCGACTCGGCTTGAGCCTTGAGCTGCAGTTGCAGCAGGCCATTGGCTCATCCAACATGCTGGAAACCCGGCTGGATAGAGTGGATGGAGTGGATGGAGTTGCCCTATCCAGTCATCATGAACAATATGGTGTGAAGGGTTCGAGTATCGAGTCCACGCTGGAAGCACTTGCCAATGCTACGAGATACAAATATTGTATCACTGTAGCTTGCTTTCATCTTCTCCCCGATCGTGAGAAGCTCTTGTCTCTTCATTTTTCTTGGGTGGAAAACGCTCTCTTCTGCACGCTCCTAGGTTCCATTTGACATGGGTCTTGGCAAGACATTCACCATCATTCTCGAATCATCAAGGCCGTAGACAGCTCTGGAAAGATGGCTGTCGCAAGGCCATCAACAGCGCCTCGTTTGGGCAGTATGGGCGACTCGTCTGAATCGGCCCAGAGCGCCACCTCATCGCCATCGCAAGCCTCCTCGGTGACATCCACCGACGAAACTGCTGAACCATACACAGAAGGCCCTGGTCGCGTCTCAAGAGATCCCACCGCTATCGTGGGGCTGGCGTGCCGTGTCCCTGGGGCGCAAAACCCTAGCAAGTTATGGGACAATATTCTGAAGCAGAAAGACATCCAACGAAAGATGCCCGAGGAAAGATTCAAGATCGACAACTTCTACAATCCTGACGGTACTAACAAGGGAACTGTGAGTACCTTCGTTGGTGTGGCTGGGACCATTATCTAACGACTCGTAGACCAACGCCACCGCCGGATACTTCCTGGAACAAGACCTCAGCGTCTTCGACAACGAGTTCTTCCATATCTCCGGCAAAGAAGCCGAGGCTATGGACCCCCAACAACGACTGTTACTGGAGGTTGTTTACGAAGCGTTGGAAGATGGTCAGTCTTCAAATCCTCAAACATATCCGAGAAACAGCGCTCACATAATTGCACAGCTGGCATACCCATGGATGAGATCAGTGGGTCATCAACTTCCGTCTACTGCGGCAGCTTTACGAACGACTACAAAAACATCCTCAATAATGATCTAGGCTACTACCCGAAGTACGCCGCGACTGGGATTGGGAACGCGATACTGTCCAATCGCATATCCTACTTCTACGATCTTCATGGCCCTAGCATGACGATTGATACCGCGTGCTCCTCGTCACTCATTTGCTTCCACTTCGGCAACAAATCTGTTCAAGACGATGGTGCAGATCTTTCGGTTGTTGTAGGATCCGCGCTCCATTTCGATCCTAATATGTATGTGATGGTAAGTCATGTCCTCAACATTCCACTTTCGCAAGACCGTCGTTATGTCACCTAAGATCATAGTCTCGAGATAGACGAGCTAGTACACAAGTTCCTTGGGCTCTTTCATTCAACGTTCACGAAGGACACTGCTGACTCCCATATTACAGATGACTGACGTTGGCTTCCTCTCAACGGACGGCAGATGCCGCGCCTTCGATGCAAGCGGCAAAGGCTATGTTCGAGGGGAGGGTGTGTGTGCAGCTATCCTCAAGAAGCAATCCCGTGCTGAGCAAGACGGTAACCCCATCCGTGCGCTCGTTCGAGGCACCAACACCAATCACGACGGAACAAAAGATGGCATCACCATGCCCAATTCCTACGCACAAGAGAGCCTTATCAGGTCTACATACAAAAATGCCGGCTTAGACACAAGAGAGACACAGTACTTTGAGGCTCATGGTACTGGTACACAAGCCGGTGACCCACGCGAGGCTCGTGCGATTGGCGCCGTCTTCGCACCAAACCGCGAGACTCCCCTCTATGTGGGCTCCGTGAAGACAAATCTTGGCCATCTGGAAGGTGCTTCTGGGCTGGCAGGTATCATCAAGACAACTATGGCCCTCGAAAATGAGAAGATTCCGCCCAATATGCTGTTCAATAACCCCAACCCCAACATCAACTTCCAAAAGCTGAGTATGACTATTCCTACTAAGCTGTTAGACTGGAAAACGACTGGTGGTGTCCGGCGCGCAAGCATCAACTCCTTCGGGTATGGTGGTGCTAATGCGCATGTAATTCTCGAGGGATATACTGCGAAACCCAAATTGAACAAGACTCTACTATCTAAGGACCACACCTCAATGACAATGGATCGACCTTTGCTTTTACCCCTGACATCTCATTCGGTCCGAGCTGGCGATCTACTGAAAGACCAACTGAACAGCTTCTTTCAAGAGGAAGCCACTCACTCAACGGGTTCTCTCGCTAGAAGTCTCAGCACCCACGGTCGGAGCATGCATCAGGTCCGCTCTTTCGTCATCGCCAAAGACAGGAATCAAGTGACCGAGGGTCTTGCCAAGCCGCTGACCTGGACGCGGTCTGGTGAATCTGTCAAAAGACTCGGATTCGTCTTCACAGGCCAAGGGGCACAATTCTTTTCAATGGGACGACAACTCATTCAGCAGTCCCCGCTCTTCCGACAAGCTCTCGACAGATGCGATAGCATTCTTCAAAGCTTGCCGGAGGTTGATAGGCCAGAATGGACTTGCGTCGGTGAACTACTTCGCACCAAGGAAGACTCTCGGGTATCTCAGAGCACTTTCTCGCAACCACTCTGCACTGCCATCCAGCTTGCCCTAGTGGATCAACTCGCCAAATGGGGAATTAAACCTTCGATTACGGTTGGCCATTCATCAGGTGAAATGGGTGCGGCATATGCTGCTGGGATCTTATCTTTCGAAGATGCGATCATGAATGCCTACTACCGTGGACGCGTCTTCCAGATGGAAACGAAGAACAAGGTACAAGTCCCTGGCTCGATGATGGCTGTGCAGATGTCAGAAGCCGAGGCCATACAAGAGCTGCAGAAGTATGAAGGTCGCATTAAAATTGCAGCCGTCAATAGTCCGACAAGCCTGACGCTTTCCGGCGACGAACCTGCGATCGACGAGTTGAAAGATGTCTTGGCTGCTAAGGGCACCTTCCACCGAAAGCTTCAAGTCGACAAGGCCTACCATTCTCATCACATCGCTCCCTATGGTCCGCTGCTCAATGACTTCCTCAGCAACATTCGACCAATGCACAGCAAGTGCCCCATGTCATCAAGCGTGACAGCACGCATGGCAGAGCCAAAGAAAATGCAATCAAAGTACTGGGTGTCAAATCTGACAGGACAAGTACGATTCTGCGACGCTGTCACAAACATGTTGCTGAACGATGAGGAAGAGGTCAACGTTGACGCACTCATCGAAGTCGGCCCTCATCATGCTCTCAAAGGACCTGTCAAAGAGATCATGAAGTCTCTCAAGCTCGACATACCTTATGTACCTACCCTGAGTCGTGGCACGCCTGACTTTGAGGCACTTCTGACATGCGCCGGCCAACTGTTCTCACTCGGCTACAATGTGGACCTGCCCTCTGTGAATAGCAACATTTTCATCGATGCCAAAAACAAAGTCAGGAAGCTACCGTGTGGCCCAGAAATTAAATTACCCAGCTATGCTTGGGATCACGGCACAAAGCATTGGTCGGATACGCGTGTAACCAAAGCTCTTCGAGAGCGTACTGGTTACCACGAGATCCTTGGTGCTCCCGTTGCTGATTCCGTCGAAAATCATCCACGCTGGCGCAGATACTTGAGGCCGGCTGAGATTCCCTGGTTATCGCAACATATGATTCAAGGCAAGATCATCTTTCCAGCAGCAGGCTACATCTGCATTGCACTGGAGGCAGCTCTGAGGCTCGAGAGACGCCCTGAGCGCATCCAAGCCATCAATTTTCGGGATGTATCATTCAAGTCTGCCATGCCAGTTCGAACAGACGACATGGGCACCGAAGTCATGACAGAGCTTCAACCTGCTGCAATCTCTGCAAAGCGTGTTTCTGATTCCTGGTACAGATTCACGATCAACTCATACGATGCCAATGGCCGCTGCGACGAGCACTGTTATGGTTCCGTCGAGCTCGTTGGTGGTCTCCCAAGCGCCATAGATGCCGGCAAGCCTAGTCCATCTCTTGCAGAGTTAAAGAAGTCTTGCGATAGGACCATGACTCTGCAACGATATTACGAGCATCTATGGTCAATGGGGCTTCAATACGGCGAAGACTTCCAGCTCTTGTCCGGCAACGTTGAGAGCGGTCCTGGGTGTTCAGTGGCACCTCTCACCTTCCAGCGAAGCCAAGTTGCGAGCGACCTGCCCAGTAGTGACTGCATGGTGCATCCCACGCTTTTGGATGCCGCATTCCACGCAATATTTGCTGCCTGTGAAGCCGATATGGGCAGGAGCCTTGGGGAGCCGTTTGTGCCTACCTTTGTGAAATCACTGAAAGTCTCTGGTCTGATGAAGGACCTGATGCACTCCGAAGATCAGCAGCGCTTCTGGGTGGACACAAAGTCGCAGATTGCAGGACCTCGAACAGCCAAAGCCGATCTAGCTATCAGATCTCAGGATTGCAGCAAACTCATGATCGACCTGCAGTGTGGAGAATTTACGGCGCTTGGAGGAGATGAAGCCGGAAACGCCGTAGATAGAGTACTCTTCTATCGCACAAGATGGCTGCCATCATTCTCGCTGCTGGGTACAAATACTAGTGGCCACAGCTTTGAATCTATCGGACAGGCTATGGAGCTTTTCGTACACCAGGTGCCAGACGCCAAAATCTTGCACTTGTCGTCGAATAAAGAAGCTATCCTCGATGTTCTTCACCATATTACTGACCACAAAGGTTATCTCCGGAACTTCCAGAGCTTGACCCCATATGCTCCCTCTGTTGAGGGTGTACCTCGCAATTGGGATGGTATGGAAAGCTTGAGAGACAAGTACCTTGATCGCGTACTCTTTGAAGAGCCTCAAGCTAGCTCTTACGATGCTGTAATCATCCAGGAAGACACCTCGCTCGACATCAAGAGCTTCCTCAAGCCTGGTGGATTCGTTCTCAGTGATGGGCCAGCCTTCAAGGCCCAAGACCTGACACCAACTTTCAATATTAGAGACATTTCGGCATGGCAATATACTACTGAAAGCCAGTCATCTGAGAAGCTCACACTCATCATGCCGTTGTCTGTCTCCGAGCGTACAGAGTTGGTGGCGTCCTGCATCGAAAAGCAACACTCGGGTCCGATAACTCGAACAAATCTGCTCAGTGTCCTTGAGTCGAAGGCCGAACTCAATGGCGACGTGATCGTCCTTGCAAGTTTGGAGAACCATTTCTTCTTCGATGAAGAAAGTGATTCAGCGCCGCACTTCGAAGCTATCCGGCACCTGTTGACGACTGGCAGCAAGAACCTCGTATGGATCACTGAAGGCGCCTCCAAAGAATCCGAGAATCCTCGACATGCCATGATCACCGGTCTTGCAAGAGCAGCTCGCAGTGAGAATGAAGACTTACGTTTAGTCACATTAGACTTCTCCATGAAGGCTGGCAGTCAAAAAATTTCCGACCGTGCACTCCAAGTCCTTGGTCGACGACTTGGTGAAGATGAGTTTGCTGAGCGCGATGGCAAGCTTTTGATACCAAAGTTGGAGCCTGATACTGCTCGAAACTCCAAGCTCCCGTCAAACAACCGCGGAGAAGCAAGGTTCGAGCTATTCGATCAAGAGCGTCCCCTGTCTCTCAAGATTGGTAAGGTTGGCCTCTTGGACACTCTTGCATTTACAGAGGATACTAGCATCCTTGACAATGTGCTGGGTGCTGATGAGATAGAAATGGATGTCAAAGCGTCTGCAATCAACTTCCGCGACATTGCTGCCTCGATGGGTATCATCGATGACTTCCGTCTCGGCGACGAATGTGCTGGTGTGATCCGCCGCATTGGTAGCGCCGTGGACACATTATCTTTTAAGGAAGAAGACCACGTGGTTTGCTGGCGGCCTGGACAGGGGGCTCATAGCTCAGTACTCCGATCTCCCGCCGATGTCTGCCACAAGATACCTAATATGACCTTTGCCAATGCGGCATCCTTCCCATTGATTTTGACGACAGCTTATTTCGCGCTCCAGAATTCTGCTCGTCTGCAGGCTGGCGAGACTGTCCTGATTCACTCAGCCGCTGGAGGTGTCGGTCAGATGGCTATCCAAGTTGCTCATATGCTAGGAGCTAAAGTAATCGCCACTGTCGGATCTCAAGCCAAGCGTGAGTTCATCAGAGACCAATTTGGTATTGATGAGAGCCATATTCTTTCTTCCCGTGACTCGACATTCGTGCAAGGGGTTTTGGATCTGACAGACGGTCGAGGTGTCGACGTTGCTCTCAACAGTCTCGCTGGAGAGCTTCTTCACGGCACATGGAGCTGCATGGCTCGCTTTGGTCGCTTCATCGAAATTGGAAAGCGCGATATCCACGAGAACTCTAAGCTTGACATGGATGCTTTCAGGAAGAACGTTTCGTTCGCCTCGGTCGACATGATCACCGTCTACGAGTACAACAGATCCCTTGGATCACGTGTCTTTAAAGATTGTTGTCGTCTAATTGAGAGTGGAGCAATCAAGCTGCCCGAGACAGTTGCCGAGTATCCTTACAGTGAGGCCCAGAAAGCTTTCAGAGTTCTGCAGATGGGCAAACATCTTGGGAAAGTTGTTCTGACCTCACGTGAAAACGACCTGGTGCCGGTCCTTCCACCTACTTATCGTAATAAGACACTCTTTGATCAAGACAAGACCTACCTTCTTGTTGGTGGCCTTGGTGGCCTTGGTCGGACCCTGGCTGAATGGATGGTGCGCAAAGGGGCTCGTAAGCTCGCTTTCTTGTCTCGCTCCGGTGCCAACCGTCCAGAAGCTGCGTCTACTGTGCAATGGCTTGAAGCTCGCGACATCGAAACCTCTGTCTTCAAGGTTGATGTGACCAGCTACACCGCAGTCAAAGAATGCATCGAAAAGCTTGGACCCAGCTTAGCTGGTATTTTCCAAGCCGCTATGGTCCTTCAAGATTCACCTCTCGACAAGATGACCTACGACCAGTGGCAGACTTGCGTGCGACCGAAAGTAAGAGGCACTTACAATCTGCATCTTGCTACCATGCAGACCAAGCTTGACTTCTTTGTCTGTTTCTCTTCTGCCTCTGCCATTATTGGAACGATGGGTCAAGCTAATTACGCGGCGGCTAATACATATCTCGACTCGCTTATGAGCCACAGGCGTTCAATTGGTCTCGAGGGATCGACGATGAATTGTGGTATGATTGTCGGCGTTGGAGCTGTTGCCGAGGACAAGCACCTTGAGAGTCTCATGATACGCATGGGCTTTGACCCCGTCAACGAAGAAGAGCTTCTCTATCAGATCGAGGAAGCGGTCACATCTCGCAACACGCCGGGAGTTTCATCTGCTATCGATGAACATCAGACAGTGACAGGCCTCAACATCAATGGCAAGGACTTCTATTGGGCAACAAAGCCAATGATCAGAAACGTGTACTCCAATCTCGACATTGGTGACGTTTCTAGCGCTTCAGCTGGAAAGTCTCTGATTGCGACTCTGCGGGAGGATCCCGAACTCGAGGCTCGCGTGCCAATTCTGACTGAGGCCTTCATCGAAAAGATCTCTGCTGTTCTGGGGGTCCCGATCGAGGGCATTCAACCAATCAACCCTCTGTCGGCTTACGGTCTTGATTCTATCGTCGCTATCGAGCTTCGCAAATGGTTTGTGAAGTCAATAAACGTGGATGTCCAAGTATTCGATGTGCTTGGCTCTAAGTCAATTACTGAGCTGGTGACCAAAGCCGCGAAACTAATCAAGGACGAAGAAGACGCTGGCCCTGTACAAGAAACTGCTAAACCTGGCGCTACAGACACGAAGAAGTCTGCTATCGAGGGCGAACAGACACAGACCACATCTACTGCCTCCTCTGACCTCCAAGTGATGCAAAAACCAAAAAACATACCAATGTCGACCTTCCAGCGGAGACTTTGGTTCCAGCATCAGTTCTTGGAAGACAAGTCAGCCCTCAACCTTCCAGTTATTGGCTACCTCAAAGGCGAAGTCAATCTTTCTCTTCTCAAAGATGCTTTGCGCGAAACGAAGAAGCGCAACGACAGTCTTCACATGGCGTTCTTCGAGGGTGACAATTTCTCAGAGCAAAGGCCAACAAATGACTTCGAGCCTCGTATTGACTACAAGGATTTATCTGATGTCGTCGATGCTGAAGCTGCTCTTCAAAAGTACGTCAATGAGTTGAAACAGCAAGAACTGAGCATTGAGGATGGCGAGGTTATGCGTATGACACTTGCAAAATTGGCTAGCGATCAATATGCTTGTGTCATGATCTACCACCATATCACTATCGACAGAGGAAGCTCAATGTCTATCAACAAACAAATGATGAGCCTCTACGACGCAATGCGCAAAGGCGAGCGAGTCGAAACCGTCCCAGCTCCTAAGGTGTCATACATCGAATTCACCCTATGGCACAATGCACGCCTCGAACAACCCGATCTCCAGACTAGCATCGATTTCTGGAAGAAGAAACTGGACAGTGCTCCTTCAGCCAGCAAACTGTTGCCGTTCGCGCAAGCAACGCGTCCTGATCAAATGGACACAGGCAGGCAGATGCTTTATCAGAAGCTGTCACTATCTATGTTCAATCGCATGAAGCGGATATGCTCGCAGACTGGGACCACTCCGTTTTCCAATTTCTCATGGCTAGCTTGAGATCGTTCCATTTCCGCTACACTGAAGAGGAAGATCTAACAATTCATATGGTAGACAGCGGCCGCCCTCACCCAGATCTGGAGGAGACTCTAGGCTTCTTTGTGAACCTTGTGCCTATCCGCCTGACAGAAGCTGGCGACGCTGATTTCTCCACTTTGCTCCGCTACACTCGTGACTCTGTTCTGGAAGCTACGAAGCATAATGGTGTTCCTTTCGATGCTATCGTCGATAGTCTTGGCGTGAGGAAGGTGACAAGTCATCTGCCTCTTGGTCAGATCATTCTCAACTACCAATCGCATGGCAAAATGCCAAAGCTCAAGACTGAGGATTTCGAAGTCTACGATCTCACCAATGGAGATATTCCCACAGCCGCTGAGATGCAACTTGAGGCCATGGAGGATGGTGACAACGGCTTGGCATTGAGGCTGGAATACTCCTCGACCTTGTACGGCTCTGGAGAAATGGATCGCTTCTTTGACAACTTCGTCTACTACCTTACCAGCATCATCAAAGATTATAGACAACCTATTGCTGAGATCGAGATGTGTGGTCCTAAGGAGATCGATTACTTGAAGCGCAATCTATGGAATACCACGACATCAGAAAACTCCTGGGACAAGAAACCTGTCGTGGAGATGTTCCTCGATATGGCCAAAAAACATCCCACGATAAATGCTATTGAAGAAAGCGATGGCGAATCCATAACGTATGAGCATCTCGCTGCTCAAGCAACACGTATCGCAGCTTCCCTGCAACAGTGCGGTGCTTCAAGCGGTGACGTCGTCGGTGTTGTCTCTCGACCTGGTGTTGAAGCTATCTCAGCAATGCTTGGAGCGCTACTCATTGGCTGTGGCTATCTTGCCATGGACCCAGAATTTGCAAATGAGCGGCTGTCATTCATGGCATCAGATGCTGGTGCTCGTTTCTTGCTTGTGGCGGATGAACTCATGGAGAAAAGTGCAAGACCAATCGCAGAAGCGATGACTTTCATGCCTCCTCATATCATACCAATGTCAGAAGCTCGGGGGTGCGAGTATCCTCTCTTCCCCTCTGCTATTGAGCCTGACAACATTTGCTATATTGTGTACACCTCTGTAAGTACAACCACCCGGTGTGCTACCAGGCTTTACTGACGATGTTTGTCCACCAGGGAAGTACGGGAAAACCGAAGGGTGTCGCATTGAAGAATTCCAACACGCAGCAAATGTTGAGCACACTGCATCATGACTTCAACTTCACTCCTGGACTCAAATTTCTCCAGCAATCCTCAATTTGCTTCGACCTTTCCATCGTCCAGATTTTCTCCCCACTGACCAGCGGCGGCACAATTTGTGTCGCAAAGCCTGAGCTCCGCAAGGATCCTGAGCGACTTGCTGCATACATGCAATCTGCCCAGATCGGATGCACGTATTTCACGCCAACCCAATTTGCGCTCCTCCTCGAGACTGGTAGCGACCACCTCCGCCAATGTAGTTCCTACACTACTGCTTTCTTCGCCGGCGAGACGCTTCCTGTTCGTCTTGCAAAAGCGTTCTACGACCTCTCCACTCCAGCGTCAGCTTACAACACCTGGTCACCCAGCGAACTTGTCGTGCAGACCACAATCGGTAAAGTCGCATACCCTGACGCCTCTACCATCAGCATCCCGATAGGCTACCCTCTCGCAAACTGCCGCCACTACGTCCTGGACGCGAACATGAAACCCCTTCCAGCGTGCATCACGGGCGAACTCTGCGTCGGCGGCGCTCAAGTCGGCGCTGGCTATCTCAACCGCCCTGACGTCACCGCCAACGCTTTCATCTCAGATCCGTTCCGCTCGGAGCAAGATACAAAAGCAGGCTGGAACACATTCTTCCGCACAGGCGATCGTGGCCGCTTCCGCAGCGACGGGCAACTCGAATTCCACGGCCGGATCGCAGGGTCCACGCAGATCAAACTCCGCGGCTTCCGCATAGACTTGGGAGAAATCGAGCACAGAATCCATCTCGAGTTCGCGAGCACGCGCGGCCGCAAACTCGTTGATCTCGCCGTCGTCGCTGTGCCTCAGAAACAGTCCTCCTCAGCACCCGAATCTGGCGAGGAAAGTAGCCTAACAGACGACAGACAGCTCGTCGCCTTCCTCGTCTGCAGCCAACTCCTCTCCACACTCGACAAGCAGGAATTGATAACCTCTATCCACGAGCGCTTGAGCCACCATCTCAATTACTACATGCTCCCGTCCGCCTACCAATTCCTCACCTCCCTACCCGTCACTATCGGCGGCAAAGTCGATCGCAAACAATTCCTCACCATGGACATCGCCCCCTTCTACCCCGGCGGGGGATCCACCGCGCCTTTCTCCTCCACCCCCATCACCTCCTCTTCTCTCTCTTCCACCAACCCGGACGGCGAAGATGACGTCCTCCAGAAAGTCATCAAGTTGTTCAAAGAAACGCTCAAACTGCCTGAAGATCATGAGGTCAAACCGACGGATAATTTCTTTGAGTTGGGCGGCCAGAGTATCCTACTGCTGAGGGCGCATAGTAAACTTAAGAAGGTTTTTAAGATTGCGCCGCCGTTGAAGGAGCTGTTCACGGCGGCTACGCCGTTGGATATGGCGAGAAAGGTCAGGGAGTGCGTGGAGGAGAAGGAGAGGGAGAAGGTTGCTGTCGAGAAGGCGTGATTAGAGCATTTGGATGTTTTTGGTATTTCTATGTGTGCTTGGGGATTCTTTGGCGCTGGCATTATCTGGCGTTTTTGGGAAAATGTGGCTTGGTTACTGATGCGTTTCTTGAGGGGGTGAGCACGGATGCATGCATGCATGGGAAGAATGGGGTTGCTTAATATACAATTTCCTTGTCTTGAGCCTCTCTTTGTATATTTCTAGATCTCTTCGTCAATGTTATTACCAGTATTCATCAAATTCACCACCTCGGTGCCTCTGTCGCCTTTCGAAACTGCCCATCTTCACGATCAAATCTTTCGCACAAAACCCCTTTGGCATTCGCAACCCTGATCTCATAGTCCTCAACAATTCCCATCCCCTAACGCCCTCGTCTATCTCTAACATCACCTATACGAGCCCTCGTACCTCCCATCCCGTCACAAGAAAGCCGCAGCTTCTTCCACCAGCATCTCAGGCCCCGTCCTTGAAGCAAGGCCTCCCTCCGCGATTGTAGTCCTGGCTATCCCCTCCACCTCCGAATCGCTCAGCTTACATCGCAATTGGTTCCTCTCGCTCTTTCTGGACGCGGGAATGGCATTGCTTGAGAAGCGGGAGATTGTGGTTTAGCACATCTAGCTACTGTACTGCGATGTGATGTGATGTTTCTAGGCGAACGACGGGGGGAGGGGGGCTGAAACAGACTCCAGCAATTTTCAAATTACGGTCAGAGGGGCCAAATTCAATAACGCGAAGCCTAATGAAGGGTACCTTGCGGTTGCGATTGGGACGGTCCGATGGCTATGATAGCACAGCGAGTACCTGACACAGATGGGTGCGGCACAGCATGGGTAGGGGGGTTGCGCCACAACGTGCTTCTTGGCTCGATATACGACTTCAGATCTCAGAGCGGCGCAGTAGCCGGAAGTCAGTCACAGATAAGGTTATGCTCAATTCCACATTCTCAAAATAGCCCGAAGATGGTTACACTTAAAGGGTTTATGCGAGAAGAAGCGTCCTGGCTACTGCGGATGCTGATTTTGGTGAGCGTATTGTAAGAATGCTGAGAAGCATTGGTGAGTCCACAGTCAGAGAAAGTAGTACTACTGAGGCGATAAGTCGTGGTTTAGACCCCCACGTACTTTGTTCACGCCGCTCTTGGTAATACATGTCACCAAAGATAAGAAGGTATTGACAGCCCCCGAGTCCAACAGAGGCCTCCAAGGCAACCTGAGTAAGGTCTTTGACTTGCGGCCCAAACGTGTCAAGATTTTCGCTACATCTACTTGAGCCTTGGAGGACAAGCAGGCCCTCAAGATGTTGTTCTTACTGAATTCATGATGGCGTTTTGCGCGCTTTTGTGTTCTCACGCCGTGTCCCCTTTCCATCACAAACACGCTCATCTTCATCGATCTAGAAGATCCGTCGTGATCTTGATTGCCCTAAAAGTGCCAAATCTGTAGTCACTTCTTTCCCGAGGATGGACTTTGGGGGACTTTTGTCCACCAAACCCATCAGGGAAATGTGTGCGAGCATGACACACAGGCCTGTTAGAGCCCTATGTTGGCTGAATATCAAACCTCCTGTGATGAAACTGACAATCGCTCTACCTATTTCACGTCCAGAGCGGTGAAAATGACCGCTTGTCGACATCGTGCTAGCTTTGGACCCGTTTGCGGCTCCTACATTGGCTTCACATGGCAAGAATCATAACGCCGCATTCCAAAAATCAATAAGCAGGTATCGAGCTTTGTCCCTGACTCCAAGTACTGGCTGTTCTTCGCTAGCTCTTGGATCCAACGGTCAGCTCTCACATCGTTCCCGTTCTACTACGCCCCGCCAAGACTTACGCCTTGTGACCGCACATGCTGAATTTCCTAATACGGTCTCGCCACTCAACAGCCTCAATTATAGCATGTTTGACAATTCTCACCACTTACAGTGCCAGTCATGGATGACCTGCTCGGCCACCCTTGGCAGGATGGACCAACATAGGGGCCAATGTCTTCAATTTGATCAAACATGAAGTTGGCCTAGGTCTTGGTGCCCCGATGTGGTACTATTAGCGAGCCAGAGCAGTTGAGATCTCTCGAGGAGTCTCACATTGCCTTTTCGTGGTATCGAATATTGATCGCCGCCTCGGATATTGCAGGGCTCCATTGCAACGATCGGTTTCAATCTCGGCATAATGTAACCAAGGTCCTTCACATGGTGTTTGTGTGCGTCTAGCTGGTCCGGGCCTCTGGACCCCTCAAAAACTGTTAGAGAATAGATCGAATACTCTAAGAATGAAGAGGTCACCCTCGCGCCCGATCTCATAGACATTGATGAAAGAGATCTTCATCTTTCAGTACTGTATTGAATCCTGATGACAGTTATACTATGCCTATGAAGATGGTAATCCCCTATCTTTACATTCCATTTCTCCTTCAAATATTTATCTTCAGCATCTCTTGCAGTGTTTTAATACCCACACGGATCTTGAAGCGGCAAGATTCTGCCACTCCTTCGATAACAGCTCCATGTTCCATCACTACCACAAGTTATCCTACAGATGGACCTTCTGCGGCCTCTTACTCAAGTATGGGGCTTTCAGGCGAGCAGAAGTATTGCCAGTGCGGTGGTGTCATTGCGGGCATCAACCTCGCGACCTCTGGACAGTCCACAACAAGCTACTGTGCTACTGGTGGCGATGTACCCCCCGGCTTTACCCAAATCGCAGCTGATGGCAACGGCAATGCTATCACTACCGCCCCGGCAAAAACAACGGCAACAGCGACTGGGACTGTTAGCATTGCCAGCTATACTGGCACCACCCCAGAAGGTCAAGATGAAGAGGACAATCTGAAGCATTGTATAATATACATGCCACCCAGTGATGAGCCCAATGTGTCCTCCAATCAGTGTCAAGAGTTTTGCAAAGATGCTCAACCCGACGAAAACGGGCTTAAGTCTATCATCTGCTCTGATTTCTGGCCTGCAGGCAGCCCAGACCCATGGGTAGATAATCCCGACAAAAGTAAGTTTTCAACTTTATTTCTCTATTGATTGCTTGTCAACATCGCCACTGTACATTTCCAGTCAGAAGCCTGACGATACTTCGATTGACTGAAAACAGGCGGTGGAAAATTAATGCGCGGAGATTGCTCATGCAATAACAAATTCCTCAACTTCGTCGTACACGAAGTGCTCGAAGCCTTGCCAGCTATTGCAGAGGTAAGTTGCTCGATCTTTGAATCTACAATAGCTTTCCTAATCATCTACATAGATCGGCTGCAATCTCTTAATGGCTGCGTTTCAATTCATCGTTCAGCTCGCATTACAGGCAACTGGCATTGGACGGGTTGTGGACGCAGCTATGGGTCTGACTCCTCTTTTGCTTTGCTTTTCAAGCGAAGATAGACTGATGGCTTGCAGCTATGGGCGCACAGGCTGCTAAAACTGTGGCATATGCGTATGATATCGACTCAGAAGCTTTGGAGAATTTCATCAACTGGGCGAGTTTTTGCGGTACCGATCATCTGCCCGGAGACATGGCAAAGGTCTTCAGTGTCTTACGGGATGTTGAAGATGCCCTAGTTGGATTTAAAGTCCCCAAAGGATTGACGACTGCGGGTGGTGGCAAGGGCAAAGGCGGGTATGGCAAGTGCAAAAACAGCAAGCACAAGCGTGGGGGCGACGGTACTAATCTTACGGAGAGCACTTTACGGGTGCATCGCTGACGAATTGTAGGTAAATGTGACAAAGATGACAAGGGAGACAAGGACGCGACGACTATCACAAAATCTGAGGCAGACCTGAAGACTATCACGATGACTTGTGAAGGTATGATGGTCGCCATCTATGAACAAGGCATCTCCATTCAGACTTCGAGCACATTAACGTTTTTCCCAGTACATTGCTGACGGGTGCACAGGTAAAAAATATCCACAAGCATGTGCACATTATCTTTCAGCCGTCGAGGTACATAAGGCAGCGACCAGATTCACGTGCAGCGACAGTAATTCACGTACCGATGCGAAGGCTACTTCTACGTGGACGTCGCAACACACAAACAAGAAATGGCAGGAATACACCACCATTGATGGTCTGAAATGCGACGCTGACGAATGGCCACCTGGATACTTCTGGGATCAGGGTAAGACGTTGGGTCAGATTGTCAGATGGATCCCTGACGGCGATAATCGTGGAGTAGCAGCATCTAATTGGGGCGGCTTCTGCGGCAAGAACGACGGAGGAGAAGGCAACGGTCAATATGATAAAGATGGACTTGTGAACAAGGATCTTGTGAATCTTGGAAAGAGTAAGGTAGACAAGAAAAACGGCAAAGTAAGTGTTCTTCGCAAATCAATGACGTTCGTACGGATTCTAGACTGAAGTCATTCAGGAAACGACCAGCTACGAGGCAAAATTCACAAGAGCAGTATTTGAGTTCGACTTTGACAAAGATGTCGCGGGGAAGGACAAGGACTACGCAATTTCTGACAACGATTGCTGGCCACGGTGGATCCTCCCAAACGACCCAGGCTATTGCTTGTTGAAAGACGACGACTGGTATGGCGAGAATAATGGTGCTGACGAATTCGTCAATCAATACGAAGACGAGCCTGATCCGAAACTCATAGCTGCGGCAGACAAACGGAAAAAGGACGCTGGCGGAGGCAGCAAACTGAGACGACAGCTTCAGATGAATGATGGTGGGTTGGCTGTGCGAGAAGCCAATCTCACAAGGAGACTCACGGAGGATGAGATCGCTCGAGACGTCGAGATTATACCTTGTACAGACCGGACTTGTGTCAGAGAGCGTCGCGAGTATCAGAATGAGGAAGGTCTCCTCTTCATTGATGGCGAACAGATACTGGCGCCACGTGATAATCCAGCTGAGGTATCCGCCATTCCAAGGGCGGCTACTACGTTAGAAGTTCGTGTACGCAGGCGTGAGGAAATCCTTCCCGAACTTCCTGCCATAACAGGTCTGGCAGCGTTGAGTAAACGTGCAGAGGATGATCTTGAGCTCCCGCCCTTCACCAAAGGTCCAATATAAATGATAGTCCCTCGGAAAAGACTCTTTGCAATATTCAAATCGTGATTCTTATGTACAGAGAAACAGCGAAACCTATGTACTGCGAGACGTGTCATAGAGACATTGCCGGATTCATACCATATATTCAGGACTTACTATATACTCAGGACTAATGGTGAGGGATCTCAGGTGTACAGCTGGAGAGTCTGTACAACTGAGCGTAGAGGAAGACACCGATTACACTAATGCTGTTAGACCAATGAGTACGATGTAAAGCTGCCAGTTTTGAAAGCCCCAATTCTTTGCCAAGCTCGACCGACTGAATCCGTCTCTAAAAACCTTTACACATGATCCCTTACCAAAGACATCAGAGATGTAGAATTTGAAGCTGGTCAAGTTTCATCTCGCAGATTTGCTGGGACGTGCCTCATTTCACGGAGTTTGATACACCCAACAACAACGCCACACGTTCGGAACGAATACTTTATGGAGACAAGCCTCAGTTTCAGATATACCATACCCAACACTAGACTGCCCCACTCTGCGAACGACAAGGGAGGCTGTGTTTGCCACACATGCTTAACACAACAACCAGCACCTAACTCTACGGCGCCTTCCGTACATATCTCTTCCCAATAGTCATCTAAGTGACCTACAGTTTTCCTCCGATCTCACCTACAATCAAGACAGAAGCAGCCCAACATGCCAGACAAAGACCCTCCACCCTATAACCGTGAAGAGTTCACTTCAAACATCCTCACCCTCTACCGCGCTCTCCCCAACATCCCAGACTGGGCCATCAAGCCACCTCCAAAAGAAGGCTGGCCCGACATCACCGACTCCCATCTCTCCTTCCTGCACAAAACCCCCCAAGTCATCTCCCTCATCCGCTACCTTCCCATGATCGACCGCCGCGCGCAAGACGACGACCCCTTCCAAATCTACGCGCACACATCCGCCATCGACTTCGTAGGTGATTGGTTCAACAAAAACGTCCTGCCGTTTAAGGCGAAGACCAAGGTCGATCCAATGGAGGAAGAGACCGTGCTACCCGCGCACGTCCTGTCGCTCGCACAGCCAAGTAAGGGACATGACGGCAGCTGGATTTTCGTGGATACGGAAAGGGCGACGGTGTCGGTGTGTGATCTGGAGGTTGGACCGAGGAGGGATTGGGGGTATGAGCGGTATGAAAAGGTACGTGTATCACCTAATGTCAGTTCTGCTTTCTGAGCTGAGATCCTCAACTTGAGAGCTGACTGATCTTATTTTGGTAGGAAGTGGAGGGCCAATATTGGACGGAGTTCCATGCGTATAGCTTTCCGGACTTTTTCGATATGATGATGAAGGAGGCCGGGAAATCAAAATGGTGGGCTCCTCAGCATTCACTCCCACATGGTAATTTGTTTCTGACATGGGTGAGGAAACTCAGAATACAATGGAGAGTTGGAAGGAGGGCGATTTTGAACTTGAAATTGTCGATCTTGAGTCATTGGAGGAGAGGTTGGAGTGCGATCTTGGACTTTGTCGAGGCGTGTCGTAGTGATACTTACACCACAAAAAGTAGGATCAAATTGCAGAATTGATAATAGCATGTTTTGATATCTTCGTAGAAAATACTCGATGTGAAGGGTGAGGTCTCAACAGCAAGTACTCTCGATTATTCATAGTCGGCTAGACTTTGGTAGTATCGTCAAGCTCTTGAAAGGCTACATATCTAAATAAATGCAGTGTAGCCACTGTTCTCTTGATTTCAGAGGCTTGCAAGCTCTTGTGAGTGCTCTGGCCCTCTCAACTCTGGAAGTAACGGAATTCCTCGTGCGGGAGTATCTGCAATAAGTTCGGCGACTTGACCTCCACTTTGTAGCTCTGGTAATGTGGTCGTGGCTTGCAACTCATTTCGTCTTGGCCCCTCATGATCGAGTTCTGCTTTTTGCTGGAAATACGGTTGCCCATCTCCGTCTTGAGATAATGTATTGAAGTGATCTCGTCTTTCCTTGCGTTTTCGATAAGAGAAAATACCGACCCCGACAGCGAGAGTCACGGCAAGAATTGATGGTATTACACTGGCAATGATGATGGTCCTTCGATTTCTGTTATCAGCCACGAGTGGTTTGATCGGATTTCCTGTAGGTGTTGAGCCAGAAGATGTTGACGAAGGAAGAACATTACTTGATGGTGAAGTTGCAGTGGAGACGATTGTGGAAGTCTTGGAAACCTTTTGAAGGTAAGCCGGTAAACGAGTGGCGTATGTACAGCCAGGGGAGCTTTCATTCAGAGATGAAACTAGAGAGGTCCCTAGAACATTAGAAAGCTCCAGTTCGTCCGTGACAGAGGGGGAGGCAAAGTAGCTCGGTGGATTCAGGGTGATTGGTGCAAGGATTTGTGTATTACATGTCCCATGCTGAGAGAAGGTTACTTCTTTCCGGTAAGAAGAGGCAACAAAATGGCTTTCTATCGTCGTTTCACTGCAATTTATTGTCAATGGTTTTACCAAAAACATAATTTTAATAGAGCTTACAAGAGTCCTTTCACCCCTGATGAGGTTGTAAGATTAACTATTGGCAAAGCAAAATCCGCTACTATTTTGCAACCATCCCCACAGACTTGGGCTATTGTATGATGAGTATTTGTCTTCGAAGAGCTCCCGCCGTTATGACATGAGGCTGTGCAGAGGACACGAACTATCGAAATCCGCTGCTGATCCAGTATTCGAGAAGAACAGCGCTGAGCTGACATAGTTCAGAGCTTTCATGGCTATTGGGCTCGCGACCAGGGATCAAGATTTCGTTGTACGATTTGTTAAAGAAATACTTCTGAAATCGCCTTGATATTCCGTCTCAGCAAGTGGCACAGCCAGTACTCATCTGAGTGAATTTCTTACCACCAAACGCATGTAGTTGGCTACTCTGCATGTGCATACTTGCGTCGGGATTGCAGACCGCACCGTACGCAAACGTTTGGAGCGCTTGCAAGCCTGATTATGCGATGGCATTCTTTGCGCCCTACGCCGTGGCTATGCAGATAGCAAAGATTGCGCTGGAAGGAGCCCCAGCTAGGAACAACTATGTAAAAGTACTCTGTCCACTAAGACAGTTTGCTCATTGGTTTGTCGATGCATTTTCTCGTATCATAAAGACCGTAAGTTTTGACTCGGGAGGACTGTTCGGCTGAGGAATGTACGAGAAAGAGCTCACTTCCAAAAGCAAACCGTAAACATCAGATATAGTATGACCAGCAACGTTGTGACTAGCGAAGTTCTCAAGTCATTGGAATTATTTCTTCCCTGAACGAAAACATGCTCTTCGTCTGTCGTAACGCCACCATAGTGTCCGCTGTCGCTCCCTCTGAAGTGAAATGGAGATATCCAAGGTTGACGCAGATCTTGTTCAACCAATCGTCATTTGACAGGTCTTTGATTAGAACAAAGCGACAGACACCATCGAAATCCGACGAATTTGAGCTATTAGGCTTCGACCAATTGGTCGAAGAAGTGAGTAGTCTGCCTCTAATATTTCGCATCCGAACCTGTTGCAAAGTAGGTTGCCACAGTCCCAGCCTTGACTGGATTATCTTGGAGCATCGCTTTGCCACAGAGTCATTGTGGATTCAGCAACATAGACTCCAGGTGCTACGAGATCAGCAGACTCTCTTGTCCGTGCGCTCTGAGCATCTGTTATGATTTTTAGGTCAGGAAATGTATGTGAGGACGAGATAGTCCTGTGATCCTAAGGCGCTCTCAGACATTCACTAGTCTCGTCTCACGGAATGATGTATAGAACAAGATGCCGGACAGCCTCTGCTGCGGTTGTTACAGAGTCGAATCTGAAAGATCCAAAAGACAGCCCAGCCAACGAGGAAATGGGAGAAGCCTGTGCAATGGACACAGAAGTACCAGCCATCAGATCCGCCTCCTCGCCACCTCGTACTTCTCCGCCATCAACAACGCACCTCCGCAGCCCTACGGCATTATCACCGAGTGGAGGATATTTTGGATGCGTGGTTATACCCGACACCGGTCGTGAAGAATCATGTAGCCTTCCGCAGAACATTTGCGTGAAGTACTAAAGTGGCTATTACGGTTTCTTTTGTGATTTAATTCGTGGGAGAACCTCCGGAGAACAAGAGGCCGATCACAACGGCGTACAGCCTTTATGAATGAAACCATGTTGCTCCATCTCCCGATGGTGGAGAGCTGCCGGCAAATCGGACCGGTAGGATGTGTATATCGTCGGGTTATGGTGGGGTCGACGAGGGTGACGCTGATTATGGAGCCATCTGTGCTATGTCTTCGTGTGGGCTTTCTCCTCCATCATTAGAAGTTGCTTGAGTACTTTCGGCTCGAGTTCTGAAGGGTGCGCTGTGGACTTTATGCAACGATTGTTCTACTGTCTGAGTTCATGGTTGAAGTAGACGTTCTTAGCGCACTGAAAATAAGATCTCGTTTGTCAATGTTGGACCTACTCAGAAATCCATACTCTATGCTGTCTGCCGCAAATGCTGTGCGCAGGCATGGTGAGGAGGTCTTGGATCATTTGGGGACACGTCATTTCAAAATGAAAAGGGAGGGCGATTGAGAAATTGCATGCCAAGGCCGAAGGCTGGGCATCAAATGTGGAACACTCAGGTCGCTAAGGTAGGAGCAGCATCTGGTGACGTCACGGTGGTGCATTGTATCAGGACGTCAGAATATTTTTGACCAGTTTATCTTTAGCTCAGAGCTATGTGCATCAAGTCCAACAGACGACCAAATCCCTGCGTCGGGCACGGGGCAATGTTGGTGGTGCTGATAAAGGGGGCTTGGCTAATTGGTGTGAGACTAGCCTGCCGTAAGTTCGTACTCGTAAACAAGACATGTCCCCTCCAATCTGTTTGACCTCACCGCTACGGGTGGACACATATATAGACCACGAAGATGATCAAGTATCTCATTCTCTCAAGTCAGAAGGAGAAGATACCCCTCTCGCGACCCACACATCATCTTAAGATTGCATGACGTCAGCACTCTCCACATTTTCCTGTACACATTAACAACGCTCCTAATCCTATTCAAGCCATACGCAAAATCGCAAGGACGCAATACAGGCGAACTAAGAAGCAGAACTCAACAGCACATAATGGCAGACGCATCACCCTCTCCCCCTCCCAAGACAATGCGAGCATGGCAATACTCCTCCACCAGCGGCGGCCTGGAGAAGAACCTCAAAATCAATCCCTCCGCCGCCCTCCCAAAACTAAAGCCAAACCAACACCTCGTCCGCATCAGCGCCATGGCCCTGAACCCCGTGGACTACAAACCCGCTCAAATCCCCGGGGTCGCGCGCCTGGCCGTCGGCCTCCCCGCCACCCCCGGCATCGACTTCTGCGGCCGACTCATCACGCCCGCCAAGGACTCCCCGCTGAAGGCCGGACAGATGGTGTTTGGGTGCGCGGGCAACAACCCCGTCGCGGGGGGCGCGCTGGGCGAGTACGCCGTCGCCGGGTTGCAGGCGGTGGCGGCACTGCCTGAGGGGATGGAGGTGGTGGATGCGGCGACGGTTGGGGTGGCGGGGACGACGGCGTATCAGAGTATTGTGCCGCGGGTGAAAGCTGGGGATCGGGTTTTCGTGAATGGTGGCAGCGGGGGCGTGGGGGTGTTTAGCGTGCAGTTTGCGAAGACGATGGGGTGTTATGTCGTGGCGACGTGTGGGACGGGGAATGTGGAGTTTGTGAAGGGTTTGGGGGTCGATCGGGTGGTGGATTATCGGACGGAGAATGTGGTGGAGGTGTTGAAGGGGTTGAGGGAGAAAGAGGGTGGGTTTGATCATGCGGTTGATAATGTGGGGACGAATGAGGAGTTGGTGTTGGGGTGTCATGAGTTTATGAAGAAGGAGGCTTCATATGTGATTGTCGGGGGAGAACCGACGTTGCAGGGACTGAAGGATATCTTGAAGAGAAAGCTGTTGCCTGGTTTCTTGGGGGGCGTGAAGGGGAAGGTGGAAGGCTTCTTTCCGGCGCATAAGACGGAAGATTTTGAGAAGATGGCTGAGTGGATGACGCAGGGGAAGGTGAAGGCAGTCATTGATTCTAGGTTCAAGTATGAGGAGGCTGTGAAGGCGTTCGAGAAGTTGAAGACTGGAAGGGCGCGGGGAAAGATTGTGGTGGATGGTCCGTCGGAATTGTAGGAACAGCACCTCGCAAAGCCTGAGCACGAGTCTAGAGACCCGTGAATCTTACTTCTCATAGGGTCTCCGTAATATTAGCATATTCTCGTTCTGCAGTAGCCTTATCCCAGAGATTTGTTTTATTTGTCTGCAATTTTTGAGATTACTGGAAGGTTGCGGATGTGAGCCTCTACTGAACGGACGATTGGGAAGTAATTTGTTGAGTTGAGACGTCTCATTAGATTTCGTACGTCACCTACCATCGGTAATCATTCGTTGGCGTTCATGAGGCGGTTTCGGATCCTGCAGCCATTCGTATAGCATCCAAATCTATTCGACAGATCACTGCTCTGGGGTGAATCATCTCAAGATGCAAAATAGACGTGCTTGGCTCAACATTTTGGTTGGGAATCATGCATATGCCTTGAGTACCGATGGTTCAATAGCACGAGAAAGCTCCAGAGCTCTAAGCAATTGTGAAATAGGCAGTGCACCACTGGGCAAGAGTTACGCTCAACTTGAGTGATGACTCGCGGGGAAGTTGCATACCGCGCTGTTTGAGACGCCGGATCGAACACTCGAAATAACGCCTTCACTGGGCCTCGAAGGAATGCGCCCATAGAGTGTTACGTGTACAAGGGTCCCCCAAATCTATATAGTCTATGACATGAAGTCTTTGTTCTTCACATTGTTCATTCAACCTTCGATCTCAGGAAAAATCAAATCGACAAGAACCGAACTCAAGACTTTTGTTACTTAAACAAGGCGTGATCATGGCCAAAGGTGATCCTTTGGGGTGTGGTGGCTGCGATTCAGGCTCCGAACATCTCAACAAGGATAAATGTCGCGAGATGAACGAAAATATGATCCTGGAAGAAAGGGCCAAATTCAAAGAGGCACAACAGTCTTATGGGCGCCAATACGACGAGCCACTCACGAGATTAGTGAATGCCGTCAGAGCAAACGATGAAGAGGCAAAAGCAGCAGCTAAGAAAGATTTCGGCGAACTAAGTGATGAGATGCGCAAATTTGTGTACGACCACAATGCGCAAGAGAGGCTAAGGGTATATATTCTCTGCTCGTCAAGAGAGTCTTTCTAGCGACCTGAATCTAACGTACTTCACAGGTAGGAGCTTTCGAACATGTGCATGGAAAATTCATCTCCGAGAAATGCAATATCCCACCCAAATAGATTGGAGGTAATGCCGAAAGCAGTGCTGCCAATGCACAATAGCTTCAACGGGCCGTGACTCGATGGAAGAACACATAAACTAGCATTAATACTCCTGGGGCATCATGAGGGTGAATGGGTAGATAGGTAGTAGAACACACATGGAGACACGGACTTCTCCACAATTCATACCACATTGGTCATCTCTCCTTCATATTTCGTCTCCGCAAGAATGTCCTGATTCTCCAGATTCAAAGAAGAGGTGCATTCTCACCAGTGCCAGCATCTACATTCGCACCCTTCGCCTCTGTGCAAGAAATAGAGCCTTCTTCATTCACGAAGTGTTTCTTAGGACGGTCCTCACAGTCTGTACTAATATTTCCCCAGACACTCCAAGTCATGAATGTCCGATATGAAAGCTGTTTCCTATCTCTCACATTAATCAAAACAATCGCACTTACAACAATACCAAACGTTTAAGTCACGCCACTGCTCTGTACAACAGAGAGAGGCCTTCTCCGTTCATGAGACGTTAGTCGCGCTCTCTCTCATAGCTTGTGATGATTTTTGTTCAGGCCTCTCATTAATTGGTTGCTTGTGTGCATGCCAGTCCAATTTTGTCGTAGAGCTGGGGATGCCGACCTGATATACTTTCCTCCAACCGAACGCTTTGCGACATCCCTGGTCAGAACAGGGCGCCCTTCTCAACTCCATACAAAGAAGTCGTGATAGAAGCAGGTAACAAGTCGTGATGACTGGGATTTCTTCTCTAGTAGCAAGTTCCCCGAGCAACAGACTAGAGATTGTTGCCCGGAGGCCTGAGACGTAGTCTCTGTTGCGTTAAATGTAAAATGAGTCCTTCTCAACAACTTTTATCTAGAGTTGCAGGCCTAGACAAGTCCTATGACGTCCCGAAATGCCGTGAATAAGAAGAAGCACCTGATCCTGACCTTGACTCTCTCACGGCAAGCGAAGTGGAAACCCGCAACGTTCGCCGTCGCGAAGCAATCATGTCTAGGGGATCGACAGAGGTCTAGACTCTCCTGCGCCACGTGTCTCATATTATCAAGCTTACCTTAACGTTTTACCTTGAAGGAAGAAGGCCGCCCTAGCCCTGCAAGCATCATTCTGGCCTGTTTTGCCGTTCAAGACCGAGGCTGAATTGTCAGATAAAGGTGCAAAACAAACGCTATGAATTTTATCGCAGGTGATTTGAATTGAACAAGGCACCTTTGAAACCTTCCTCGCTTCTTATTGTCGAGAAAACAGGCCACAACAAACAAGGATGTGATGGACCGATGGTAGTATTAATAGATCACAAAACCCAACCCGGCGACTTTGCTCGCATGCAACAACTATCTTGGGCCCATCAGATAACCTAAACTCGGATCCAAGCTTTCAAGTCTCGGGTGTACCTTTCACTTGCGCACTCCGCCCATCACCAGCCCGCAGCCCAGCCCGTCAGCATCGCACCCGCGAAATCCGCAACGATGACGTCACGTGCCTCCTCGGCGAACATGTTTGCGGGCAGCCACTCCTCCCATATCACAACTATCCCCCTAGCTAAAAAAATCAAAGAAATGCATTTCATCATCCATTACGACAAGACAACCCCCTAACGACTCAATAAAAAAATAATAATGCATCGCATAGGCGTCTTCCCCGCGTCAGGAAAATTGGGCACCAGCATCTACACGCACCTCAGCAAACACGTCGATCCGGCCGACGTGATTTTGATTTCGAGGAACCCGGACAAAATCGCGCCGGAGGTGATCAACGCGGGCGCGGCGACGCGGCAAGCCGACTACGACGATCTGGAATCGCTGCATCATGTCTTCAAGGGGATTTCGCATCTGGTGCTGATTTCGTATCCGAGCTTGGAGATCGAGCATCGCGTCGAGGTGAGTTTGCCGTCTCCCTACCTAGCTTACCTAGCACTGGGGATGAAAAGATGTGGGAAGCGAGGAGAGAGGTGGTGGGACAGTAGTTGATTTACCAACGTAACATGCAGGCTCACAAGACCGCCATCATCGCCGCCGTCGCAGCAGGCGTTTCGCACATCTTCTACACCTCCCTCGCCTTCGGCGGCGACTGCACGCCCACCTCCATCGCGCACGTGATGCAAGCCCATCTGCAAACCGAAGCCTATCTGAAACTGCTCATGGTGCAGAAACCCGGTTTCTCCTTCACAGCCATCCGAGAGGGGTTGTACGCCGAGTCCTTCCCTATGTACATGGGCTTTCCCGACTTGCGCGGGTCGACGATGGATTTGCGGATTCTCTGTGATGGCAAAGGGCCTGGGCTCGCGTGGGCGAGCATTGACGATTTGGGAGAGGCGACTGCGAAATTGGTGGAGCGGTATTGTAAGGGGCGTGATGTGAGGGAGTATGAGAATCGCGTGGTGCTGTTGTCGGGTCCGAGGGCGTATAGTCTTGCGGAGACGGTGCAGATTCTGGGGTCGATTGCGGGAGATAGGATGGCGGTGCATAAGGTGGGTATTGATGAGTATGCGTGTGATCCGGTGGTTCAGGACAATCTTGATTCGCATGGCGAGGTGGATGTTCCGTTGAAGTGGGCGACGAGTTTCAAGGCTGTGGAGGCGGGCGAGACTGCGGTTCCTTCGAAGAGACTGGAGAGGTTGCTGGGGAGGAGGCCGGAGACTTTCGAGAAGGCTATGGGAAGGATGATCAGAGAGGCGCACAAGGGAAAATGATGGCGAAAATGATGGCGTATGGAGGACCTTTCATCAAATCGTATCATAGAATTAGGGCTGTGCTTTTGGTCTATTTCTGTCTCAGCCTTTCCTGGAGTTGAGGTCGCTGCGCTGTATGTGCGCCTGTCAATTACTATGTCCGGTAATCTGCTCCTCGTCAACTTCCACTTCTGGCTGCCCTCACCTCGTATATTGGCTACGATCCCATTTCTTCGACGCCCTCTTCCAGCAATGTAAATACGGTTCCATACTTATCAGACACCAGCTACGCTCTTGCAGTGCTTAGGGCGGCGACGTGAACAAGCATGATGAAGATTTGCATTGTGAAAAAGGCGGGTTCTGGCGATAGAGCGCCCTTACATACTGACTGTACGCTCTGGTCTCGCCATGCGAAGATGTGCAGACAATAGCAACAGCTTCTAAAGCAACAACGCTCCGCAGGGAATAGAGGCACAGTATTGCATCTGGTGCTGGTGCCAATGCCAGAAAGCTATGGAATGTAATGTCTTAATCATCAAGCAGCAATAACCCACATTGTGTTTGATGCTCGTCTGTTAGACGGACACTAGCAGACCGCACAGCCTGTTCTGCGTTCCGCCTTTTCCAGCTCGCTTTGTCTACTATGGTGCCCATTGCGCTGTACTAGAGAGACTTACAACGCCTTAAGGGAATGCAGGGAAGCAAGTTGCAAAACGATCAAGCATTTCAAGGCTCCCTATCTCCCCGCCTAAAATGACGTGCTGACCGTCCTTGGCAAGGTGTCTAATAGCGGGTGGCTTTGGGCCAGTGAAGCCCATGAAAAGGCCTAGAACGTCGGGAAAGGATGGGCCATCTGCGAGACACCTCGAGCCAGACACACATAAATATGCCGAATCGCTACCAATCCCTATCTGGAACTCCTCAATATAGATTCGCAGTCCTTCTCAGCTTGTTGTTCAGCAGGCAGATGCGAAGAATGCCCTTTGGACGTACCAGATATAGCCCCAAGAGTTTGCATTGTGGTTGGCCCTATCACACCGCTCGAGCTAGGCCTCTGGTGCCGGTGATAGCGCGTGGACGGCGCCGTCTGCCACAGTCTTTAAAAGAGGACAATGACCCCACGTTCCTCCACTGCGTCTCTTGACCACTTGCTTCTCTTGGTGTTAAATGTGTGTCGTTTTTTTTATCAGATAGACGCACTGCGCTGATCGCCAGAGACCTGTCATTGTAAGAATGTCGTCAATTACATTGAGAGATGCCCTTGGAAATTCAAAGACTTCGGGCATTTACATCACCTTGATCGCTCTTGCTGCGCTGTTTATATATACCCTCTATGGTGCTATTTGGCGTCTGTATCTCACCCCGATTGCCCATATACCAGGTCCTTGGTTCGCGAAACTCACGTTCTGGAATGAATTCTATTATGATGTCGTTCTTGGGGGAAAATACACTTGGAAGATCGCAGACTATCATGCGATCTATGGTCCAATCATTCGCATCAATCCGTTCGAAGTGCATATCATGGACCCTGAATTCCATGAAGAGTTGTATGTCCACTCCAACAAGCGCAAGAGCAACAAATGGTTTTGGTCGGTAAGTCGATCGTACGTCCTGATGCCTGGCTTCTCCTGCTGAAAGGAAAGGGTAGATGCGCATGTTTGGCCAGCAAGACAACTCCGCCTTCGACACCCTCGATCATGATAAGCATCGCATGCGCCGAGAGCCATGGAACCCCTACTTCTCCAAGCAGTCAGTATCTCGTCTACAACCTCTCCTAATTCAAAGCTGCGTCAACAAACTGTGCGATCGATTAGCCGAACATCGCGACGCAGGCAAGCCAGTCATCATGACATACGCCTACGCCTGTCTGACCGTCGACGTAATATCCGAGTACTCCTTCCCAGCAGGTACCACCTACCTCGACCAACCCTCGTTCGACCAAGACCACTACCAAGCCTGGATGGCGCTATCCAAAATCAGCCACACGCTGAAACAATTCGGCTGGCTGTACCCCTTCCTCAGCAGCATGCCAATGTGGGTGACAAAATACACCTCCCCAGAAACCTACCTGGTACTCCAACAGATGGAACTCCTAAAACGCCAAACCACCGAAATCATCGCCCGTCGCCAAGGAACAAGCGACTACAAAGAAAGCACAGGCCGGCCCTCCCTGATGGAAGCAATCCTCGACTCACGCATGCCCTCCTCGGAAAAGACCATTATCCGCGTCGCCGGCGCCGCTCAAATCGCCATCGGCGCCGGCACCCTGACTAGCAGCCACGCGCTGAAGCATGCGACGTATCACATCCTCGCCAACCCTCCCATCCACTCAAAGCTGATGTCAGCACTGGAAGCGGCGATCCCGGACCCCGACGCGCCGCCGAACCTGAAACAGTTGGAGAGTATCGACTACCTTCTCGCCATCTGGTTCGAGACCCTCCGCAACTTCCACGGGGTGACGCACCGACTGCAGCGGATCTGCCCCGACCGCTCTCTGCATTTCCAGAATGTGGAGATCCCCGCAGGCACGCCTGTGGGTATGACGTCCGTGCACGTCCACAATAATCCAGACATCTTTCCTGACCCGTATGCGTTTCGGCCCGAGAGGTGGTTGCCGTTGGCGAGCGAGGGGCAGAGATTGCAGCGGTATATTCTGGCGTTTGGGAAGGGCAGTCGGCAGTGTGTGGGGATGGAGCTGGGGCGGGCGGAGGTGTTGACCGGGTTGGCGAATGTGTTTCGCAGGTTTGGGAGGGGGATGAGGTTGAAGGGGACGGAGAGGGTGAGGGATATCGATGTTTGTTATGATGTGTTTAATCCGATGCCGAGTCGGGAGAGTAATATGTTGGTGGTGGAGTTTGGGAAGTGAGGTGGGGAGTGGCACTGAGTCTCCTGGTGGAGGTGTTGAGGAGAGAAGTTGTCTCTTGAGAGGTCTTCCCATGGAGAAGGCATCTCCTAGGTAGAGTGTCCCTAGAGGTTGTGTTCCTGTAAATGTTAGTAAGCGCAAGGGACGACTTGGAGTTTCGACCTACTGTGTCATGGTTTCTCAAAGCCCAAATGTAGCTTGGGACGACTCAATGTATATCGCACAGGCGGTATCGCGGTTCGTCCGCGGTTATCTCTCAGAAAAACAAGTACCTTCTATACGTCGCGAGGAGCATAAACCCTCTTAACGCGCAACCAATATGTTACTAGGGCATCTCTCAGTCATCGACTTCTCAAGATAGTCATTGTCTCGCAGATCTCATCCGCAATAAAGGCGGGTATTAGTTTAGCTCTTGACCGGTATTCGACGGTCTCTGCATCAGTGTCTCGTTTCCTACAGAAATCAATGACGCCTTTCATTCTGGCGTCTCCAACGGAGAACTCGACTCTTAGCCAGTCCGGCCCGAAACAATCAAAATAGGGCACAGATGAGGTATACGTCCGCTAGTGATACTCGCATGCCGCAAAACTTGGGTGCCAACGATCAAAGACGAGTTGTTCAAAGGTGGCGAAACTCAAAACGTATAGATGATCTCAGTGGTGGGAGCCCCAATGACCCAGGAACAAAAGCTAATAACTGCCCGTGTGGGATTCTAGGTTTGAAATATCTACTAGATTCAGCTGTCAAAGCAGACAACAGAAGGTGACAATCGCTTTCTGCTGGTGTTCCATCTTTATATTACATGGGATGCGTCGCCGTTTGCCAACCGTTTTTTCCAAACGTGTGTATCCTACCTCCAGACAATCGAAGCACCTTTCATATGAAGAAGAGACTCGTTTTACGTTATAGCAAGTTTTGAACAGTCGCCAAGATCAGATTATGCGGTGCGCACTTGGATGGTAGAGTTTGAAACATCCAACCCAACGAAGAGTGAGACTTACAACATCGACCACCTGGGAAGAGTTGGAGATCTGTAAATCATAGTCTGTTGTGGACAGGCCAACTTAGACATTGTGTTGTTATTTATAGAAGCAAGACACGTTCTCCAGCATCATGAAAATATATGAGTATCGGTCAGGTCCGTCCATCACATTCTTTCACTTCATCCAGTCCGGTTATCAGGAATAATTCACTTTCGCACTTCATTGGTGAAAAACTTTACTACGATTCTTGCCTCCTAAAAACGAGCGTTGTAGTACTTCAATCAACATGTTCTCACTATCTTACATCATTCTTTTCATCTTCATATACCTTACCAACATCCACCTGGCAAATGCAATGCCAAGCCCTGCTCAGATAACCAGCGTCACCAGCACCACCGGCACACCCACCAATCTGACCTCAGAAGGAAAGATCACCTGCTACAATCATGAAAGCAGCAATCCCGGCCTCGCAAAGAGTCAAGCGTGCATCGCCGCCGCTGATCTACTCTTCTACCAAACCGACAAATACTTCGGCCAGCGGCTCGAATTCTCTAACTCTGCTCCCGCAGACTCACCACAGCACTTACCTGCGAGTTTTTATCAACTCAATGCGTGCAAAGTCTGGGTCGACTTGCAACCACCCGACGCTGTTGATGCTGCTGATTGGGAAGAGATCCATCATGCGGCATTCGGGGTGGCTGCAGATTGTGCGCATAAAGCAGAGCCTTATTATACTGGAGGGGAGGTTATGCTGGGCGAGGAGCAGCGTATTAGAGTTAGAGTTGGGTATATGAAAGCTACGCCGTCTCTGACGCCATATGCAGGAGCTCTAAAATCAACGGAGTAGGTGCTTGAGGTTGGCTTCATGCTATGTTTGTGGAGAGTATATACGTTGCAGCACATACTATGGGATTAAGTACATTGGATATGGTCATCGATGTCATCTTCTGGCATCCGCATCTCAGATGGCGTTAGCAAAAGAAGTCACTCATCAATTAGCTCTAGCCGTGTTGTGTTGGGGATTGGTCAGGAGCGCAGACTGTAATACTCGTTCTGCTTGTCTTTATCATCTTTTCGATACGCTGGACGAGGATTCAATGGTAGCTAAATTCCGATGCGAGTCAAGGAATGAAAAGCGTTGTATTGGTCTACTTAGAGTGCCCTCGTGCTCCAAATGCCCCTTACTCTTCTACGGGATGCAACTCTATCTACCCGGTTCAGCTTCCACGCAAGGCGATGTCATTTACATGTCATTGTAACCTTGCATTTACGAATGCATAATATTTCTTTCTTACCAATGCACTCAACCCCTGTCTTCGACCTGACCTATGCTTTCATCAAGTGATTGAAAAAGATGTCGTACATCGTACAGGACTGGATTCTCTGGTCTCGATGCGCTGAGTATCATACAGTGTAGCCGGTATCGAATATGTGACTGTGAAACATCTTCGTGACATCGATATCCAGCACTAAAGCGAGGCATGCGCCTCTGAACGATAATTCCCGTCTGATCTTCACCTGCAATTTTCGATCCTCACCCAAGGGATGTAGGAACGTATGTAATTGAGTAGCCGTCAGATTGGCAAGCGTCTCAAGGTCATCCTGTTCCGGCATTCCCTTATCAAACGTCCCTGACTTTTTCAATTTGCAGATACGAAATGGAAGTCCGAAATCTGAATCGGGCCATTGAGTCCAATCGATCAAGATCTGTGTGCCCTTCAGGTTGTCCAGGCCAACGCGTCGCTCTAGGCCGTTGTATACTGTCAATGAAGGGGAAGGGGAGGGAGATAGCAGCGTCTGCGAATCATTGGACTGCAAGGATGGCGAATCCTCTGAGAGGTCGTATATGTCTGGGAATTCCGCTTTTGCATTAGGTGTGAGGATGACCTTGATATCGTTCTTCGGTGGATCTGAACTAGAAACTCTGGAACGAAAATGCTCCATTGGCTGGATTGTTATTTTCGAGGTGATGTAGAAATCTCGGAGGCTGACACTCTTTCCCTCAAACTTATCAAGAGCGTCAGGCTTGACCCGAAAACATGGAGTGTTCCCTTCTTGCTCCAGGTAGATACAGAGTCTCGCATTTGCATCAGTATCTCTGCGACATGCAAGTGCCACCTTGAACGACTTAAGAGCAGATTTTGATCCTTGTGAGTCGTTATCATTCAAAATTGACTTCTTCTCCTCGACCACTGGCAACTGGATCCGTAGACCTTTGTTCGTCATCTCGTGAAACGAGTTGGGCGTAAGATAGAAAGACCGAGGGCATGTTACGATGTTGGCAGATTGTTTAAAGGCCGATGGATGAGGAGCCAATATGCCGCTTCTCCTAAGCCCAAAAGGAGCCCATGTCCACGCGAAGATGGACTCGTCGTCGGACCCACGTATTATCTCATGTTGGAGCCTCACGAACGCTTTCTCTCCTTCACCGTACAAAAGCGGCATATTGACATCAAAGAGCCCGAGGAGACAGTACGCCATATCTTCGACCCTAGAAGTTTCTCTAGACGAAGCCCATGACATTCGAGTCGCGACGCTTTCCTCGGTCATCCAGAGATTTCTGGCAGCCGACCCAGGTACGCCCTTCTTGTTCAGACACCGTCGTTCTATACCAGTAGCCAACGAAATTGCGTCCTCCAGGATTTCTTTGTTGCCAATCTCATTCCATTCGGCGTCATAGAACGTCACTTTGTCTGGAGCGAGAAGTTCCTGCAATGTCCATCCTCTTGTGAACCACTTACTCTCAATAAAGCGTTTTGGATGATCTGGTTCAGGCGATAATGAAGCATCAACGTGCAAATCGGACAGGTAGGCGTAGCAGATTCCTGCTTGCTGATACCAGCTATACATGGAATTGATCGCCTCTGATAACTCGGCACCTGCTATCGGTCAAACTTCTCCAACCATGTATGGCTTGGACTAAGCATACTACTTGACTTATCTATACAGCATGTATCGATCCAAACATAGCTCCAAGACTCAGAGGCTGCCAAGCGACAAGCATTTAGTATCTTATCATTACGCCTGCCTTGGACGAATTGAGCGTATGTAATCTCGTCATTACCCCAAGTGTGCGATAAGATTGCATATGGCGGTATCTGGCTATCATAGAACTCAACAAGCTGAAGATTAGTCGTGTGGAGCAACCGCATAATTTTGGCCAAATGATGCTGGCAGTGCTATGCTCTTCACATTCGACTCTTCCAAATTTGCTGCGCTCTCGGAAGCAACTAGATCTTCGTAGATAGGAAAGGTTTAGACAACATGAAATATCTTGTCGTCAGGTTCAAGGTCATCATTTCGATGTTCGACCACCACAAGGCTAGCTGCGCCCAAACGCTAATGCACGATCAGCAAAGCAGCGGTCTATTTAGCCCTTAGCTTGCATGTCACAGCCACATCGTCGACGCTAAAGAAGGCCTCGACAAGGGGCACAGCCTTCTTCATCCAGGGACCTCACATCAAATGATCTTTTATTATTTCTGTCTATATTGGCAATGTGCTTTTGGGTAAACTTTGGATTCTCATATATGCTCCTGCTCCTCGTGCCCTCATGCGAGGAAAAATATAATATGAGACTGACTGCAGCCAATGCCGAAGAAATTTAGGACTTTCCTTCTACGTCCAGTACGTACTGAATGTCGCATTATTGGCAACAATTTACTTTGCGACGGTAGCTGCGTGTTGATGTGAATATTGAACCGCTCACTCTGCCCAAGATGCTATTCATACTTTTCCCAAAAATATAGAATGGTTGCGCCCGAGTTTGTAGTCGAGTTTGTAGTCAAATCATCACTGATCGAACAGTGAAGTCATAGCTGGTGAAAGGGTTGCGGTAGAATGTGTTGATCGTTGTGACGTTGCGAAGTCATCTCGACCGAGCTCGGACACAAATTTTCCGATTACAAGTGAAGCTCATCCAGTTCTGAGATAGGAAAACGGAGCACTTCGGTATAGAAGTCATGACGATCCTACGTCACTGCTGGCCCGTATACGAGGGGTTCCTGCAGCCTCCGCTGCAGGTTGGCTTCTCCGAGACGTATCGCTATACGCGCAAGCAATTCATTGGTTGACTATTCGATTGAGAATGCAAAGTGTAAATGACTCGTAAATACTGTAGCCGATATATGAAATTGTGCTGGGTTACGAAGAGGCATCATAATGTATATATGAGCCATGCTTTTGACCTTGCTCCTGACTTGAAAATCGCATTCCTCGTCTTGAAATCCACAGTCGGCGCTTGAATATATAGCAGAGACCATCCAGAATACTTGAAATATGCCTTCCTTGCGGCGCAACCTAGCGTTAGCTTTCGTCGTCACTGCCTCGCCATTAGCAGCTGCACAAAGTCTAGGTGATCCAGCCAACGTCAAAACATATCCCCAATGTAGTGTGAGTGCCCATAACGCGATTGAAGCAACTACGAGCCTTCATTGACAGAGTTTAGCAACTTTGTGGAGTAGCTCTTACTGCCAGTGGCTACGCTATTCCGGGCAATTTTACTTCGGTTTGCACAACCGAATTTCGTGGGGTTACCGCTGCCTGCGAAGGCGTTCTCTGCTCTCCATCAGAATTCACTAGTAACTTTTCCCAGGGACCCGCAGATGATCATGCTAACTTCCACGATAGCAACCCAGACTCTAGCCGCCCAGTTGTGTAGTGATGTGTACAAGGCCGACCCTGCGCTCGGTACTTCGGTGGCGGCAGCAGTCGCCCAAGCTAGCTCCGCTGCTACAGCTGAAGAATCGCTGGACCCAGTGAGTGAGGCCAGCTATCCGACATGTGCTGTACGTTATCCCTGCTATCGGCGAACCTTGACGGTGCCACTGACAACATGCCATAGCAAGAGTGTCACCAACAAAGCTTTGCTGGCTCTAGCATCAAGAGCCTTTCCGATCTTCGATTTTGCACGGACACCGCCGCTCAAGAGATTGGTACCCCTTGTGCAAGAGCGAACTGTAGTGCTCCTGACTTGTACAGTACGTCTCTCGTCCTTCGCTGCAGCCCAACACGCCTTTACATTCAGCTTCCATCATAATATGAACCTTTTCCGCTAACATAATATCTTGCAGCCACCGCAGCACTCACTTTTCGACTCTGTCGTAGCGTCCTTGTCAAAGTCATCAACACGAATACCACGGCTACGCCGACAGCCAATCTTACCGCCGTTCCTACGTCCTCTCCCATTGCGTTCGCCGGAGGGTCAAGCAGAATCTCTGGAGATATACTAATGGCAATATCGCTTGTGCTTGGGGCACTGGTTATATCTGTAGCCGTCTAAAGGAAATGGCAAGGATGAGAAACCAGGGAAAAAGGGTCAAGTAAATCTCTAAACTTTAATATCATGTAATAGTGAACATTCTACAACATTGGTATTCATGGTTGCGATACGCTTTGTACGTCATTCATCGTTTGGTCCGCCTTCCGGAGCCACCTCTTTCCAACCATCCTCAAGTCGTTACGCGCAAGACAGCATGTCCTTAGCTTATGCTGGTGAAATTTGGGCGATCAGATCTGGCCTTAAGGTTCTTATGTAGCTAGCGCTTAATGCTCCTGGAGTAGCATGTTGCGGGTATAGCTGCCCCATAAGTCTTCGCAGCTTATGTGCATATATGCGTGTGTGCGCGCGGACGTGCAGGGCTTAGTAATTCATGACAGGGACATCTTTGCATCACTGATCTCTATATCATACCTGAAGTCCATCTTGCCACTCCTTCCCATAGTTTTTTCCATGGACGGAAAGCGCGATCAGCCCAACATGTCTTTCGCACAGATCGTACTCTCCTCCATCTTCCTCGTTGCGTCCTTCACAGCAGGACAAGATCTAGGAAATCCAGGCGACATCAACTCCTACCCCCGCTGTGCCGTAAGCTTTCACGACCTCTTCCCCTTCCTATCAAGACCTCTAAAGCCATCAGCAACTATGCCAAACCGTCCTCGAAGCCTCCGGCTACGACATAAAAAGCAACCTCACCTCAATCTGCGGTCCACGATACCGAGGCGTCACCGCCGCATGCGAGAGTGTCCTTTGTAACCAAGTTGATTTCAACAGTACTCTCTCCTTCCCTTTTTCATTCCTCCTCCTATGCCTTCCTTACTCTCTTCTTAACTTCCTTCGCTTCATAAGCTTAGATATAATTGCTAATCATTCACTTTGAACAGAAACTCAAATCCTGGCAGCAGAAGGTTGCAACATCCTCTACACCTCCCACAACGACTACGCAACTTCTGTCGCCGTTGCAGTCGCTTCGGCATCTTCGCTCGCGGAGGCGGAGAAACCCTTGAATCCGACTAGTCAGGGAAGTTACCCGGCTTGCGCTGTAAGGATCTACATCCCCTTGACGTATCCAAGGGGGCCCTTGTGGGATGAGGCGCTGACAACAAGGCAGGTCGACTGCCAAAACCAAGGCTTCACAGCCTCTGAAATCAGCAGTCTAGCTGACCCTAGAGTCTGCACTGATCCCACTATCACCAGTGTCTCCTCATCATGCCTACAAGCCAACTGCAATGATGACGATCTTTTCAGTATGCCCCTCGCACAGCCCCTTTCCCCCAGCCATTCTGCACTGTTCTTCCTTCAAGCTCAGCCCTTTACTCGGATTCTTGATCGTTGACGATAAGTGTAGCCACCGTAGCGCTAGGGGTCAGAGTCTGCCAATCACAAATAAATCAAGTCGTCGTCAACACATCGGCGTCGACCGCACCGGTATATCTCAATGGGACTAGTGGTACGCCGCTGAATCCGCCCGAGACGTATACGGGATTTGCGAGCGCGCGGGGAGCTGGCTTAGGTATGGCTTTGATGGGGTTTGTTGGTTGCTTGGTTGTGCTGTGAGTGCGTAAACAATGGTTCGGAAAGGAGTATGCTACATTGAGAGTGATTCTCTTGCTGCTATAGTTTTTTGCTATTCATAGAGAGCGGCTTGCGTTTGCAGAAGGTTTGTTGCGCGAGATGTCGGTTTAACCGCAGAAATGAGTCTATTTTCGGAGCAGAGGTGCTCAATCTTCCTGTCTCTGGCCCAGTTTCATGTCTTCTACTTTTTCCTTCGTCCTCCCAGACACTGTACTTGGCTTCACGGCATTGCTCTGCTTAAGATTTTGCCAGGATCTCGGCGTCATCTTTATTGAGCTTCGAGGAATTTTCAGTTCATTTCTTACTTGTTGATCCATGAAGAAAGTGAGACGATGAGGGGAAAATCATCGCAAAGCAAAAAACACATACTTCCCTGACTCTTTCACTATCGAGATTACATTTACCATGCTAACGCCTAATACCATAGCTTTGCCTCTCTTCATTACCGACGAGGTTTCAAATTCGCGGATGTCATCTTCAGATTCTTTGCAAAGTTACATACACTTGTGAGATCATCCCCCGTAAACGATTTTTGACTCTCAGTCTATATGATAATCATCCGACTTGAATTATATTCATGTCAAGCCATTCCTGGATGGTGCTGCAGCAGCTGGGCGACTTTTTTTTATTAAATTATTATGTGGTGCCCTCCAGGAGGAAGCAATGAACGTAAGTGCTTTTGCTTACTCAGTGTTTTTGATACTTCAACTGTCAGGCACAAGTCATTGGTCTGTATGTACCATTCGTAGCCTGTTTCACGAAGGGCGGGTCTAGCAATCTGTCACAACTCCTCCAGAACGGCTGCATGTCTCACATTACGCGCATTGATGGAACACAACGGCCCGCTGCGCCGCATTGATGGATTCTTCACTACTACCTGCAGACTCTACCAGTCGCGCCTAGCTTGACAGTCGGTATCCATATCGCGACCCGTGCCAACACGCGACCACGGTCACGAACATGATACTGTTAGAAAAGTTAGCGTATGTCAGGTACCCCCGACCAATCGAAAGTCTTTGCGCAGAAGCGTGAAATGACCGTTTTCCTTTGGCTCTTATTGATGTGGAAGAAAGTCCAGACCATTGATCAAGATCACCCATGCTTGAGAGTTTTGACTTGCGACTAGCAAGTGAGGGACCTTGACAATGTTTTATAAGGCCGGGCTACTGACTCCTTAGGTTGCCAGGGCCTAAAGCTGGAGAACGCGGGACGATCTAGTTTCATGAGTGTCACCAAGTCTCCCTGAATTTGGGTAGGTCAGCAGTCATGACTTATAAACAAGTAATGGGTCCCCTTACTCAACCGGCACCTGGCTAGACGTATATCTACTCAAGTGTCCTTAACTTACATACCGCGCAGAAACATTAAACCAGGCAATTAAACGATTCATCAATCAGGATGCTCTATAAGACCGCTCTTGCCTTAATCACTCTCCTCCTCAACTCGGCCACAGCCTCGCCGCTCGATCTAAGCACTCGGCAAGCTGAGGCTACATGGGTATGTCCATTCGCTCCTGGGTAAATAGTATTTGACCACAGTACAGACACTCTCATGTCCGGATGACCTAATCGAAATCCCAAGTCCTTCAGGGGCGCCTTCTCGCATGATCAGTCGACTTTTGTATTGCAATGGCAAAGGCGTCTCCGCTGGCTTGACCTGTGATTCGCAGGGTCACCAACAGCTCATAGACCCGACCAATAATATATATTTCGATCAAAAACAGTGCGAGTCATGCCACTGTACACAGTCACCCCCGGAACATGACACTGACACCGAAGGAACGGTGCCTACAGGGGGTACTGGAGCAGGGGGTACTGGAGCAGGGGGTACTGGAGCAGAGGGTACTGGAGCAGGGGGTACTGGAGCAGGGACTACCGGAGCAGGGTCCGAAGGAGTGTCTTATCATGTGCCAGCCGGATCGCGTGGTCACCCGGTTCCCAGTTGAGCTATGCTGAGCTTTGTTATGAGGGAGACAGTGAATGGCTGGAACACATGTCATTTCTTGCGACAAATCTACGTTTGCCATGGCTTGTAGAAATACAGAAATCCTAACCAAGGCGTCCCTGTGAAAATGGCTGACAGCGCTGTACCCTTTACTTTAGCCGACGGCTTGTAAAACCCGTAATGTAGTCCAGCCTCAGGCTTGTCCTATGCATCTTTTTTGCAAAGCTTTAATGCAGCATGATTATATCACGGAAAAAAGAGATCTTTGTTCTCCTCGCTGTAGGAGAATTCCGCACCGAACTCCAGAGAAGTCCGGTCCTGAACTATGTTCGTCCAAAACATCAAACATACCTATCCTATCATAGACTCCTGTAAATCCGCCAGTGCTAGCAGGAGTTCGCAGCATCATTATCAACCCGCTGACTTCCCTGTGTGTTGGAATTTTGCCCATCTCTGTTTGTAGCGCTTTAGTCCTATATCGTCTTATGATTGACAGGCAAAATACAAGTAGACCTCGCTCTGAAGGCGTTGTGTCTAGGTACGCAGCCGCAAAGGCTTTATGACGTGGTGGCCACTTGGCAGGATTCCAGTCCAGTCTTTGTGCGCTGATGGGCGATCCATGGGAATCTGAACGACCCAGCATGATCAAAGCGTCGTTCTGTCTCTAGTTGCTGACATACAGCTCTAGCTGAACGGATAATTTTTGCGAGCTCGATGTGTAGATTCCAAAAGACATGAGTGAACCTTTGATAATTTTTGGCGAACTCTCCGCTTCATTTCCACAATGATAGTGCATCAGTGAGTATGTTTACGTCCAGGGATTGAACGAGTAGCTTTAGTTTGGCCTCACCCAGTGGCCTTTGATCTTCCACTTGAATTGTCAATCGATGTTCCTTCGATAAAGAACAAGTTCTCACTGGCTCAGCATGGGCTGAAAGTCTGCAGATTGAGCTTCGGTACCAGTCGTGACGTGGCGGCTGATATGCTTTCATGTCATGACGCACATTCATGAACAACGCGCTTGAAGACGGCGTTTGCCAATCTGTAGCCTGTAGGATCAACAACAAGCTGAACATTAGCCTCAATTGGTGAGATGTGAGGTCTTGCATTACTGCATTGGCCGATCAATCTCTGTGCAGCGCTGGACAAAAAAAAACTCCCATCAATTAGTTCTGATAAAGACTACTTACCAAGGAGCAAGTCTGTTCAGCATTTGCCGAGTGGCTTCGAACACAGCGACTACTATGTTATCACTCAGGAAGATACGCTAGACGAAGATTGAATGGATTATGATCATCGAGCGCCGTGAGATACTCACACTGGATTTGAATGGAGAAGAAATGCAAAAGTCGGTGAAAGAAATACCGAGAGCCATACCGCTCGACGTTGTGCTTGCGCTACTTTGGCTGCATATCGCTGAACTGCTAAGGCTTGAACCAGCACCCGTCCCGTACCTGAGATTGGCCTGCAAGACATACTAGTGCTCACGTCAGATGCATGTCAACTCAGCCCTGTCATCACTAGATGTTGATCTCTGGCCCGGAAAGGATTCTAGGCCTCAATGACCAATCTGGCAAAAGTGTGGAGGTAAGTGAAGACTGCGGGTCGCCTCTAGAAGAGAGTTTCAACTCCATGAGCTAATGGCGACGGTGCAGTATTGTGATGCCACGATAGCATGCGTTGGCATGATTATATGCATGATTATCCTTTCTTGTCTACAAGCAGAAATAGTCACGAGCTTTAGTGCTTAATCAGAGCTGAGTACTGAAAATGAGAAAGGTCGGAGTCGGGATATTATCATAGTCGGGACGATATAATCAAACCATCTCTGTGCCTGTTATAAGCGATCAAGCCTTCCGTGGGTTTCGCTGACTTCCTCTCTTCAAAGTTCTCGTTCTCGTTCTTGAGATTGACTTAGGCCATGAGTACCGGCAGCCAGGTCCTCACTCAGGACCCTCTCCTCTCACCCACGGAGAGATTTCTCCCCAAAGGTATCAAAGAGGTCCTCCCTTCACCAGAATTAGCCAATCCCATCTCCGCCCTAAACTCCCAAAACGGGCTTCTCTCGCGCATGCCTGCCTCCTGCGTCCCTTTCGCCCAGCTCATGCGCCTCGACAAACCAGCAGGCTTCTGGCCATATTACATGCCCTCCCTCCTCGGTCTAGGGTACGGAGCTTGCACCGCTCAATCTGCCCCTTCTCCGGGGGTTCTCTTCAGCCTTTGCGGGCTGTTCTACGCCTACTGCTTCTTTCTTCGCGGTGCAGCTTGTTGCTGGAACGATACCATGGATCAGGACTTTGATCGACAGGTCGGTCGGACGAGGAACCGACCTATCGCGAGAGGTGCTGTCACGACGACGCAGGCGCATTTATTCACGGCAGCGTGCGTTTTGGCACAAGGGCCTTTTTTGATGATGCTACCTTTAGTCTGCACTTACCACGCGATCTTCATGAATGTTCTTTTTGGTGTGTATGCGCTCATGAAACGTGTCACGTATTATCCGCAGGTCTTCCTGGGCTTTCCGTTCGCCTGGTCCATATTCATCGGCTGTGCTTCTTTGGGTGTGGACTTCGCTTCTAACGATCGGATTTTTCTCACGACGATGCTATTTACTGTTGTTGTTCTGTGGACGGTCATCTGCGACACTGTATATGCACACCAGGATATCAAGGACGACGTCAAAGCGGGCGTGAAATCGGTAGCTGTTCGCTTCGCGGACAGTACAAAAGAATTACTCTCAATGCTGGTATTCTTCCTGGTAGCACTGCTTCTCGGTATTGGGTCACTGGCGCATCTCTCCGCGCTGTACTTTATGTTCACCTGCTGTGGTTCCGCCGCGCTATTCATCATGTTGCTGGCTAAGGTCGACCTGAAAGAGCCGGCTAGTTGTGCTTCGTTCTTCTATGCTGGCTTCTTTTATGGAGGTCTGAGTCTGGTATCTGGCTTTGCAATAGAATATGCGGCGCGAGAGATATGCGGGGAAAACTTCGATCTCGAGCAGGCGCTTTTGTCATGAGCCTCCTGACCGTATCGAGTTGTGAAATTCGTGGTTGTCCCAGGTCTCGATAGAAAGCTTGGTGTTTTGAGTCCGCTACGTACTTGTTATAAGTAAATTTGAGAGCATGTAGAGGTAACATTTAATGGGTTCGATTGTAGCACACAACCGCACTGAAAAACACATCTTGCATTGAATTCGTATAACTCAAAGACTAATTTGATTTCTTTTAGCTTAAGACAACAACCTTTTGATGCCACGATTTAAAATTTCGAAGATTGCCTTTTCCATTCACTCGGCCAAGGTGCCGCGCAACACCTTCTTCATCTTCTACAATAAGTAGTGCCCCAAAATCGGCAGTGACTTTGGCGATTGTGCAGTCAAATTCACTCCGCCGACTACGACATTTCGAATCAACAACGGCTGTACCAAGGAATACATTCATGTAGAGTTTCTCACGCTAAGGGCTAACCTCAGAGCCGAAATACTCTTTCATCCTGCGGCGGAAATCTAAACTTTCAATTCTCTCATCGAGTGTTTTATCGGTAGGTTGGAGCCTTAAAAAACCATGATCACCTTCATCGCCGTCATGTATCTAGCGGGCAGCTACGGTATCTGCCCAGAAAATGAGGTGATAGGCAGGCTTGATGATGTAGCGGATCCAGGGGTCGATGTCTTCAACTGCGACAGAGCGGACTTGGGGCGAGTTGTATATCTTATGATCCATCTCACGAGGGCATTGCGGCTCGCCGGATACTTGCTGAAGCTGAAAGTCGTCCTCGTTGTCTGGAGGGCTAATTTTGGAGCGGCAGAAACATCGAACGGCAGCTGCATTGCGAATAATCGTCTTTTCGACCGCTTTCGCATACCGGTGATGGAGCCATGACCAGGTAGGGACGTGATGAAGCTTCCGTCTGATTGGAAATTTGCCGTCCACGTTCCATAGTAGGCTTTGCTCGAACAGACAACTAGGTAGGCCCCACAGAAAGCTTATCCCTGTGCACAAGCGTAGGGTATATAGAATGCCCTCAAACGCATGCAACACGTCGGACTCAAAGAAAAGGGTCCTCCCATTGTGTTGTAATATTATTGCTGCGAAATGACGGTGGAATTCTTCGTAGTAATTAGATAGTTCCATCAGCTACCAGTAAACAATATTCCACGAAAATATTGACTCCGTCGAGGGTACTACAGGGTAGTATCTTCTAGGGAGTCGCTCTAACTCAGTCTCTTCGCAGTAAAATGCTTCCAAACATTCCCAGTGCACTTGATTAAAGCCATAAATAGACATCGAGGAGATAAAAGCCTTTCCTGCAAGGTCCACCCCCTGGTCTGCCAAGCAGGTGCGATCTTATGATCAAGGGAAGGACGAACGTCATGCTCAAACGGAGGGGGAGCCTCATCCCCAAAGACCTCATTCTGAACGTCAAGAGGGGCCACATGCTCAAGGGATGTCCACGTTGGCTCAACACATGAGACCAAGGTGATACCGTGCGCTTCTGTGTCAACCTGGCTTCTTCGCCTTCCAGAGGGCCGTACACCCGGTAATCCCTCCTGTGCGCCGTCTTTTCCATTCGCTATAATTGTAAAGAGCGATGTAGAATAAATTGAGCCCATACGTGGCATGAAGTATTCTTTATCACCTTTATCGTCTTGGACAATGCAAAGCATATCGACCCAAAGAAAGCGCTCTCCAAGACCTTTAAGCAATTTTAAAGAGTCGATTACTGTAAGAGGAAGATGCAGTCTTTCTAGGAAATTCATCTCCGAAGCGTCAGCAAGACAAGCTGAAGTCAGGCCATCTTGAGCACTAGTCTTGCCCCAGACCCAGCTGAGAGTAACGTAGGAAGGTATCCCACCAATCGACTTGAAATTCAACAACGGCCTGCTTTTGAACATCTATTAGCCTAATCATGTCAACTGGTTCCACCATCCGAGATGGTATGACACAAGCACCGGCATGTTCACGCACACATTTGTCGAGCCAGGCACGGACAAGGCGATCGTCGCAAGTTTCTGACCTTATGCGCGGCTTCTGGGTGGAGAGAGCTAGGCTCTCTGGACGTAACCAATTTACCCAACTAAGCCAAGTGTCCGAGTTGTACGTTGTGACTACGTCGATTCAAGCCTGCAAAGCGTCTTTGTAACGTAGCATTAAATGAGTCGTTTCAGATCCCAGGCTTACTCTTGAGGGAATGTCCATGGTGATAGCGATACGAGCATAGTAGCCCCGAGAGTCGTATTGTCCGTATTGTCGATTACGATGTTTGTATACGTGATCCTGACGGTTCAGTGTGCATTCGATCTCTTTCATCTGAATATTGGGTATTTCGAGCATGTAGGTCTCGAGGCCGGTCTCCTGCAGAAGTGACACGACCGCATCGCAGAGGCTGCAGCGCTTTCTTAATTGACACATCTCCAACCACAGTCCAAGCCGTTTAATATGCAGCCCACCGTGGTCAGGAGATGTACTTCTAGCAGCTGAAGATAAGAAGTTCTCCATAGCGCGAGAACTGCATACTTTACACAGTCCCTTCTCATCCATAATCTCGTTGCTGCGTATACAGGGTTTTAGAGCAAGAATGGTTCCCAAAACATGTCATGCAGATTCAATGATCCCTCTGTCTGATCCCAGCGGCCTTTCCGTATGGTCTCGGCTCTTTTGTCGACGACAACCTGATAAACATCCGAGACTGTACTTGGGAATATAGAGTTGTATTCAGACAACGAGCATCATGTGGCATGAGCCCTGAAGGTAGAATTGGAGGGAAGAGATGCTACGTATAAGAAAAGTGGGAGAATACACTAGATGAGTAGGATCTCAAAAATGACGTAGTCAGACTACCCCCTCTCTGTTCTTTGGTACAATAAGGAAAAACCCTGCGAGAAGACACCTGAGATGAATCTCATAGATAGAGTATAGCATAATCAGCCTGTGCTTTTGAGGATATATAGCGTTTAGTCGCTATTGATCAAAGATATTCGTCCGACCTTCAAAGACAACGATATAGACTTGTGCTCATGGATTGTCATTTCACTACCTCAAGCATCGAGAGCTAAGTGAAAATGAGTCTCAAGAGCTCAGCCAAAGTCTATGCTCCATCGACTGGTGCGTCTTCAGTCTCTCGATTTTAGTATCTATGCCCATCTATGTAAAAAGATTGAATCATCGCTTCCGATTTTCAAAGCATCCAGAGCATTCCAAAACCGCCCCCTTGCTGTATTAGCACCTTTGGCCTGAAAATATATAACTGTAAATTGCTCAGTGGCGATACTAGGCTACCAGTGCATGACTAACTTGAGATTGAAGCTATCAGACGATTCTTCTACCAACAGCTTGAGCGGGTTCACTTGGTACTAGTCGTTGAAGTATCCGCCGGCTTCTCCGGATTATCCTTCAGCCACTGCTTCGCTTCAGTCATATCAGGATCCTCATTCGTCCAAGAGCTCGCTGTCTTGTCTATCTCCGCTAATGCGTCCACCGCATCTTGGTCTTTGAGTGTTGTGAATGACTATAAGGCTTTCAATTTGTTGTCTGTCTTATCCAAAGCCTAGGGTTACTTACCTTAAGATACGCTCCCTTCATGTCTCCGACATACTTTTCCATCTTCGTTTTCTTCTGCTCCGCGGTGATAGTTCCATCAGTAACCAGGCCGTTTAGTACGTCTTCGTCGACGATGAGCTTCTGCATGTCAATGATATTTTGAAACGATTTCTCAAGTCTGAGCTGTGCTTGCTTGATGCTAAAGCGCTTGGCAAAGTATTCCACCGTCAAACTAGGCGCAGTCAGCATCAGAGTATCGATCAAAATTTGTAAGAGAGCTTACCTATGTAGCTCCTTCTTCTGTTTTGCGCCCTCCACCAATTCATAGGCAAGTATGCCGATTGACGCGAGCGCTGCTAAGCCATTGAAGATCTTCAACCCCAACTTGAAATATCGCAGCCCCTGGCTGGCTTGCTTTGCACCTTGAGCAGCTTCTTGAGTCAGAGCTGCGGCTTCTGGACCAACTTCGACGGCAATGCCATCTTGTGCGGCCGCCTTGACAAACTCATCGAAATTACCAACTTCTGCAATAATACCAGCTTCCTGCGCGGCTTTCGTTTCGACTTGAGTAACCTCGAATGCCTCAGCGATAATCTCAAGGCTAGCTTCAGCAGCCTCACCCTCTACACACACCGTCAGGCGACGACAGCACGTAAAGAGCCATACAACATACCTTGAACACCCACAGCGATTGCATTAGCCAAAGCGCGCCATCCAAAGAACCGAAAGATGCATGAAAAGATAGCACGGCCCGTTTGCGTTGCTATCAAACTTGTTAGCATAGCATCTTTTAGCTCCGCCTAGCCGCAGGTCCACTTACTGACGATATCCGCAGTCATGCACACAGCGAACAAGCCTCCTAGAACATCCAACGAGATGGTCAGATCTTTGTGGACTTTGTCGGCCTTTGCGCGCTTGTCGAGCCATCGTTGCTTCTCTTCGGGGGCAGTCTGGCAACGGCGGCATCAATGTATTCCTTTGGGCTCGGATATCCGGCTGCTTTCGCAACAGATGTGAGGAATCCGTATGCGCGAGTGTCATGTTCCTTCCAGTTGGCGTTCGTGGTCTTCATCTCGCTCTGAATCATGGCGCTGTTGTTGACGAGGTCTGTGACCCGCTGTGAGCGGTTGAGGTTGTCTGATGTACGTTAATACTTGAGCAGTGGCATCAACCATCTTTGAAGACTCACCTTCGTAAACCATGATTACGGGCTTGTCGTGAAGGTAAAAGCGACTGTGAGCTCAACCTATGAGCTCGACCGACTGTTTCTTTATACATCACCATAGCGCCAGCGCACAAACAGTCACATTGCTTTTACAGGTCCAGCCGCATTATCATGGTGGGAAATTCTCAGCTACCAGTCCGCACGCCACCAACATGTAGCGTGTTGCAATTACGGCGGCTTCCTCACAACGCTCACCTAAACTCACAAAACACAATCCACCAAGAGGCCTAGACCATGGCTAATACGCCTTTTGACCACGGTTCAGCTAAATTCTACAACGCCCACTGCAAGCCACAACGGCAGCGTCGTAGAGCACATGCCAAAAACGTTACGATCTCTTGCAAACAGGTCGTCAGAAGGTCTAGAACAGGATCGATTCTAGGCTTGATTAGGAAAGGCGACGCCTCGTTTCATGGTCTAATGCACGCTCCGCAAGCCACAACAGCAAAGCTAACCCTAAGCTTCGCCTATACTTTCTAGCTCGATCGAGACCTGCTCAACCAGAGGTGTTGAATAATACACCAGCTACGAGGACAATATGCTGTTGGCTCGCTTATACCTGTCGAAGCTTCTACTTAGTCTTTGCTGAAATGTAAGGATGCTTATCATGGGATAGATTAGATGCCTCTTGCATGTGCGCTAAAGTCATGTGAATGGCACCCTGAGAATTGACACTCGCATCAAGCATAAGCTTGGAGCACACTCTAACCTCATTGAGGCTTGTGGCTTCTATCTAGCTGAATCAGGTGTGAGAGCCCACTCACACAGGTGGCCCCCGCTCACTGGTACTCAGCTGTCACACATATATTCAAGTCACGATTGCGCCAGTAGGACGGGATGGTACTTGCAGAAATAGAGCTAGCAAGCGGTCACTCTAGTTCACCGCATTTAAGAGGTAGACGCGGTAGATCACATCAGCGACAGAAATTTGACGATAGCTTTTGGGACTCCTCAGGGTCAATACGGCCTAGCCCCACGCCAAATTGATAAGGATCTCTAAGCTCCTTATACTCTCTGCTGCTTCGATCTTTGCAGAGCATACAGAGACTCGCACATATCTTCTCAACCAAATCGATCATGGGTAACAGCCCGAGCTCGATTGGCACCTCCATCGGAGACACATTCTACCCTTCAAATCCCGATCGACGAAATCGCGCTCAGCAACTGCAACGAGACGTCGAGATGTACGTCTCTCGATTCAATGAAGAGAAGCAGAAATTGTGAGATCTTCGATCCCCGTCCTCCATCGTCTCGCATCGACGATCATCATTGCTAACGTCCAGCCCTTTTAGAGATTCGCTTGAGCCCGCAGTTCGTCAGCGTATTGAGCGCTATCTATCACAACATGGCTACCAGACGCTGCAACAGCTCATCGACAAGAATGACGCTACACTCAAAGGCGATGCCATGGAGAGTTGGAAACAATTGAAAGCCAGCCTTTCCACAGAACATTTCATCGATCAACTTATCCTCACCGTCACTGGCTTGACTGCTGCGGCTACAGGAGTGGTAGTAGGCGGGCTCGTGCTATTTGGTGTTATGTCTGGACCTGTGGGCTGGGCAATCTTTGCCGGCGTTGGTGAGATAATGGGGTTCCTAGCTGTGGCTGCGGTATTTATGGCTGTTATTGAGGCGGCTAAGGAAAGAGAAGTCAGTCTTTGGAGACCGTTCCGCTGCTGTCTGTTGATGTTGATGGCTTCAGAATTTGCAACAAGCGATCAATAAGCTTTACTATGCCAGGATTGATGCATTGACGACTTTGCGCAAACTTGAAGTGTATCAGAAATGGGTTGTTGAATTCAGTCAGTATGCGCATTCATAGTGCTGAGAAAGGCGTACTAATGTATCTTTTAGGCGACTTTTTCAAGGATGAATGGGTGGATCTGAGCCCGGATATCTTTGACAAGAAGTTTGGCAAGGGGTTTGCTGGTGATGCTTGGCAGTATGATCGTAATACCATCATATCGGTAAGTGTTAGGATTTCTATATACAATGCCGTGAGAATAGCTGACGGTTTTGATGAAGGAGCTCCAAGATCATGACGATGAGGTACATGCATGGAAAGATGAGGATCCCGAGCATCCAGCTAGGACTCACGTCGAGCATGTGGATGGGCCCATTGACATCCCTCAGATGGCAGCACAGGCTGCGCCGGACATAAATGCTCCGAATACTAGTAGTACTTCGTTAGGCGGCGCACCGTCGCCTGGGGAGGTTGGTCATATGACCCACAGCCTCTTAACCCTAAAACTGATCAGAAGCAGGGTAAACTGCATCTTCTAGTCACCGACACCCTTGGTACGAAGAAAGACATGAACGTGGCTCTAGAAAAGGTGCTTTCACCGCACGACTTTGTCATTGTCGACATTGAAAAGGTGCGTCCATAGTCAATACTGATCAAATATTCGTGAATCACTAAAAGCGCACAGAAAGATACCTTTGGCGTCACCGCCGCGGCAGTGGACACTTCGAAGGCAGTACAAGCTTTGTCGGACCTAAAGTTCGGGTTCACAAACTTGGCCACACATGCGGTATCCATGGATTGTAAAGTGACACTGTTGCCAATTACTGTGTGAGAGTGCTTGAGACCTGAATAGACTTCTTTTGCTTAAAGCCATGTCCTGACGGAGCAGGGGTATATACAACGTCATGAACTTAGCCAGGACATCCTACCTTAAGTCCAGTTCTGTTAAATATTTCAAAGTCGAAGAAAGATTATTTACTCGCTACCTAGCAATAAAAATTATTAAGAAATAAAGTTTCTTTTAAAGGGGAACTTTATAAAAGGTTTTCTATTTTAAAAACTTTAAAATAGAACTAAATATTTAATAAAATTCTTTATTTTATTAAATATTAATTATAATAAAAACTTTCTTTCTATTAAAAAAGAAACTTAAAAAGAGTTCTACTTTACCCCTAGTACCTAATAACATTTAAAACTTTTTTTTTATATAAGGTTATTTTTTACTTTAGTATCTAGGAGCCTTAAAAAGGCTTTAAAAAGCTTAAGCTTAATAGTAGTAACTACTAAGTAGTCTAAGTAAGTTAAGCTAGCTATTAGCTAAAAGTAGAATAATTATATAATTATTTTTATATACAAAGTAATAATATAATTACTTTTATAAATAAGGTTATCTACTAAGCTATATAAGCTTTTAGCCCTTTTAATAATATTATATCCCCTTCTATAATTATAATTATTTATTATTATTATTATTATATATACTTTAAGAGTATTTTAGCCTATTTATCTAGTATATTTTAACCCTTAAAGTCTATTAAAGCCCTTTTATAAACTTTATTAGTAGCTAGATTACTTAAGCTATTACTTAAGCTATTGCTTAAGCTATTGCCTAAGCTATTATCCCCTTTAAATAGCTTTATATTCATATTTATAAGTAGTATTATTAAAGTACTTAATAGCCCCTCTTAGTTTACACTTTTATATAATTAGAATATAGCTATAAAGTTAAATTTTAATAGTAGCCTTTTTCTTTTTAAAGGCTTTTATATTAATAGTCTTTTCCTATTTTTAACTATTTATAATATATTACCCTTTAATCCCCTTAGAAAGCTATTAAACTATATTACTTAAAAAGAGTTAAAGTCGCTTAGCTTATATATTATTTTAATAGCTATTATTTAAAATATACTTTTAATTAGTAGCTAAAGTAATAAGTTTTCTATATCCTTAAGTAGCTTTTTTCTTTAGCGCCTCTAGCTACGCTCTATAGCCCCTATTATTTCCTTACTTATAAATATTTTTAACTTATCTTTAAAAAGTAATATATTATTAAAAATTAATACTTTTTAAAATTCTTTAAATAAAGGTTTTAATTTAAAGTCTAAGCTAGAATATAGGTTTTTATTAAAAAAGAAGCTAAAATTAAACCCTTTTATTTTAATAATTTTTAAAGCTTTTAAAAAGGGTAGCTAGTATTTAGTATACTAAAAATAACTTTTAAAGTATTTATCCCCTTTTTATAAAGTAGTTATCCTTTAAAGGATAGCTTTAGATTTAGCTTTAATAGAATAATAAAGAAAAGGCTATAAGTTAACTATAAAAATTTAAGTAGTAATAATTCCTTTACTATTAAAAAAAATAATTTTATTAAAAAAATAACTTTATAATAAAAAATAATAACTTTACTATTAAAAATAATAATTCCTTTATTATAAAAATTATTAAAGTATTATTTTTAACTTAAATACTTTTTTACACCTTTTAATAATTCCTTTTAATTTTACTTTAAGTAAAAAAATAAATATAAATTTTTTTTAAAATAAGTTTGCTTTTTATATTTTTAAAGTTTATTTAATATACTTTTTTTTAATTTTTTACCTTATTTCAAGGCTAATAGCTTATATTAATTATTTTAAAGGTTTTTATTAAGTATATATTAATTTCTATATTAAACTTTATTATTTAGGTATTAAGCCTTATTACTTTATCAAAATATTTAACTTTTGAGAAATTTATTATTATAAAGATATTTAAATTTTAAAGGGGCTAATCCACTTTTTCTATATACTTTTTATCTTTTATAATAGCTTTTAATACTTATAATAATTTTAGTAAAATTCTTAAAACCTTTTTTTATTAATATTTTTAAATTTATTTTAAAGTATCTTAAGCTTATATATAATTATTCTTATTATAATTAACTAAGCCGCTCTTTTACTAGCTAATAATAATCTTTTATTATAGTTTATTAAGTAGGAATTATATTCTTATAGTTTTTTTTAAATAAAGGCTAAAAAGTAGGTTTTAAGGTTTTAATAAATCTTTAACTAGTCTTTACTTTATAAAATCTATTTATATAGTAATAAAATTACTAACCTATTATAATAGTTGTTTACCTATATAAGGGCTATATAATAACTAGTTTAGGTTGTATATAAGCTAGGTTAGCTTAGTAGGTAGTAATAAGCTATAAATATAAAAGAAAGTAAGTTCTAATTAGCAAGCCTAAATACTATAATAGTAATATAATTTATATATAAAGTTCTATTAAAGGTATTTATAATAAATATAATAATAATTAAAAAGTAAATTATTTATTATAAAAAAAATAATATTATATATCTAAAAGTGCTCGCACTATATAGACTACTTATAGTTAGTAAAACTATAAATATTATATTTATTATGAGCGCTATAAATAATATATAATTAGTTATTTAACTAAGCTAATAATAAGTATCTATATACTATAAATCCTATAAAATATAATATTACTTTTTTATATTAATTTTTAAATTTTCTTAGTATAGTTTATATATTTTTTAAATTTAAATATAGTTTTTAAGTATTTTCTAAATATTAATAGCTTTTCTATAATTTCTAAAAAGTGTTAAAAATAGCTCTTAGCTTCTTAGAATACTAATATAATATCTATTATACTATAATAATTATAATAAATATAAATAATAAAAGTAAATAATATAAAACTTAATAAACTTTTTTATTAAATAAAATATTTTATATTTAAGTTAAATATATTATTATTAGTAAATATTATAATTATTAGTTTTCTACCTAGTCTTAAAGTAATAATACTTATAATTATCTAAATATATATATATAATATATATATAAGGCTATAGTTAGTCTTTAGCTTATTTAAGGATATAGGATATAAAGTAAAAGTAGTATTACCTATCTTTTTATATATATAATATTTGCGCTAGTAGTAGGTATAATTAGCTTTTAAGATTTTTATTAAAATTAATAAATAATTTATTTTTAAAAATATTATAAAAATAGCAAATATATAGGCAAAGAAGCTAAAAATTAAATATATATTTTAATTATTTTATTAGTATTATAAGCTAAATATAAATTAAAAAATTAAAAATAAAAACTATTTTTTAGAACTTTTTATTATAAATAATAATATAGCTAATTTATTTAATTATAAAAATAAACTTTAAATATATAATATACTTTTTAATAAACCTTTAATAGCTTTTTTACTCTATAGAAAAATTCTTTTTTTTTATAATTACTAAGTATTATCTTTATATTTATAATAAAAATATTAGTTTAGGCTAATCTATTTGCAACTTTTAATCTTTATTTTATATAATTTTATTATTTCTATATAATTATTATAGAAGTTCTATATAATTTATATTATAAATATTACTAAACTATCCTTTATTTATATAATATTTTTCTAATTATTTTTAGTCTTCTTTTAAAACCCTTTGTCTTTAGATTACTTTTATAGTAAGTTTATATATATTTAGATAATTAGGTATATAAGTTGAGAAATAGTATAGAAGTAAAAGATATAAAAATTAAAAGAAAATAAATATTACTTATATATTTAAAAGAAAAATAAACTTTATAGAAGTTTAGAAATATATTTAATATAATTTAAAAAAAGCTTAAAAACAAAGATAATAGTATTATAAAAATATAAAATAAAAATAAATTCTTTATATTATTAAAAGAAAGGTTAAATAAAATAAATAATAAGTATAAAACTAAAATAAATAAATAAAAAAATAAGAAAAGGGTACTACTAGCTATAGCGAGTAATAATAAAGAATTAACTAAATAGGTTTCCTATTATAATAATGTTTTTTTTAACTATAAATTATTATTACTCTTCTAAATTAACTATTAATGTTATTAACTTAAATAAATTTAAATTTAGTTAGTATTATAATAAGTATTTAGATATTTGCCTATTTAGCTATATTAAAACCTTTAAAATCTTTAAAGATTAAAATAATTCTAAAATTTTTATATTTATATATTAGCTATACCTAATATATATATTAAATTAGTGTGAAAAAAGAAAAAGAATATTAATAAATAATTATAAATAAAAAATATATAGTTTATAATATTATATTAAATAAAGTCTAACTATAGCAATAAACTAATATCTTTAAATTTAATATTAATATTTTTTAAATAATTATTAAATTAGTTAAAGTTTTATTTATTGCTGCCTATTAAAAACTTAGAAATAAGCGTTTATTTTTACTTAAAATATAATTATTAAAATATAAAGAAATATTCTTATAAATAGCTAATTAATAGATAATTAATATTATATATACTAAGCTATAAAGGTTATACAAAAGCCCTATTATATAATAAACTAGTATATTAATTTATAAGCTTAATAGTAGTTTAATTTATATAATTAAAGATTTATTAGAATATACTTAATTAAAGCTTTAAAATAAAATTTTAATTATATTAATTAGAGCTTTAATTATTAAGATATAGTCTAGTTTATAACCTCTTTGTAGCAGCTAATTAATAAGTAATTAATAATGTATAAGCTAAATTTTTATTATATAAAGTCTTTACTATATAATAAACTAGTATATTAGTTTATAAACTTAATAGTAATCTAATTTATATAGTTAAAAGCTTATTAGAATATACTTAATTAAAGCTTTAAAATATATATTTAGTTATATTAATCGGAGCCTTAGTAGTTAGGATACAGTGTAATTTATACTCCCTTGCCGGTAGCTAATTAGCTGCTAGTTAATATTGCACGCGCTAAGCCTGCCTTTTTTGCCCGCGAAACCACTACCTAATCCTAATCCTAAGCCGTGTACAATTAGCTTTATAACTTCCTTGAATAGACTAGGTGGTTAAGAGAATAGATTAAGTGATAGCCTAAGGAGGAGGATGATATCGTTCTAGCATCCAAATGAAAGACCTGCTTGGAGCGTAGGGGAGTACCTTCCTTTCGCCCTCTAACTCGCGCAAAAGATTCCATTACCGTACCTCAACGACGTCTAAGACTTCACGCCAAATATCTTCTCCGCCCCCTTCCTCGTAGCCTTTATTTGCACAGTCTTGTCACCACTATTCATGATATACCCCCGCACCTTCCCAAAATTGATTTTCCCCTTCGCTTCCGTTGCAGTATCTAAAAGCGCTCCCAAAATACTTCCTGTCAAATCCGCCGCATTGTCTGCCGAGAACTTCTCCGGGTTCGTGATAAGATCGTACGCCATAGCTGTGAAGCATGCGAGTAGCGGGCCGATTCCAGGGACACAAGTTGCCAGGCCGACGCCAACTAGGGCGTTGAGCATGTCGAGTAGGAACATGCCGTTGTCGCCGCTCTTCTCGTACTCGACCTTGACGCCCTGCATAATCTTCAGGATGTTCTGGAGGTCGGCATAGTTGCCATCTTCCATGTTGCCGCCTTTGGTTTCAGTTCCTGGAGTGCGTACATCTAGGCAATGGAGGGCTCTGAGAAAGTTGTATGGGTTATCATCCGGATGACGGTCTTTTCGCGGCATCGCGAGGAGAGTAATTAGGGCAGGCACGTCGAATTCAATCGTGCACTGTGGTGCGTAGTTGAGACCAAACGTGACGTCCTGGTCGAAACAGAGAGCGGTGAATTTGTCAAGCTTCTCGGCTTTAGGACCATCGCCTGAATTGACTTGCTCGGCTGGCTTGAAATCAAGGCCTCCTACCTTCCTTTCATCGTCCTGGGCTTTCTCGGAATCTCCAAACACTCCAGGGTCCTCTTGAAGGCCTTTGAATTGGTTTTCCTCGTACTGTCGCATGAAGTCGATAGTATCTTTGTTGGTGTCATTGTTTTCGTATGGAATTTTGACAGCCTTGCGTTTGAAGTCGAGGCGAACATAAATGCACATTGTCTGTAAGATATCTAAGTCAGCTCTCCAACTCGTCGTCCATATGAGTTCCCTGAGAGTTGCACGTCGTTCCTTCGTTTGAACGTGTTTCGAGATGGGCAAAGAAATAGCGGGTCGTGACTTGACTTACCGGATATTCTTTGTCCGCCGAATGCACCAAAGGAAAGTAGATAGCTCGAATCGGAAAGGTAAGGTCCAAGTACATCTTCCGCTCCTCTTTAGTAGGGAGCGAGACCGGAACGTACCCAACGACTGAGGAGTTCCTCAGTTGCCAGTAGTTAAAGTTCCCATGAATCTTCTGGATACGCTTGGTGTTGTTCTTGTCCGGTCCGTACATTGTAGTCAAATACTTGTACCGAACGTAGGTGTCGTAGCCGGGAGGGTTCCATCGCTGCTCCTCAGAACGGGGGTGATACTCTGGGAGATGAACATCCCTGTTGTGCCAAGAATGGGCACAGCTTGCATTGATGACAACTTCAATAATCGCGTGAGTATAAAACTCATTGGGATCATTGGGATCGAATCCGTTTGTTTTGACAGCCTCACGTTCGATCCTGATATAGGTACTCAAGTTAACGATGATACCAGTATCACCAGCTAGAGGTGCTTCAAAGTGCTCTCAGCCCACCAGAGACTCGTTACTCGAGCAGCAGAAATGATCAAGAATGAGCACGTACCAGGCGACACCCTCTGGATCAGCGTCCATAAGCGCTAGGGATTGAAAACTTCTACGCAATCTTATTTTGTGACTTCACTTTTCCACTACTGAAGAGCGGGAGTGCTGGTTTTCTCGATGTTACGACTTGGATGCGCTCAAGGAGGTGAAATGGCCATTTTTGTACAATTGGTCACCAAACATGACGATAGATCAGAAGGTGGGAACCTCCAGGATATGGTCGGCCGAGCGTCTGCATTTATCAGTCAATGTACCCCTCCATGTACGATTTTGGAGATGCGTCTCATATTGAGTCAATTTGAAAATGATCACCACTGCACATGTACTTTCGGTGCTACTCGGCCCAGGTGGAGATTTATGAAAACATGCGGACGCGACTCCGCCCGCATGATGCAGTCTTCTTAGTCCAATCATCTAGGCTTCAACATGAATCTGTCGAAAACATCATGCGAAAGTTGTTGTCCCCGCACAGGACTCGGAAACGAATTGACCTGTGGATTCCAGACATTAGCATCGACCGACCCGTCGATTGCAGACATTCGACATCATCCGACCTATCGACTCCAGACATTTGCATTGGCCGAGCATGTCCAATAGCAGCCATATTTTTTATAAGATCGCAACCGTAAAACATCTTGACATGATGATCGAGGGGCTTTACCAGCCCCGCCCTTTGCTCTTGTGCGTTTCGTTGACCTGTATTGACTCCCGACAAGGCCCAGCTGCGAGTTCAATTGCGGGGAAACAATGCATATGAAACGTCATGGTCATCATCATATCCATGATTATCCTGCCCTATCATTATCTTTGAGTCCCGTAAGCATTGCAGACGAGGAGATCCGGCTACTATGCTTAACCTGCTGCATGAAGATCTGAGAAAAGGTGATCGTGAAAGAACGCTGACGGAAATGCACCAGCAGCACATCACTCCATACCTCCCATCTATATACATTCGATTTGATCGATCGATCGATCGACGACATCATATTGCCCCAGTCTTCCTCGAGAAAGCGATTATGCGAGTGACGTGACCGATCGTTTACACGTAAGGTTGTCCCCATCTGTTGCTTCCTCGTGAACCTTGTTCTAGCAGCGTCAATTCGACCAGAGCACTTGCACTTACAAGAAACCTTGCAACCGTATTGGCGTCCGAATTGAGATTAGTTTGGAGAGGAAAAAGACTGCAGTAACCTACTTGCGACATGTCTTTTCAGGGTCCAATCCTTTAATGCCTCACTTTTGATCATTTGTGCAGAAAATGTCCTATCGCCTGATTCTCCCTCGTACAGAGCTGAAAATCCGGACTAGTAAAGTCTGATATTTTCAGAGTTTCCAGCAAGTCAGCTAGAGCGATCAAGTCCGTCCTCAATTGAGTGATCTTTGAAAATATCTGCATTGAAAACCCTTGGTGAATACGTAAGATCTGCTTTGCTGGAAAGAGGGGTTATCCGCCTCAAGTCCAATTCTTCCTGCGCCACGGGCCAACGGGCACCTCCTAAGCCTGCATGCTGTCCTGTTCGATCTGCCTTTTTGCCTCAGTGATCAACTACCTACCTGCATTACCGGATCATGACGCAGAATTCACCGTATCTTGCTCTTTTCATTGGCTATCAGTCTGCTATCTTATACCTTGATAAGCAAGCTTACCAGTAATCTCATTTCCAAGGATCTCTTGGTAAGCTGGGACCTTAAGAATGGAGGTCCTGCGTCCTTTACTCCCCAATGTTTGGTGGATTAATAAAGTTTCTTATCTAGGGTCTTGCCACATTATAACCGCCGTAAGTGCCATGGTCGAACCTATCTGCCACGCCAGTGTAATCATAGTGATCCCAAAGCGATCCGTGGTTTCATAGAAATCAAAAAGTGGCAGATAAGAAAGAGCGAGGCATTGCAATCGACTGAGCAGGCCAACCAGCAAAGATGGCCAACTCACTTAGAGATTGCAAGCCCATAAGCACAGAGGGATATCCAAATTGTATTCTGGAGATCATATTTTTCCGCTCTCGGAGTACAAGTGATGTATTTTTTAACTACAAAAAGAATGTCAGAGAACTTCGACCGACCTCGCAAGTCTTGCAGTATCAGAATGATCATAATTTAAGGTTCCACCCCCGGTCTGGTCTTGTTTTGTTAAAAGGGATACGCGCTTCTCTTCTTCATTTTGGCAGGGGCACCACTCATTATTACCCATATTTACAAGGCTATGCGTCTGTCTAAATGACCTTAGTCTTAATACAGAGGAGATCGAAACCGTCTTCAAAACAGATTCGCCTGGACCCTAGCGAACCTGTAAAGTAAGCTAGGGCACGGAGCAATAAAGAGTATCAAGTCGCTAACCCTCGGAAGCATTCTTGTTGCAATCATGATTCTTTTCTCACATCGAACAGAATGTATAACCCTATTTTGAGCAGACCGCGTGCCAAATAATTAACTCAGCTCGGATTCAACGGAAAACTGCAAGCGCGCCCTTTGCGGTGTAAATAGCTCGTCGTATGTTATTAGCGCACCAGCAAGTCTTACTTAGCCTTGGTCTTAGCCTCAACTTTTGGCGTAGTCTCGGAGTGTTTCTTATAATGATGGTGTAGGATCAAGTGGAACGATTCCTGGCGTTCTGTACCTTGCAGCATATTGATACCATGAAACTCTTCGCCGCGCTTTCACTTGAAATATGCGTCTAGTCTACGAGCATCTTTCAAAGCCAGAACGACACGTTACTATTGCCGTACGTTATCCCAAGTCAGAATTTGAAGATCTATTGACAACAAACTGTCGTCGTGCAGGCCATTGCCATACCCCAATACCCTAAGGTAGCTTTGATGAAGACACCAGTGTCCAAATTGACAAGCGGTAAGCCAAACCTCTCGTTGAGGCCGAGTTCAGTCTTTCAAATAATGGCGAGATTGCTGATTTGTAGATAGTCCCCTTACGCGGCAGTCGGTGAAGCACTCTTCTCTTACGCCCTACGAGGTGCCACCGCAAAAGTGCCAACAAGGCAAGCATACGAGGATCCTACCATCGGGAGCTCTGGAGGATCACTTCTGATACAAGTAGAAATAACCTACTACTTTCCAGTCTATGCTGACTTGATCTGGTCTCTTGAGTGCTTCCTTCAATTCACGCGGTACAAGGCAGAAGTCCTTGGTCGAATTACATGGCTACTTCGCGCGAAGCCAGGTTCAGTAATTATGCAGAATAAGCTTACTCTCATATATGGGTCTTTGGCCGAGAGAATCACGGATAAGCGGGATAACAATACCTTGATCCTCCGATCCCCGGCTGAAGATGCGCAATCTATACAAATTATCCCCCAGATTCACATATATCGACTTAAGACCGAGAAAGAGCTAGACTTGACAGCCATCTACTCTGCAGCTCTGCAAGCATTCAAAACCGTTGCAGTGCAGGAGGACAGGAAGTCTCGTATAATGCAAGATTAGTATTTCACGTCCACAAGCATTCTGTCATCGTTCAATTCGTGGTTCGACTTGAGCCAGGACCTGCATCTGATGAATTCACGTGGCAGTTTTTGGGTCGGGCTACAAGGGAGGTACTCATGACGACGAGGATGACGGGCGAGTGGCAGTATAAAGCTGAGATTCCGCTTAGAGCGGTGATGCTGGCGACAGCTATGCTGACGGCTCATCAGTGATCATGTCGTGGTTTGACAATGGGACAGCCTGTATATATGAGGCAACACTCTAGACAACCTATTGTTGAGAATCCAATCAAATCAATAGAGACGAATGTCCTGTTTGCTTTCCTCCAATAAAAATCTACGCTGTCATAGTGTCCACGGTCGCAGTCCGAAAGTACCCTCGAAACATTCCCCTGGCAGGTACAGGTCGGCGAATTCACCACACTTCAAGAGAATACGCCTGCATCCTAGAACATACCATCTCCACCATTCTAGAGCTCTCCTGATCCCAAACCACCTGTCCCGGCTCCATCGAAACCCTGATCTAGCAGTCCCTGCATTGATCCCCGTCCACTGATCCGCGGACTCAGCAGTTCCTTAATCCGCTCCTCCATCGCAAGCGCTAAATGTATCTAACCACCTTGATCGCAAGACTCGTGACCTGAATCTCAAAACGATTCCTCCCAACACGTGAGAATCCCTAAAACCAAACACTCGCCTCGTCAACACTTCCCCAATACCTCCAAAGCCTCCCCTCGCTGGCTTGGTGGATGACGAAGTCATTAGTCACCTGAGATCGCAAACGGAGGTCCTAGTTGCTAGAGACGAGAGCGGTATGAAGGTCAGCTTTGTGGACGTGGAAGGGCGCTAGGGGTATGTTGATGGTAGGCGCCCAAAGGCCCCAGGTTATGGGAGCGACGCTGCCAAGGAAAGTGAGGGTTTTTGGGGGGCGTGGAGAGGGGCATTGATAAGTTTTGAGGTTGGTCAGTCTGGTCTTTTGTCTTTGAAGGAAGGTGCTTCTTTCTCGTACCCATGACGGTGGTTCCATTCGGCCCATGGCCATTCAGGCTTTAAGGTGAGGCTATTACAATAGCGGTCTGAACAGCTTTAAGTGATGTAGTTGAGGACGAGGAGAAGTATTACAGTGTGAGTTCGAAGCGTAGGCGTAGACTGTGTTATAAGCGGAGATGTTAAGCCTTAAGTCGTAGATTCATGCCTTCGTTAACATTGAAGCCGGTGTCATTTCTTGTAGGCGGATGGTCAAGACATGTTTTAGATTCCCGTCTCCAGTGAATTTGGGAAGGTAATCAAAGAGCGACGGCATATTTTTTATAAATTGTCGAAGTTTGCCTTATCATTTAAGGCATTATTGCAGTGGTCAACGCCGTTGTTTAAGCCGTGACATTTATTGTCAGAAAGATGAAAGACATCTTCACTTCTCCTAGTGTGTTCGATTTGAGCCTGTAATCTGCTCAATTGCGACTTCGCAAGGGCTTCTCAAGGTCATTCCGGCGATCGAGTCTGGCTCCTCCATTCATTACATCGACTACTCCACGAGGATGGAAGCCAGTCGAAACTTAACGAGACGTCTCAATGTGTTTTCAATGGACTGATATGGCATAACCAACCTTCTTATCGGACTTTGTACAAATATGGACGAGCTGAGATCAGAATGAGGAATAGTGTCGGATGTAGGCTGTGGTTAGAATTCCAGATCTCGGCAAGGGGGGATCCGCACGAGCAAAGTTTTGCGGCTGGGCGCACAGTACCAGACTCGAGACCCAATGATTATGACCTACTCTGGACGTGGGTTGGGGCTTAGCAAGCCAAGCGATACACTCGACCATGGTACTGAAATTTGTCATCAGGCCGGCTTGGTTCATCTAAGTGCATCACCGCCTCAAATCTTCGGACGTCTTTCTTAATTGTGAAATATCCACAGATCACTGACTATTCATCACGAGAAGCTCTGTACGTTGCGGTGTTCGACGCCGTGTTCTTCGGTGCTTACACCAAATGTGCCTACCACTGGTAGACTCCTCAGCTTCGGAGTCGTTAGCATCATCTTTGATCGAACGGATGCTGGTCATTCCGTGCCCACGATGGCGATAGGGGGAGGAAGGAGGTATAAAGATGGGCCTCCTCACCACGTTAAGAATCATCATCTCCAGGACTTATACAGCAGCAAGTTCAGATCCTTGATTATTTCTTCCATCACTCACAAAACTATTTTCATCCATTCAAACCTTTCAATCAATCGATATGCATTTCACCACCACCCTCCTGCCCACCGCCCTCTTCCTCGCCTCGACCGCCTCTGCCCTTCCCTGGACAAAAGACGCCAAGGGCGTCTGGGTCGCCAACGACAATTACTACAATATACGAGGTTGTGCGTTCTCCTCCATTGTTTCTCTTCCTCGGCCCCCTCTTCCTCCCCCTTTTCCGCAAGCAAAGGAAAAAGAAACCCCCCGCCCCCCAAGCAGCCATTGAACAAGCTAATGCGCACAAAGCCACCGTCCACGAAGCCTGCACAACAATGAACACGGAGGACGTCCACCCGGATGGAGAGCAGTGCGCGTATTGGACCAGTGGCGTTGGGGATATCTTTCATGGCAGTGAGTTTTCCATACCTATAATGGGCGGAGAGAGGGTGGATGATGATGCTGATGAGACGTCCGGAACAGCATGTAGCCATCAGGGGAGCTCGGTCCTTTGCATTGTTCTTTGGAAAGATGAGGATACGAATATCAATGTTTAGGACTCGGCTGGTGAAGTCTTTGGAATGGAAAATGTTTTGAGGGAAGGATCTACTGGTTAGGTCTTGGAAATGTCTTTTGGAGTTGATGGGGCTGTTAGATACGGTAGATACGTTGGTCACTCCTTGAATGAATTTAAAAGATTGCTCTAGTGCTGTTGAGACAGGGGTTTCCTTTACTGGTGACTTCCCTATTTGTGAAAGAAGCTGTCCGCCGCTCGGTGCCTTAATCTCTGGTCGCTTATTCGTATGCCGTCTCATTTGTCTCGCGAAATTGAAGCTTCTAAAAGCACATCCTTGTCGCTGGAAGTGTCCCTTGCCTCATCTGTAAAAAGAGGGATTCTCCTCGAGACTGCGTGAAAGCCTTGCGATCACAGCGGGGAATATGTCTCTGCGGATTAGTGTCTTGGACGGGGGTCTTGATCAAAGGCATAAGAATGTCTCACAAGCAAAGTAGAGATTCGCTACCGACAGCATGCAAATGATAGCCTATTACCGGAAGTTTTCTTAAAAAATATGTATGTTGTGTCTATGGCTCCTACCAAATGTGTCTCTGCTGGTGAAGGTGGATTGATACAGCGGGTGAAAAGTATTGCGTCCGACAGACCACTCTACGTACGATAACTCAGGGCACTGATTTGTCGAGGAAAGCCCTCTTTACAATGACTAAATACGCTAGCTACATTGGCCAAGGCCTAGACCAAGAGTTCGCAATACCAGTGCAGGGAATGGGAACTCCGCCAAGTGCAGCGTCGGTGGAGACTGCCCAAGACTTACGTACGAGTAACGCCTAAAGTCGAAAGGCCGATCTCTGTAATGTAGGATCGAATAGCCGTAGAGGAGATCGGAATCAGTCTACCGCAAACCAGGTTGGACATGTATTCGGCATCCTACGATCTCGCCATGTCGTGCCTCTACGTCAGAGCTTATGTCCAAAAGTCACCACGCCTGAACGGACTCCCGCGATCTTTCCACAGTCTGAGAAGGCAGCATGGTCCTGGGCGGGGAATCTAGAGTCGCAACTCAATGATAGCTCTTTGATTCTTTGACCTGGAACAACAAATCATTGCCGCGTGCGTATGGCGCCGGTAAAAATAATTCCTGGCCTGATGCATTTTCACAGCAGGATATTGCGCACCTGGAGACAGCATTCGCTCAGTTGTCGTTATCGTAATGAGCATTATCATACTTGAAACATATCGACGAATCCATATCCGGAATTCTTGGACTAGAGTGGTATTCGACGAGATTTGAAGCAGGCTATATTGGCTTGAACTGAATCGATCAAAGGAGGGAGTACTCAATTTATCTTGAGGCTTATAATTTACTTAGAGCAACTTTTCGTCGATGCAGGCATCCCTTGCTTGTCTTTGCCGGGGCAGTGGCAGCTTATCACCCATATATCACAGTATGTCTTCGCTTGTGATACTCAATGGCTGACAGATGCTCGTACCTAGCCGGTTTCTTCTCGCTTACAAAATCTGGCATTGATCCAACCGACTCGTCACGATTGCCTTTTTGAAAAAAAACAACAGAGAATCGATCCTTCAGCATACCCCTGTCATCACCTTGGCTGGACTCTGGCAGTGTGACTTGGTGCAGGCCCGCAGGAATGATATCATTGGTCCAGCGTTGCAGCGTATCCGCTACATTGATCACCAGCTGATATGGATCTTTTGCATCTACCGACACAAACTTCACTTGCGGAGATTTGCTGCTCCGATCCTCTATTTGCAGCCCGCCGCTGTTGTCTTGGAAAAGAAGCGTCAGCGTTCCGAAATCGGTGTGAGCCCCTGACCTTCGCACACGACCACTTGTGATGTCTTCTACTGAAATGGCCGGGTAGTGATTCAGCCGCAGCTCGTTGTCATGGCGGTCGCAAAGTTTTGTCAGAGTCCCATGGTTCACCTCAAGCGCGTCTTCCAGAATAGAGAGGAGCTGGCGGCTCAAGTTCGAGGCAACGTCGAAGTAAGATTCCATGAAACGACGAAAGCCAATAAGACCATTGGCTTGTGTTTCAGGCGGCCACTGATTGGGGAACATGGTATCATTGCGCGGACCTAGGTCCAAGTGTTCCTGAGATGCCTCTGTCAAGACATTGAGGCCGTTGAATGTCCGTCATGCAAAATTTGACTGACCTTGACATCAATCCAACTACTTTCTGTGCCATCCAAAGCAAAAGTGTCAAGATTCTCGTCGCCAACTCCACTGAAGCCTCGCTGTGGTTTCGGGCCCTTCTGATTCCGAATCTTGTCTTTGGTTGATTGGTTCAGTGTGAAAAAGCTTCGACACTGAGGGAAAGTCAATGAAAAGGGCTGTTCAGGGAGGGCCAACCGGAAGGAAATGTTTGTCGTACCCACATCATCAACGTGTCAACGTACTCTTTGTGCATCCCATAGTTGATGAGCTTTGCGAACCCATGCGCTTGCAGACTCGCAAGTAAGTCTTGTTCAAAGGATTTCCGCTCTTCTGCATTGCCTTCGGTGTACATTGATAGGTCAAGAACTGATATACTCATGATTGCGAATGTGCATCGATATCGTGCGTGAGATACAGGGTGATCGTCAGATTTGATCTTTTGGAAACATGAGGGCACCAGTGAAGCCTTTAAATTCCACCAAACTCTGGCGCATTGATCCAGAGTAATTCTTGCACCTCTAAGCAACGCATTACACTTTCCATCTCCACGATTACCCGCATGACATGATTCCACATATTCAAGAGTTAGTTCTTACTCCCCCGCTATTGCGTGTGTACAGATTATGCCCCTAGTTGCTGACGTCAGAGTAATCCTGACAACAAACCCTGAGGATCTAAGCACTTGACCGATGACTCAACACGGGACTTTCCCCCAACAAGTTTGGAAGTGGATCCATGATGCCTTTTCTGATTGCGTTCGCAGTATGAGATCATGTTGGGGAAACCCCGGCCGTTGCGCTAGAGACATGGTCTTCTTTTCGCAATGGGAATTTAAAATCAAATTCTTTAAATGATAAGTATTAATCGTCCGTATTTCGAGGTTTCTCAATCACCTAAAGCCATTCGCCCAGCTGTCAAGGCTTTGGCCTGCAGAATGTTCCAATAATAGATTTTCTGCCCGACCGTGACCCACCGCCAACCTGCTCGTTCTCATCTTAAAGTATGCCCAAAATTTCGAATGATCTATGGGAGACATGGACGAAGACTGGTCTGTTCGTTTATATGGTGAGTTCCGACCATGTCAGACCTCGGTCACCGGAAAATACAAGCCAATCACAGAAGAATGGTCAATTGAGGTAAATCTTCACCTCACCTCCAATAAGATTGAACGAAGTGACCCAGGGATCCTTTGCTCTACGTTTCAATGTTCCTCCTCCACGTAATATCTGAGAGAATTTGTTTTTCTCATCACCAAGGAGCTAGGTCGAAATGATGTCCAATGCATTGGGCGCAAGCAGAGTATACGAGCAGCAATCGCCTAACGCAGCTCAAGAGCACCGATATCGGCGAGTGTGGAAAATTCCCAAATGACTTTGATGGTGGGCACAGAATTCTTTGCGGAAGCGTGATCAAATAGCAAATGAAAGCGCAAAACATCTTGCCTTCTACATGCCCTCCAGCTCACCAGACTGTCCTATCCTCATTCGCAAGACCTCAAGCGTCTTCTGATGTGATTGAGCCTTGGCAGGCATACCGCCATCAAAACCAATAAGGGCGAATTAGATAGGGCCAAATCACCCAGCATGCCATACCAGAGCAGTTACCCACTAGTAAGGTCTATGGCTTTCGCGTGGTGGCAGAGGATCTCCGGGACCGCACTGCCTGCGTAATAGACGGCGGACATGTCACACCTGATTGACCAATTGGTCGATTTGGCCAATGATTCTACCTGAATGGTCAATCAGTCAGCTTGATGAAAGGCTTGACTGATTAGTCATTTAGATATCTGGTAATCCAATCTTATGCTGCATTTAATTGAGCAAGGGTAGTTCTAGGTAATCTAACCTATCTAGGTATATTGTCAAAATTAACGTCGATATACTATACCTCCAATTCAGCGTTAGAACCTCGCCGACAGCTTAAGACCTCGCTGGCACCCTTATTAAAGCAATTAACGCTATGCAGATTAAAAGGTTACTAAGCTACTATAAAGCAGCATAATCTAAATAATCAATCCGACGGTACTTGATCAAATAAGCTGATTTTTGACCAAGGAACTGCGTAATTGATTAATAAGACACTATTGGTCAACGAAGTGGAAGAAATTGGCCAAATCGACCAATTGGTCAATCAGGTGTGACAGGGGATAGCACATGCGTTGCCGTACGACCCTTCCTAGCATAAAGCCTCATTTTCATCATAGCGCATTTACTGGTCATTGCCATGTGTAAGGCTTGCAAATGACCCTTGTTCTGATCTTTAAGGAAGGAGGGCGCGCAGGGGCGATCCCGGCTTTTCTCAACCAGGTGTGATAGCTGTTTGCTATTTATCGGCTCACTACATGTCTGATCGGTTCAGGCACAGCTGATGGGTTGGCACCATCGTACTGGTCAGGTTGCAGTTCTGCGAACTGCATACTAGCGAACAGCTTCATGACCGTGAAATGTGGGATGCTCACCTGAGATTTCCTTTTCAATTATCTATGTATAAGAAATTAAAGCATGGGGCGGCGTAAGCATCTGTTGTATTGTCTCCATACTTAGAGGTGCAGTGGAGCTTTGTCAAACCATCTCTTTATCATGGAGAGGTTCTCCGACATCGACCATGACACCCCGGAAATTTACTTCGTATATGGAGGTTCTCTGGCTGGAAGACCCTCTGTTACTAATATTTTATCTCTTGGCATACATCACGAGCTCTGTGAGGATAGAGAGGGTGGAACTTCCAGGTTTCGGATACTGCTGTGGCGTTAGGACATACTCCTCGGAGTTGTGGGAATAATTTAAATCACAGCCATGAAGGTCACAAAGCCAAACCCGCATGTGCAGCGCTAGTCAGCGTTGGCAACGGCTTGGTGAACTGTTGGCGGTTTGGGTGGACGAAATGGTTGGTTCTATATTCGATCCAGTCCAAGCTTTGGGTCGACTATAAGATTGTCTGTGTTGCTATTACCAATGCAGTCCATGCTTCAGAGTCAACGGCTCATATGGTTGCCAACGCTGGCGCTAGTGTGGTCTAAGTTCATTCGACGGCCAAGCTCGAATGCAACCTCCTGCATTTGGGCCTTCTTGACCGTTCGGTTCTTTGCGTATGCGGGGAAATCCCCTCGCATACAGATATCCAGCCGGTCGATAGAGAGTTTGAAACTAGGTGCCGCAGTCATTGTTTTGAGGTGGACAGCATTTGGCCCAGACAGAGACCTATATGCCGTTCGCGGGCTTTATGGAAGCGAGCGTGTAGAGTTGACCGTGGGAGCCAACGTGAGCTATTTTCTCTCTGTCCTCTGCGAAAGCAGAGAGGTGGCAGCTCTGATTTTCAACGCCGTCTGTCCCGCGAAGTGTATGATGTATGTTGCGGCATATTAAAATCTGCGAAAGAGAGGATGACGTCTCGGTGACTGAAACCAAAAAATGTTCAGGGTTCAACGGATGAGCTTGTCAAGGCTCATTCAGAGTGCTGAGAGTAAGAAGTCATGGCAGCATGAACCAAATCGATCGATCGACATCGGTTCAGTGAAAGGCCAATTGTAGGGTGCCGCATGTGGGATCCCTCAGGCGGAGTGATGTAAGAAAGCCAAAGGATCAACAATGAGCTTGTCATCACAACAGGCCAGTACACCCGTCTAGTTAAGAGGTCTACCATCCTGCGATCAAGACAAAGTGGCGCAGCGTAGTACTTCATACCCACATACAGATCGGGGCTTGAGGGAACTCACGGAAAAACAAGATTTTCTCCAGGTTAGAGGAACACTTGCAACGTCGATTGCATTTTTTGCAAACCAAGCAGCGCAGACCGTGGGCAGATCTCAATGCATACACAAGGCATTCTCTACTTCTTCTACAGATGCAGCCAGCACTAGGCCGACAGTCTCCTTGTTGCTAGGACTCAAGATCGAGTATCAAAGACGCAGCCAAGGCGAGATACATGTTGCTTCTGGTGAGCTCCTCGCGATAAGCCGGTGCGCAGTGAGACAGACTACACTGTGACCATGCAAGATGGACTGCGAGCCTGGAGAATATATTGGATCGGTTTTATTAATGGATCTAGTTACTGCACCGTTATCGTAACGGTGCGGGGTCATCCATAGCGCATTGGTTGCGATGCAGGGACAGTTGCATTTGTGATGCAGGGAAAGTTGCATATGCAACAGCATTGGTGCGGGGCAACGACCATCTCCGAATAAGAACCATTTGACATTGGGTGACCAGAAGTTCTATTAGTATCAGGACGATGTGCCTGAGTTTGAGTCATAACCTTCTCAATCTTGAGCAGCTGTAAGTGAGTAACCTTGTGATCAGAAAGAACCGACGAGGGTGGCCTACCAAAGCCGTCAACATGAAGCTACCCTCTGCTGGTTGGGCAAAGATTATCCAAATCTTCAACATCACACTCCTATGGTCGCCGGGCCGAGATCATCGAACTCAGACCGTGCTTCAGAATGAGCCTCATTACTCTAGTCACCATGGTCGAGTCGAGCCGACGCACTTTATTCTTCCGGGCGAGGGCGCCGACGATGGCAAGCTCTACGCTGCAGAAGACGGAAGTCCATTGATACCTACACCGAGGCACCCTCAGGATGCAGGTGGGCGTTTGGTGTGCGAGTACCCCAAAATGTCCGACTGGGTCAATTGCCACGGTCCAAATAGTCGGGACTGTTGGTTGCAGAATAAGGCAGATCCGTCTAAGAAGATCAATATCGACACCGACTATGAGGATCCAAACGAGGTCCCGGTTGGGATTACTAGAAAGGTATGTATTCTTGGCAAATGTACTCGATCAGGCACAAGTGTTCATAGGCTTGCAGTTTAGCTTGGAAGTGAATGAGCAGCCACTCTCACCCGACGGACAGATTTTGGAACATGGAAAGGTGTTCAATGGCACATACCCTGGTCCTTGGCTAGGTGGGTTTCACTTCTTCTGTATGTGCATAGAACGCTGAGAATAGCAACAGAAGTTTGTTGGGGTGACTGGGTCGGTAAGTGAGACCGATCATGGTACTCTTGAAGCATGCTAAAGATGTGCAGAGGTTAATGTTACCAATAACCTGAAATGGAACGGTACATCTGTTCATTGGCACGGCATCCGGCAATTGCACACCAACCAACACGACGGTGTCGCTGGAGTGACCGAATGTCCGATAGCACCGGGCGACAGCTATACATACAAATTCCGCGCCCTGCAATATGGCTCGGCTTGGTACCACAGCCATTACTCGCTTCAGTATGGCGATGGCTTGTACGGCCCTCTCACAATCTATGGTCCAGCAACATCAAATTACGGCAGTGACGACACCTTTAGGCCAATCTTGATGAACGACTGGAACCATCGGAGTGGATTTGAGGATTGGCCACTAGTGCTCAAATCCGGAGGACCTCCTGAGATGACTAACATCCTCCTGAATGGTACAGGCCAATTCGGACCAGGGCAGAAGACGGAGAATAAGTTCCAGCTCCAATTCGAAATGGGAAAGAAATACCACCTCATACTTGCAAACACGGCTCTTGATACTACCTTTGTTTTCTCCATCGACCATCACTTGTTAGAAGTTATCGCGACAGATTTCGTGCCTATCAGGCCTTACTTCACCAACAATCTCAGAATTGGAATAAGTAAGCCATCAACCTGCCTTCACGAATCTCGTTAACATGCTCATAGGTCAACGGTATCATGTCATCGTCCATGGTCCGCCAAACCCATTCAATGTCAAAAGGGCAATCGGTGGCAATTTTTGGATGCGTGTCATACCTGCACGCGAATGCGCGAAGTTCTCGTATGGCCCTGATACTGAGATGGGTATCATTCGGTACCTTCCCCCAAATCTAATGCCTCGGTACGCTTCACCCATAACCGACCCGTACCTTTTCCCCACGACGTGTGCGGATGAACCGTACGAGAATCTTGTACCGCATATACCTTGGCAAGTTGGAGATCCGGCGAACATTGGTAGGATTCTCCCGGATTAGGTGTTGTGGAACAAGAAATACTAATGGGCTGAACAGATCCTACGTGGAAAAATGCAAAGGATGCTCCCGTGAACAAGAGATATCTATTTGAGGCATTCCTTGAAGCAGTAGGTGGGCCGGAAAGCAACACACCTTATATCCCAGATGACAAGGCTCACCTGAGATGGAATATGGACCACGCGCCAATCTGGCTCAACTACAGCGACCCGACCATTCTCAATCTTGACTACACGGACGAAATGATGCAGCGTCCACACCTCGATCTCAACACCCTTGACGAACAGGAGGAAGACAGCTGGATCTGGATGGTGATTGCAGCACCACAGAAACTGAACCCAGTCGATGGTCAGAAAAAGTTCATCCCAGCTGCACACCCGATCCATCTACATGGTCATGATTTTGGGCTCCTCCTGCAGAGTGAGGACCCATGGAACAACGACGAAGGCGCAGGAGTGCCTGGCGCGGAGGGCGTGTTGACTCCAGACAAATTGAATTGCAAGAACCCAGCCATCAACTGCAACAACCCTCCCCGTCGAGACTCGGTGTTATTGCCAGGTGGAGGTTTCGTGATCATAGCATTCAAGGCCGACAATCCAGGTAAAGTGGCTCCCCACTAAGGCAATCCTGCACCTCTCTCTGACATATTTTCTGTAGGATCATGGATTCTGCATTGCCATATAGCTTTCCATGCCGCTTCAGGCATGGCATTCCAGTTGCTCGAGAATAAGCACCTTGTGAGTCGAGATATCGAGCCCGATCTTGGAATGCTTCAACATAATTGCCGGAAGTGGGATGAGTGGCATTCAGATCCTACAAATCATTTTGATGCTCATAATCCCCATCTATTCCAAGAGGACTCGGGGCTTTGAACTAATGATACACCGGGATTGCATGGGTTGCATGAACTTTCCTTTTCATTCCTTTCAACTCCAGGTCGGACCAGCAGTGACGGAGCTTCGACTATACAGCAGAGCGCGGACTTTCGTTAAGTAGCTCAGATGTTGTCGCTTGATATAAATTGTGTCTTGGGTCATAAACATACATGTCTTTTTGATTATCGTGCCATTTCTAGGGAAATTTGCCTTTGTAGACCCGACATGACGAGATGAAGCTTCGATCTATGTCCATCAACTCAAGCCCCACCTGTTTCTTGATCTATTTCAAATTTGGTGACGATCCTTGTGTTGTGGCTCCACCAACAACCTGCAATGGCTCCATCATTGGAAGAATCGACCTACCCTTCGTGATACCCATAAAAACCTAGCATTGTGGGTCATGCAGAACATGCTATGCCGGGGCCGCATGTCTGAGATAGATAGTCACATGGAGTAGTGTGTTGTATATAGCATGTTCTTATTGTACAAGAGAAGAAACCCGATCGCTTTGCCGTGCCTAAAATTCCCTTTGCCTAACTTCAGCCAGTTTTCGCAGCAAGAGAGTCTGCGTACCCATTTTAAAAATTGCGTACAGAGCAATACATAGCGTCGAAGCTGTGTCTTTCGAGGTCTGCGGTTGAAAGGAGGACTGGTAATTGATCTAGTGCCGCGTGAACACATGTTCAGCAATGCACAGACGTCAGGAATACTATGAAGGATCTGAATCAGGGTGGCGGGTATGCACCAGTCGACGAAGAAAACATAACGCGCGATATGTCTTAAGCGCATGCGTTGCAAAGCTCCAAGCGCCTTTGCAGTGTTCACGTATAAACCTTTCTCTTCGCCGCGAGCTGGTCTCAATACATACAACTCCAAACGATGGCAAAACGGACCGTCCAAGTCTTGCTTTTCTTAGGGCTACTCTTCAACAATACCCGATGTGCTACACCGATTGCGCCGCAGACCACCCCCATACACCAAGCGAACAACGAAGTTCCCCCTGCATGCGGCGATTTCCCTGGCAACCCTCCCGACCCTTGTTCTGACACGTTCGGCAACAGCTTTTACGTCGCAGAGAGCTTTAGAGAGCCTCATATGCCGTTCGGTGAGATAACCAAGATCCTAGAAGTGATGATGACCGAACAGTGGCAATACGTAAGGCTCCAAACCATCGTATCTTCAATCTTGAGCGCCATCTCAGCTGACGCGTCAATGACTAGTCCCTCGAAGACGGCTGGGACGCGCTCGAACCAATACCCGATCATTATTGGGGTCCCTCTCATCCCATACGATTATTTGGTTGGCAGCTGAGCTCGTACACTACGGGCGGAACAGGTTCTCCCGATGCTTTGAACTATATATGGCTCTGGCAGCATATGTTTCAATTTGTCTGGCTCTGGGAAAGCAGAGGATATGTTCCCACATTCAACTTCTCTTTGACTGACCACGATCGCTGGCCGGACGCATTAGCACATACTTTCGTTGTCTCGAAAGAGGAATGGCAGGTCAATAATAAGTCGTTGAGCACTGCGTAGTGCGAAGTTTAGGACGCATCTGAACGCCAGCGGGCGACACCCTCTCATATTTCTTGACAGATTCCATGATATGGCCTTAAAGAACACAAGCAGAAGTACAGCATGAAGAACATGTCCGTTCCCCAAGCAAAGCACAAGAAAGGTCCAACTCGCCCCCAAGTTCAACAACCGTAATCTCCACAAACCTGCCCCTCAACCACATCCACCCTTTGAACCCTTACTCTCCCCTCCACTCCACCACACCCTCAACATAGTGAAGCTACAGATATGACGCCGCTCCTCAACGTTGAATCTGATACCCACTGAAGTACTCGATCTCAGCACCTCCCTGCTGACAATCTTAAGATCACAACAGTGAGAACGACGTTTTCGGTCGCGACCAACAATGACCCAACGTCCTCTCCGAAGTGCGCGTACCTCTCGGAAGATCTACCAATGGATGAGGAGGATAGAGACATGCCATCAAAGAGGAGAAGAGAATTAGAGTTCTATTAATATTGAAATAGGGGCGTTGCCCTGACAATATGACTTTCCAACAAGCAGTCAAGCAAAGCTCCTCTATCGCCTGGTTTCTTCTTTCTTCCGACTCTACAAGTACATCACCTCCCTCTTCCAAATTCCCCTAATTATCGCGCGCTGCTTCAGTCCCGCCCCCCTCAAAGTATATGCACGCAGTCCAGAATATTGAAATTGATCAACGATGTTCCCTGGTATCAATCAGTAATCAGCATCACTCCCCCTCTCCCCCTCCCCTCACCCCTCCTCCCCCCCGCCAAAATCCAAGGGATTCATTTGTAGCAGAATAATAACTCACCGTGCCGGCATCAGTCTCGCAACAGTACGCGCTATTGCTGCAAGCGCCGCCGTCAATCTGCACCAGGCAATTGAGCTTGTTCAAGAGCCCTAACGTCGTTCCTCCGGCATTGCAGCATACTTGCTTCGTGCCGCTTGCGGAACAGGTAGTAGTATTCGTACGCGCGACGAGGGTTGACACGGCGTCGTTGGGGGTGGGAGTGGGGGCGGGGATGGCAAGGGAGACGGGTAGGGAGGCTAGTAGAGGCAGGAGGACAGAGGTTACGATGGTGGAGGGATGCATTGTAAGAGGGTGGAATTGGGTTGACAGCTCGGGGAATGAGATGCTTGGGAGTTGAGATGAGAGGTTTGCGAAGGTGATGAGGTGAGAAGAGAAGCAGACGGCTGGCTGCTTTGTGTTATATATCTGCTGAGATGACCGTGATGTCGAATGCGATAGAAGAAGTGGAGAAAGTCTGTGCATATTCAATGAGCGATCATATCCGTGCCCCGAGCGCGTACCTTGCAGCTTGGGTACGTCTGGCGAGAAAGGGTGTCTTTGTCCACCGAAGTCTTCCTCATAACTGGGACTTCGCACCCTTCTTGAAGATGTCCTTTGTGCGGTATGGTGATCTAGCGCACACAATCTCATTGTTCTTTCGTGAGATATCTTGCTACTCATTTACTTTTCCTTCCTCTACAATGACCTTGCGCCCTCGCGATGCGCCAAGAATCTGTGGAGACCTCTGCTTACCCCTGAGCGCCCAAAACCGTTGGCTGTTCCTGCATAATGCATAATTTGGCGGGTGTTGCTCGATCAGCCCTTTGGAGAATGTTTTTCAGCCACCGAGGCGCCACCACGACAGAAAAGGCACGAACGTGCAGAGATATGTGGTGCCCTTAGTAACAAAACTTGACTTGAATACGGTGCTTGTTCTCCGTTTCATATTATGAGAAGTTCCACGGAGTGCTCTAACGTTGTATGGTGTCCAAGACGTTGTATCCTTACGATTGCTAGACGTGCTTTAAGCCATGATCATCCTGCGTCAGATATACCCCACAGAAGCGTAGTGTGTTCTTAATCTGGCCTTAAATACAGTCTTGCGGTGCTTATGTAGCGTGAAGCCCATAGAAAATCTCCATCGAAAGCTCCCTATGCAAGGCAATCTCGAGCCTCGTAGGTGATCCGACCATACAAGCTGCCGCTTCATTTCGATCCACTTCTCTCCAGCCCCCATGCGACAATCATCTGACGCAGGACGAGATGCATTGCATGACTCAATACGAGGATCCATTGGGTACAGTTGGCGATTCTGCCAATTTGAAGTTGTTAAAATTTGCATAGTCAACAAACGGGAAGTGGCATGGTCCATGCATCAGTGAAGGGTCCCTGCATTGCATGCGACTATCTCGTTATGTGCTGCCGCTCAAGGACCTCGTGGAAGCAATAGTACAGAGCCTTGTTTCCCAGAGCATGAAATTTGGGGGCTTGAAAAAAGCGACGCATTTGTCTCGTGTTTGCATGGCAAGAGGCGCTTGCGTACAAATTCAGGTCGCTGAGGTAGGCTTTGTTTGAAGTGGGTCTATCGCATGTAAGTTCAGCAGCGCCATGCAATATCGAGCGGCTCAATGCATGATTGGCTTCGCCAAACAAGGGTCGGGGCATCGCCAGCTTCGGGCCATTGCCTAAGTTAGAGTCACAGCGACATCGTAGCTGGATAATACAAACAAGTTCGGATCGTAAAGAGTTATATTTCGTCCTTCTGAGAGCTGGGTTGACAAAGCCATCGCTATGCTCAACCTGCATTAGGGTTTCTAAGTGCTTTACTCGTTGCAGAATGGCACTGCATTATCGCGAAGGTCACTGACCACGTCGTTCTTCTGACAGAAAGTTATAGTCTGATCTTGGCTTTTTGGCTTGCGTCAGTCGTGATGAATCCCGACGAGTCATCCATCAATTTAAATGACGTTCAGTGCGGTTACCCCATATCTCCTACATGACAACAAGTATTTGCTCATAGATACATCACATTGACTTGATTGAATCTGACTTCATAGGTAAGGCTCCTATTGAGTCTAGTTTTAGAAACGATGTCAATGACTAGTCATTCGCCCAGTCCTATAAGATGATTCGCACGCTGTAGTCATTAGGTAGATAGCCAGACCACGCGAGGTACCACTTCAATTAAGGCATATTAGTTTTCGCTCTCGCACTGCGCTGTTCCAATCGGACTCGTTGATGTACGCGATGTTCACTCTCGACGACACGTTCCCTCTAAACTCTAACTCCATTGCGATGACTTGTTTCTCATATCTGTTCGTTGACACCTGAGATGCAATGAGAATGAAGGTAGAAGCTCCATTCATGCTTGTGATTGGCTGCTGCTCGGTCGCAAGACAATGCCCGATCTTCCTCCCTTCCTCATTCAAGATGTTCTTGCCATAACGCTCCGGCATAGGGTACCACTCAGCGTGCACTCCATTTCTACCGTCTTGATCTAGGATCTGATAGAGCTCAGTCGTTAAGAACGCCTGATCTGTCCAAAAATATAGATAATGTTCGTCGGGGGTGTCGCGCAGCTGCTCAACCGTCATTGCTGGAAGCTCCATTAGTATGTTCTCTAGAGACACCGACAAGGTACTCGTCGCTGTCATAGAAAGACCACTCATGGACACACGCTTCAGCCTGAGAGGAGATTGACGGAGCGTGTAGCACTCGATTTCCGACTTCGAGACGATTCTGGCTTCCTTGGTGCTATTTGCTTCTTCTTCAGGGATATCATCCCACTGGAACGGAAAGCTGGCCTCGAACGCGACTCGACCTTCCCACCCCAGCCAGGACCATGAAGGAAAGGGCACTCTGCGCTTACTAGATGCGACGGGATGCGTCGTCAGACCTGGCCTTCTTTTCAAAGTGGTATATTCGAATCTACCCCAGCACAAAGACGACTCGAAATACGCGGTTGGCATACCCCACAAGAAATCGGATCCTGTCAAGCTCTTATGTTGCTGCAAAATAGCGGAGAACGCGTCCATCGCATCTCCAGCATTGGTCAAGCATCTTCCTGAATACTGAGCGACTAGGAATTTGAAATACGGGTTCCACAGCCTGTTCGGGTCCTCGCGAAGATCTGCAGTAAGGGGAAAAGCAGCTATGGTAGACATCGTAAGCGAAGTGTCCATCGCTGTTTCTTCAGCCCACTGAACTTTGTTGCAGGACCAGAAGACTTGCTGTTCGGCAAAGATTATTTTGCGTCTTGAAAGCTCATCTTCCTGAAAAGTCCACCCGCGCGAGGCCCATGGGCAGCCGATTAACCAACTAGCAAAGCCAGATGGTGTCGGATTTAGGGTCGTCAACAAGGATGAAGGATTATCTGACTCAGTCTCAGGCAGAGGCACTTCTACCTGGTGTTTGGTTCGCGGATAGCTTATCCCAGCAAGCCCAACGTTGGCATGCTCTCCGGAGGCTGCAATGATGGTGACTAACGCGCGCGCATATATCTTGCTCATGTTGTCGATTTGAATCGACTGGTCAGTATGATTGTCTTGTATAATGCAGAGGGAGTCGACCCAAAGGTACTGAACATTGAGAAGTCTTGTCAATTGAATTGCGTCTACGATAGTCTTCGCCAGCTTTCCTACGAGTGACTGAGGTTGCTTGAGTTCGGCAATGTTGTTCTCTCGTAGTATTAGTCGTTGCGCTCGTCCCCACACATAACTCAATGCTGCAAAGCTCTGGTAAAGGAGGTCGCTTTCCCGAAACTCGACAATATTGTGTTGTGTCACGTCTATGAATCGAAGTTTCGACACCTCGTCACCGGGTTTTTCGTGCAGCTTATTCACAGAGTAAGCCACCGATTTGTGTTCTGACCCTAAGGCCTCTGTTGAAGATGGTGACTCCTTTGGGAGACCACACTTATGCTCTGCAAGACAATGCTGCAGCCATTTGCATGGCAGAGCTGAGTCTAGCATTGGTGGTCGAATTTTTCCATTAAAGATCACCGAGCCGAGTTGCTCTCGTGCCTCCGGAGAGTCTGGGCCAATAAATTCCGCACGGGCTTCTTTGTTGTATGTCTGAAAGCAATTGGTCAGTCTTACTTTGGACGCTACGCCCTTAGGAATATCGTTCGGCCCCGCGTATGTTATGGGGATCATCCCTGGGAAAAAGGCTTCGCTGATATCAGCACGATGCCAGCAGAGTGACAAACGCTCGAGGACATAGTGTTGTTTTCCCTGCCAAGTCACGTCGTCCTTCGGCGACATTCGGATAGTTTGGTCTAGATAGGCAACACACCATGGATCATCTCCCAAACTATGTTCATTCCATTTCTTCCGAGTTTCAGGCCATTGATCAAGCAGCAAGACAATTGCTTTGCACAGGGGGGCAAAACGAGGATCTTCTTGCTATGTTGCTCTGCAAACCAAGACTCCACTGTGGGAAACATCTGTACGACTCCTCTATTTCCTGATAGGGATACCGCACTGGCGTTGGACCTCCAGAGTTCATGGTTTTCACATCTCCGACAGTAGGTAGACCGAGATATTCAAAGCGAATGCAAGCGCAGAAAGCGCATAGTTGAGCACCGTCGTCCATAGCGGTATGCTTATGGCTTAAAGCTCAAGATGACCTTGTGATACTGACTGAATACCCCCACGCAGGAACGATTGCGGGGTAATCTCATCCTAAGGTTAGCTTCTATTAGTGCGTATATTCAGGCTGTGGTCCGAGAACAAGTTGACGGAAAATTGACGGAAGCGAGTAGAGCGACTAGGGGAAGTAACAAGGTGGTTATATCAAACCAGAACACCTGTCTCGACAAGTTAGACCCAGTCCCCTCCTTCGCGAGTATCCGCTGCCTAGACGCCATTCCCAACTTCCACGTCGTACAAGACGACCTGTAGATCAAGTAGCCATCTCACCATAATGTACTTCTCCGCGTGATCGCACATGCGGGCTTCGTTCGAGGATCCCCGGGGTTTCACACTCAATATTTTGGTAGCCCGCCGGGGAGTACCAGAAGCTGTTCGGCAATACAGCGAGACGTGTCAGATACCGTGCGTCATGTACGTCAGAACTGATGAGGTGATGCCGACCCAGCAGACACATTTGCTGATGAAACCGAGCAGACATGCCTACATGCCTATACTCAGCGTCCAAGACTAAGGCCGAGATGAACGCCTAGGCGTAGGCCAAGTTGTTGGCCATTCCGGCTTTGGTGGTCTCGCCAGCTCCTTTTGTACGTATGCTTATCATCTTCACGATAACCGTGTATGATCAATGATTGTACACAGCGGTTGGATGATACACGTCATTTGTTCTCTTCCCATGACCCTTTGCCCTTGAAAACATAGTTTCCATACTCTGTTTGTATTGCCACCAATCGTCATTCCCCCTCTCTTGCCCCGTCGGACAATGCCTTTGAAGGAACGTTGTGGCGACGTGAGCCGGATGTACTTTCAATACTCCCATAAATCCATCGACGTATGTCTTGGAAGGATCATGAAACGTATCGACCGCATTCACATAACCTGCTATGAGATGCGAGGTCGAGACTGGCACACCATCTGAAGTGTAGTTTTTATCAAGGTAGGGGTCGCTGGGAGGATGATGAAGAGAGGAAATCGCATCGGCATCGGCAAAGAGAAAGCTGTCGTGGCGGAGGCCAGATGAGAGGGCAGAAGGTACGGAGGAGTCAGAGGGAGGCGTGCTCATGTATCTAAACTGGTCAGCAATGGGGGCTCGTGCCCTCAGGATTCTGTAGGCATACCTGCGGAGTTTCTCAAGACTTGCCCTATCCAGCCTCTCTTTGTCATCGTCAATGAAGTGAAGCCTCCACATCTTCCCGACAAATTCTGAGCCAGGGCAGTCCCAGAGCCCAATCTTTGCGGATTTACTCAGGTGCTCCTTGAACTTCATCCATGCCACTTCATCACTGTAGTCTGTCCTCAAGCAAACGAGACCCCACTGGGGATCAGTTCGGGCAGCGAGCTGTGCAAGCCAAGGAATCTGCAAGGCTTGACGGTTGCACAACTGATCTTCTAGACTTAGATGTGAAAGCCCCTCTTTGCGCTCTTCGTCGATCCGCTGACCTTCTCTTTTAGCATTGGCCTTAGCCATGGCGTATTCAGAGTCAACTGTGGCCTCTCGGGCATTCATCCTGTACAACCTCAGCTTCACAACAGATGGTAGCAAGACGTCGATTTACCATAGCTGTCCCAAATCACCTGGTTGCTTGAGTCTGTTTATGTCTCTTTGAAATCTGTCGAAATGATTATCAAGTATGTCGCGACCGGTGTCTAGAAAAGCAATCTCGTCATGTGTGAGGTCTGGTGCTCGAACCACGGCGGTCTTGACCAGCTCTTGCCATGTCACACCACAAGCTTTGAGACACCGTTCATCTGCCACAGATTCCGGCACCCAATCTTGTAGGTCTTGAATGTCCTCCTCCTGCAATTGGTCTGGATTCTCGATAGCTTTTCTGTATAGGTCCAGTGTCTTTTGTGAAAACGGCTCCGGTTCCGGCCTTTTCAGAATTTCAGCGGGAAAGAATCGCTCAAACTCCTCTTCTGTGCGCGGCACCTTCGTGGATCTAACGCTTTCAGATGGTTCCACATAGACATCGAATGATGAATCGCCCTCATTGTATTTCATCTTGATCTCAGGCCATTGGCGTGTACGTCGGCCGTTGGCTTCTGTTGCTCTCATGGCGGGCGTTGACCGTAGTCAGAGGAGGGGAAGGAGACCGGCCACATATTATGGCACCGCGACTTCGGGAGTGAGGGTATTGGTCTATGGCAGGGTTCTGACCATGGATGTTCACATTTTAGGTGACGCATTTGAGTAGGATAGAAAGAGAGGACAATGGAAGGCGAAGGATAGAAGTATGCCAAGACCACTAAGTTTGTCCTATACTTAAGGTTCAATCGCGGTCCTTCACGAACCAATCAGCAACTAAAAAGGAGTCACTCTTGAATGCCACCAAAATTCGCCCCTAAAGTCTTTAATCTATCCAACGGACCCCAGGAATGACTTTGACGTCTTCAGATTGCCTATCCGTCTCTATCCAAGACATGATAATCTACGGTAGACGTCGTCGCCCCCAGCATTGGTACTTTCTCGGGGATGACCCCTTTGCCCACACCTTTGTCCGTGCGGAGTACATGATCCACGAGCCTTGATGACGCCGTCTTATGTTCTGTCATGACGATCTTCTCGGCATTCTCGTAGTATCTAGGTGCAAAGCCTGCACATCACTCTGATGTTTCGCAATGGTCGTCAAAATCCATACGACTGGAACTGGTTAGGTCTTCGCTGCAGCCAGTCACGGGCGCCAATCATGCAATCTAACACGACCAGATGGAGACATCCCCTTTGAAGGCCGCCAAGATCAATGGTAGTGTCATGGATTGCTTTGTAGCGATCGGAGAAGGCTTCCATTCCTAGCCCTGATGACGATTCAAAGTCAGGAAAAGAGAATACCATGATGACCTGGGAAGTAGTCAGATTTGGATTTAGCCAACGTCTCATATCTCACATTATTGATATATGAAAAGTGTCCTCAGCTTGGCCACTGTCTTACAGAGTAAGACTAGTAGTCTACCATTTATTATCATTCCATGTATTTTCGGCCATCGGTTGTTGTCCCGCCCAAATTCGAGCCTTAATTCCGTCTAAATTTCTTTCAGATTGATAAGATTGGACAGATTCTCCCTCGATCCATACAATTACCAGATACGGTCCCCTGGAGTGCTCGGTGTTCTGATTCGCCGCGAGACGTGTAACCTCGTTTGCGCCTCCTGGATAATTTGGTGAGCGGATAGTAAAGCTTCCGGTTCCAAAACCATCGTCCTGTAATCTTAGTAACGGGGTACGATATTGCATTAGAAAGGGTAGCCACTGATCTAGGGCGGTGTTTCCCGATGCCTCAAATATTGTACTCTTTCGCCTCTCTGAAAAGTTCTCAGACAGAGTCAAATCATACGCGACTGTGTGAAGGAATAGGCGCTCGCCACACACGCCGAATCAATTTGGTTGCTGAGAGAGGCTTTACGCCACCGTAGACTGGCGAATGTACTATTATGCTGCAGTCAAAATACTTGTTAGTGAATGATGTGTGGTTGAGATTCATCCCAAAGGCTCATTCATTAACCGGTCTTGAAAATCGGATGTGAATTTTGCGGGTATATGTTAGCGTGTACAAACACAGTCCTGGTGGACCCAAGTATGCTCTGTTGCCATCTCACTTTGCTTTCTGGTGCAGCCGGTTTCCGGATTATCACATGCTCACGCAGGGATCGCATCAGCATTCTGTCTCCAGAACTCGCATCTTTTCCCTCGTCCACCTTCCCAGTTGTACGCATCGACCAATTTGATGTCCGGGGTGACATCACCATACGCTTGCGCGGCCACCAGATCATCAATGGTATAATTTCTAACGGCGAATCCACCAGTGACATTGAAATTCTGCATGACAGGCTGACGGGGACTGTAAGGCTTCCAACCGGGATTGTTATGGATGATAAAATTGCCCCATGACTCTATCAAGGTAGATCAGCACTCAGATTGTCCAGCCTTATTGAGATCGATGAGCAAGGCTACTTACGCCTGAATAGCCGAGCGAAATCCGCGGGAATGTTTTGGGTCGGGTCAAAAAGCCAGCCGTTTCCAAAGAGATCGGCGGCATGAAATGCAGGTGGAATGCTGTACTCATACTTCCATGATGTTCTGCCGCTGCCGGAGAAAGCTTCGGCCAGCCAATAGGCGATGCAGGAGAAGGTGACCTCAGCGTTGAGATTCTAGGAAAAGGTTAGCCTTTGCGTGAGAGATTGATGAATATGCAGTAATACGTAAGCTTGCTGCTGCGGACCAACGGCGAAGTCGGACACATAGAGCGCAGTCGGTGGTGAAGTGCCAGTGGTGGAGAAGGGCGTTGTGACACCCGTCGACTCACGAGGATCATAGACTTGAAGAGCTCGAGTGATCATGTCCTGGTTGAATAAGGGCAATAAAGTATGAATATAATTGACGAAGCCAGCATTGGTGGTGATGTCATGGGGTGTGAAAAATGGACCTTCGTTTGCCGTGCTCTGAGAATTGTGGTCGTTAGCAGTCGTTCGTAATATGTCTGCGTCCTTGTTCTTACGCTTGTCAGCAGCCGTTTGCCATTGAGTGGCTTCCCTGCGAGCAGCTGCTTCGAGGGCACTTGCTTGATGAACACGTCGTCGGTGACAGGTACGAACGCCCACATACCATACCGAGCTTACAGAAGTCAGCTTTCAATCCAAGCTTTCGGATGAGAGGCTTTACCGGACTCGGTCACCTCGTAGTTGGCTTTCTGCAAAGTTGCGGTGTCTTTGCCCACCAAGCAGCCGAAGATGTCTGGCTGACCAGCGCATCCCGTTGCTTGCACGAAGCGATTGTAGAAGTCCGTCGGCATAGAGCCATCGTAATGATATTGTTGAGGCAAGTAAGGGCTTGAAGGTAGGAGGTTAGTGAAAAGCTTCTCGGGATCCTTTCCATCATATGCTATGGCATGAAGCATCACCGAGCCTCCACCGGCAGAATGTCCCGAAATCGTGACGGCATCCACATCACCACCGAACAGGTTGATATTTTTCTGGACCCACTCAAACGCGAACCTTTGATCTAGAAGTCCCGCGTTCGAGACACCTCGCTTGTGCACTTCCCTGGAGGAGAGAAAGCCAAACGCGCCAAGCTAGCAGAAGATTAGCTCAGAGCCAACTTTCTCTTTTTTTGGGGCGTATTTACTCGATACTGAATGATGACCGCGACGAATGCGTTTTCATTGGCGCGCATCAGGGCGACTGGATCGTAAGTGCCATCACCGGCGCCGTAGCCACCGCCATCTAAATCCCGTCGTTAGTGGAAGATAAGCGAGGATCCACGAGGATCTCCGGAGACACTAACGAATCCAAACAAGGACTGGTAACTTTTTGGCGTCGATAGGGGAATAGACATTGAGAAACAAGCAGTCCTCGTTACCCTCATATCCCAGACCTGGCGGCTCAGTGAACTTGCTGCAGGTTCATCAGCGGGACAAGGCTCTGCAAGGTTCTTGGAGAATGCTCACAGCACTGATGGCGCTTGAGGACATCGTGGAGGGTATTCGACAGCAGAGATGATAGATGATCGGTTCTTTTTGGGCGCCTGAGGGGGTTGCCATCTCTGTCTACCTGTTGGTGAGGCCGCATAGCGAATACTGCAACAATGCGTCAGCACATATCTTTTCCACGACGCAATTCATCAGGGACGATTACCTACCCTCGAAAGATGTTCAAGCCCAGAGTGTCATTTCTCACGCCTTGATATCTCTCATAACCGAGATCAACCACAGGGTTGTTGCTTCTCGGAATAATGACACAGTAACATACGTGGATGCTGAACAACAAAGCTTGCAGAAGATGTATAGGACTCATCTTCGCGTCGCAGGAAGTGCTCAAGTCTCGATTTCAATCGCCTGGGGAATAGTTGGTCACAGGGAACGTTATATACCCTTGCACTTGCGCCAGTAGTTTACACGCATCAGAATTCCAGGTTGACCTCCTGCGGGACTGCCATCTGGAGTTGGGCTGTGAAAGCTTCTCTCCTAGGGAAATAAGTCGAGATCTAACCCTTTGGCATAAATATCGACTAAAAGATCGACAAAAGTATATCAATTGAAGCATATTGATAAGGTTTAGCAGCCCAGCAAATTGATCTGGGCGATCTGGAGCGTCATTGAGAGAGGGGAAAGGGATTTGCTACTCGCCGGCAGTCTTGTTGCTTCGGATGACATTACCCTTCTCTAGCGAAAATTTATCTCCGCTTGCACACCACGTCCAGTCACCAATCGACTATATGTCCCGTCATGGAACAGTCAGTCAGCCTTCTTGGGGACGTCAGACACAAGTCAGCTGAAGATACAAGCCACATTGAATAATTTATAGTCGGTTCGAGGTTGAAAAGTCATCGGACAGGCTACATGGCCATCAGCGATGGCATCAACATCTCTTCATGTCCTCCAGCGCCAAGCCCAAAGCTTATATCATCTCAAAGGCGAATGTGTGTTCCAAAGGACCGATAATCTCTCCACTTCCGAAGGGCGGAGAAATTAAAAAAACTCCAGGTAACAACCTAGATGCATTTAGATCTGCTGAGCTTATGCTCCATCTGAGTACCATGCAAGGCACGCTTGGGACACGCATCATGCCGAAACTCTGAAATCATTTTAGCTCTATCTCGATGAACATCTCACAGCGAGCATTATAATGGCTGTACGCGGTCCATCGAGTCCAGTGCCCTAAACCTTGAAGCGAGGGCCACGTGAGAATTCGCTGCTAAAACAGTACCTAAGAAGTTCCTGAAGTAGCCATTTCAGGCGCTCCGGCGAAGTTAAATTTGTCTCGATGTCATTGTTAGCGAAGCTTGTAAAGTCTGTTCATATGGCATCATCGTGTGACGGCTGGTCTCATGGGTAGTGATCATGTAAGTGGCCAAGATGCAGTTATATGAGATTGCAGATCGATGACACTATCTCCAACAGCTTCAGAGGGGGAGCGATAGCTGGTCGCTAAGCATAATATGCGATTCTTAGCTCGATTGCGCAACAAGAGCTGGAGCTTGATTCTCAGAATTCATATTCACTAGGCCATTGGATCACAAGTCCAAGCCAACGGAGATAGTCTCGGGCTTGAGGTGATGGAATGACAGCCTGCCTGGTGGATGGAAAATGTGCGAGAGGTCGGGATGGAACGAAGGCGGAAAGCTTCCGCCAGCAATGTTCGGGGCGGAGTTTGCACACCTTTATCTCCGATAGTGCATGCCAAGCCATGGCCGATCTGGGCAACGGCAAGATGATCATCCTTCAGGTGAACCACCTTCTCTTGCCTAGGCTCGCAAGTCAGGATACCATGAGTCGTATTTGCTCATCTAAATAATAGTGTTGAATTCATGAGACGTCGGAGTGCCAATCCTTGCAAGTTTGGCGCCAAGAGTCCGTTGTTTGACTCTAGCCTGGTCGCGCCGTGCCTCCCCCGTGCCGATGGCGAGCAAGCCAATCTTCGGTTCATTTCCTGGCTCGATACGTCAAGGCTCGGTGCGTCAAATGACTAATGAAAAGCTCACCTCTCTTGCATCGCGCCTTCACGGGGATTGGATGGACAGGCATCCTAGATCATCATGTAAGCGAAGCTTTGAGAGCCCATGGAGCTCTTCACCCTTGGTCCTCCAGCCAGATGAACATTTAGCGTACACCAATATCGAACGTCTCCATCTAGTATGAAGTCGCCGTGGCCTTGAAGCGGAGGTTTCATGTCACGTCAAGAACGCGCGTCTTGAGGGTTTCCGCCCCATAGTAAGGTTATTACTAGCTCTCATCGATATGGTCGAGACCTTGGTCCAGAGAGCAGTTGAGTGAGGAAGCCCCTTTTATTGGCTTATTTCGATTGCGTTAATTCCTGGAGAGTGCGCTGTTCTGCACAAAGCTATTACAAGGTAGACTGAATCATAACGCTGCACGCATGTTTGAATACTTCTGTTGATCGCTAGGTATTTCTTTTAAAATTCGAGCTCGTTACTTATAAGCTTTTATTGAGTGTCACAAGAAGTCATCGGAAGCTTGTATGTGCAAGAGACTAAGAAGCACTCAAGTCAGTCCTACACGGCGACCTCCTCAACTCGTAAAACCGCCCAGTACGCGTGTTCACTCAATCTGTCTCAGTCCTTCTCCTTCTTTCGTTATGCGAAACAGTCGGGCTTCAGCCCAACACTATGCTTACGGCACGGTAGCACAAAGACAGTTCCTCATCTCTGTTGCCTGGTGCAGGCGGTCCATGCCTGTCTTGTAACACTTCTAGACCTTGAACAGGCCTACGAAGTTGGTCATGATCAGGCCGGCCGAAGCATCGATACGCGACTCACCTACGAATAAGAACCTCAGTCGCTCGCAAGAAGTTCAGAGATTATCAATGATGCAATTTCACGAGGAGGCCCTTCAGTCTTGTGTGTCTTGAAAAAACATGCTTTTGATTACATGTTCTCTCGCCCTGCTTTCAGTGCAGATTCTCTGTCTGGATCTGAGCGATATCAAAACTTTTACGACGCAATTCACCGAGGACGGCAAAGATGTTTCTGTCACTGTAAACGTCACAGCTCAGACCATAGTTACAAAGGCTGGTCTGGCTCTCTCAGGTGTGACAGACTATGATGGGGACGTCGACACGGATGCGTTAAATCTTATCAACTTCAACGGGTGTAGGGCGTGGCAGCCTCCTATCATCTATTCGGGGTGGTATCAAGCGTACAAGATTATGAATCAAAACAAAGATGGTGTCACTGATTGGTACGTCTATCTTCAATCAGTTGGAATCAACTTTATCGTTAGAAGTTGCTCCCGATGACCTTTAGCTTGTCAAGTGAAGACGATGTGGCACCTGTTCGATGTTCAGTGGTCTGGCTTGAATCCGTGCTAAAATGAAGACTTCAATCCAGGAACGAGGCGGCCGCAATCGAATATCTCGGACCAAATTTGATAAACAGACCCCAACAAGCCCAAATAAGTTGTGCGTAAGGATAATATCCAAAATCCATTCTGCAAGCATCGCAGAGGTTCGTTCTGACTGTCACAGCGCTTCTTACTGACTTGAATACAATGAGAAACCATGTGCGTAATTCCGGGGACGTAGTCTAAGCAATCGAGGGTCTCTAACGCATCTTAAGTGGGTACCCTTTACCGGCTGGAGGCTGCATGTCCGATGTGACGATCCTGACAAAAAGTGCCCATGTCCGGATGGATCAGAAACTTATGCTTTGACCGTCAACAAAGACAAGGACTCTGGTATCGCGAGAATCAACTTTTGTCCTGCTTATTTCACAATGCCAACTCTGAACCAAGCACTCCTCCATGGGAAAACCAATCCACCAGAGCTTGCCCTTGATTTGACTCAGTATTCTAAAAATCAAGGTAGCCCCAGAATTCAGCAATGCTGAAGCACCATGCTAATCTATTTCCAGGCTCAGTCTGGTATCACGGTAAGTAACGGCAGCCTTCATGAGGACTCGGCTTCACACTAATTGGTGGCGGCTACATGCTGACATATCATCAGAGCTCATGCACATAGACTGGGTTTCCAAAGCACGATCATATGGCAGCAATCAACACATCACCGACATGAACCTTCGATTTCAGGACATCGGCGGGCAGGCGTGGGAATCGAAAGCATACAATCCCCTCAAGGCGAAAATACTCGCCCGCTATCCATACAGAACCGGTGAATGTGAGCGAACTCCCCTCACTCTCTTAATGCAGCTGACGTCTAACTCCTCCGCAGATGTATGGCAGAACGCTGACAACATGAACATGTACGGACTTGCGAAATATGTGCAGAAACAGCTCGGCAACGTCTATCCAGCCTTCCCCGCCGTCACAGAAGAGAACCTCAGAGCACCATGGAAAGACGTAGTGCGGACTCAAGACGACGGCAAAGACGTCAAATGGAACTCGAGCAACCCGGTATTCAAAGCGCTGGATGCGCGTAGTGGGGATGGCGTGTCAGGATGCAACGACGACCTTGACGGAGCACAAGTAGTCCTGACCATGTCGGCCCTCATGCCGGACACGTCCTATCCCGCTGCGTATCAGTCGCAGTTGAAAGCCTGGGCTTCATCGCAAGGAACATACGTGCCTCCAGCATCCATCACATCCACAGTAGAGCGGGCGCAAACACCCACGGGGCTATGGCCAGCATGTCTACTAACCGCCTCGTAAGTGTTTCCCCATTCCATCCCCTATAGCTGTTCCGGAGACCTCGTTTCCCCAACACCAAATGCGCTCGCTGCCCAATTATTCTAACAGTGACCCAGCGCCGACAAAACCTTCTGCACCTGCGACGCCACCTCCGTCAGCATCACCACGCACACCACCTCCGGAAAAACATCGTCATACTGCGCCAATGGCTCTGGGCCGTGGGGGCCTTCAGGCTTCCCCTTGGGCCGGCACCAGCCCAAGAAACTGGGGAAACCACTGCCAAAGACACAGGCAAGAAAACCACCACCACGGCCGAATCGACGGCGACGACGGGCACGCTGACCCTCGCGGGCTGCGAGGACGGCTACTTTAATACGGTGGCGAAGACGTGCATTGAGCATTGCGATGGCGGCAAGTGCGATGCGGTCGCGAGCGGGTCGGGGCCCGTTACTGTGTCGTACTTTTGCTCGTGCGCGGGGGATTGAGGGCGTGGGATCGTGTTTTACTATATATGGGCTAGAGATGATTTGGGGAGTTGGGGAGTTGGGAAGTTGAGGAGTTGGAGAGTTGGGAAATTAGGGAGTTGGGAAGTTGGGGAGTTGGGGGAGAGGGGGAGGGAGGGAAGGGGGGGTGGGGGTGGGGAGGAACAACGCGTCAGGGTTTGGATTCTCAGCGCCACGAGATGGAATGTTCTAGAAAGGAGGGGAAATGAGCATTGGTGTATGTGGGAGAAGAGTGTGCGGAGTGGTTATGGAGTTATTGGGGGGGGTAAGGACTGGTTCTGGTGGTGGAATGAATGGAAAGAAGGAATTGCTTTCAGTAGGTATATACTACATTGATGATTTCAAGCTCATATGTATCCTTGCACACCCTCCTTGAGTCGACACTTGTGCTGTCGTTGCTCATGTCTTCGTTGCTCAATGTCGTCGTCACTCGTTTCGTTACTGGTCGCTCTATATGATATCAGATAATCGATGCCCATGTCTTCGTTGCATTTCGTCCTTACTTGAACTTCCCTTGCACTCTGTGTCTATACACCTCTCACCCATGTCTCCTCCATCCTTGCACTTCCTATCCTTGTGTTATCCCTCCTCGTGCGCACCACTCCTGACACCTCGGTTCCTCGTTGCCCAGTCCTCCCCTTGCTCTGACGTGTAATGAATGTCCGTTTTGGCATAGCGTGATGGCATGCTTTGCATCACTACTAGGGTATATCTGCCGCTTTTGAGACCATGATGATTGTGACATCATCCCTTGGATGGCGACAAATTACCTACGTCGCCTCGCGATTTGAGTGGCATTGTGCGATGAACTGCTGTGTCCATCTCTTGCTGAGAGCCGCCGTTACAAACATAGTCCACGTACGTGTCTCTATTCTGAAGTTTTTTCGTCGCAGATTTGAGGCTGTCCCTTAGTCGCTTCTTTGTTTGCAGTGACATTCTGATGAGCCCTCGGCTTGTGATTGAGTCATCGTTTTGTGGATCTCGTTTGTAGCGCTGGCTTGTCTTGCTACTCATGTATGCTTAAGACATTGGTTTGGTACCGCTTTGTGTTGCCAATCCAGCTGCATTGAGGTATTCATTTCAGTGATATCCGCCACTACAGTTTCTATTTGACTTGCTTTTCTGGTTGCTTTGGAATGCTGGTCATCGTCAGGATGTCGCCATGACCGATCATCTGGCTCGCTGACTGGCATAAGTGACAGACTGTTGTTCGATATCTGCCTTGCCGAGAGCCGTCTCGACGTGAGGATGGGTTTGATTGAGTGTACTCTAGTCGAAATCGGGTCTGTAGCGATATTTTGATCGGTAACACGGGCTAGAATGAGTTGGATGGCGTGACGAACTCGCCATATGCAGAGTCATTGCTCGGCTCAGGACGGTCAGTGAACACCAATGCCATGCTTTTGTAACCTTTTTGACTCGTTCGGGTGTCCGTATGCTGCCAGAAACAAGTTGTTTCTTTGCAATGAAGGTCGTATGTTTGAAGATATGGTGGTGCATCGGGCTCTGTTGTCAGAGATTTTCTGTGGTCACGAGCCGAGATTAGGTCGTGCTTTGTTCCTAAGAACCACCGATATGATAATTTGATGTCATTTGCCCCTCATGAGAGCAGTAGTAGACAGTATTCAGGCATAGAAAGGCTGTTTTCCAAGCTCCAGGTCTCGTTGGCGTCAGGACAGCGTCGTGTTTCAAGCCATGGGAGTGTACATTGTGATCATCATGAGGTAGATATTTCATTTGCTCTACATACTCGCCGCCATTTGTGTGAATTGTTTGTGCTTTGCCATGCCCCGTATCTGTGCTTTGTGACGCTCACAAGGCGTCAAGATACCCTTTCCTCCGCTTCCAACACTGCAATTTACTGTTGAATCGGGTGTAGCCCGCCGTATGTGTATACACTGTGGTGATGATGCGGCATATTGATAGTGTGCTCCCAACACCAACCACCTCTGTGATAAATGTGGTCTGGTCCACCGACCAGGCTTGACTGCTTTGTAGTAATTTCGTGCCTTGATCGCGCTGTTGCCGCTGCTCCGACCGCCGCTTGGGGTTTAGGTGCCTGGCCCGCCAACCAGGTATATTTATTCTTCGATAAGATTGTGGCTCGACCTCGGTGGCCTTCGACTCTACCTACCGCCTAGAAGAGAAATAGCTGGCCTCCCAACCAGGTATATCTTCTTCTCACTGAAAGTGCGGGTGTAGATTTGCCTGCTCCGTCTCCACCGACCACCTGGAGAAGAAGTGCCTGGCCCGCGAACCAGATATGCTTGTCTTCGATTGAAAATGTGGGTTGATTGTCATGGTCGTTTGACTCCAGTCGCCAGCTGGACTTGTCTCGTGCGGGTCGCCAGCCCGCGGGATAAGAATATGGTGGGATGCCAGCCCACAAAAGAATGTCTCCGAATAAGAATATAGTCTGAATAGTAATACTTCGATAAGAATACGCCGCTCGTAGGGTATGCTCTGGTGATTGATGCCCGGAATAATGATGCTCGATAGTAATGGTGGTTGTAATTCGACTCGCTTTTGCTAAAAATGCTGATGGTAATGATGCTGAATAACAATAGTGGTAGAATAACAAAAGAAACAATGAAATTGTGGCGACTGCGTGGTGTGACGGCACGCTGCCAAGGCAGATTCATTGTCGCAGCGTCGAGCGTGCTGCACGGCGGTGAGCTATCACTTGAAGAGCGTGACCTGCTCACCGGTCGTTCGGTGGTAGAGATGGTGTGGCGAGGATGCAGCTCGAAGAATGCTGCCTGGTGGTGAGCTGCTGCTCGAAGAGCGCAGTCTGCTCACCATGGTGGTGTGACCGGGTAGAGACAGAAATTGCCAGCAGCGTCGAACGTGCTGCCTGGTGGTGAGTTACCACTTGAAGAATGTGGCCTACTCACCGGCGGAGCGGTGGGAGAAGTGATGTGGCGAGGGTGCAGCTCGAAGAGTGCTGCCTGTGGTGAGCTACCGCTTGAAGAGTGCGGCCTGCTCACCCCGGGTGGGTTTCCGGGAAGAGGCAGAAATTGCCAGCAGCGTTGAACCGGGCTGCTTTGCGGTGGGCTACTGCTTGAAGGGCGCAGCCTGCCCACCGGGCGGAGCGGAGATGATTATGGCGTGATGTCGGTCTGTCTCTGTCGCTACTGCCTGCTAGTGGCTACCGCTTGAAGAGCGCGGCCTGCCACTAGCGGCCTCCTTGTCGGTCGAGCTTTGTCCGTAGTTTGCCCTGCGGCGAGAGCCTATAGTTGCGCTCTTCGATGGGCATTGCTGCCCATGCACGGGCCTCGGCTCGCTCTTTTCTGGCTTTGATGCCATCGGCGACAATTTTCGCGCACCGCTTCTCGGCGTCCTCTGGTGACCGATACTGGTCAAGCTTCTTGTTGACGTCCTTGGCAAAGGCAACAATGTCGGCTTCCGTGGTCGTATCGTCCTCAAAAACGAACTTTGGGAACACTTTCTCCCGCTTCTTGGGGGCGGCTTCTGGCGGAGGGGTAGGTGGCGGCGTGGGGGTGGTGGGCGGAGGCGGCGCGTGCGGACCTGCCTTTATTCGTTGGCCTGTCCCGGTTTGGAGCCAGCCCTCAGGCAGCTTGCAGCTGCCTGGGGCTGACTCACCCCCGGGACGTCGGAGTTGAGGCGGAGGGGAGGGAGAGTCATCTTTTTGCTGCCTGAAGCAGCAGAACAACCACAAAAACATGGTTGCGGTGGTGGTGTTGGTGTGGTGGTGGTGGTGGGAGAGCGGCGGAGAGGAAGGATCCAGGCCAGAGGTTGCAAACTTAGCAAGGATTTATGGCGTGTCGGAGTGAGTTGTAAAGAGGGTATCTTTGTTAAGAGTGAATGATTGTCTTAAAATTGGTTAATTGCTATGTAGTTCGAGAGTATGCCAGCCAACAGGTCCCCAAAGTCTTCCGATCTAAGGGGACAGAACAAAGAGGGGAGAGGGGGAAGGGCGAATATATACTAGACGCCAAGAACTTCTGCCGGACTTCAGCCGTTTACTTTCTCATTCTACCCTCTCTCTAGTCTGTTTCGAGCGAACGTGGCAGAGGCAATAGAGTTCTTGCTCCCTGCAGCCTTCAATTCTATCTCTCTAGAGAGAATCTGCCCGCTATACCTATTTTTCTATAGCTTGACGCCGCAAGTTTAGTTGAACCCATAGAAAGCTGCCTCTTTTGTCTATTTCCCCACTCTCCCAGGCCTCTATTCCCCGAAAATCTTGAGAAGTCTACCCTTTGAAGCCGGTTTTCCAGATATTCACGCCTGTGATACGCACTCAAGGTCCGTGCTGTGCCAGTCATTGCGACCACCGAGTATTTCTCTACACGCTCCTTTCCTCGCGCCATTTCGTCCCAATGGCTTAAAGATTATCGACATACAGATGTGGTGCCATAATGCCTGGAAAAGGGGCGTAATGTAGCCCCGCTTAGAAGCTTAGTCTCCATAAATAACCCACAAGCGCCGGGAATTGACCGCCCAAAAGGCGTAATTTTCGGATGCTAGCAGAGTATTTACTGTGTATGGAAACGTACCAGTGACATTAAGGTTGGCTCCCGTGTACTGGGCCTGCCATCTCTACCACAATTGCTGGTTGAGGCTGTTCATTGTGCCAATCATAAGACATGATAGGCGGATCCACTCTCAAAAAAAATCTGCAGTGGCGCAAATGTCGCCGAATCCACCTTTTTGTTGGTCGCAGAGGCTTCGCAACCGGATGACCCTTTGGGCGGTGGAAACTTCGAGAAGACGAGTGAGCGTACCCAGGCTGGTCTGAGTCTTGGAGGCAGCTCTGCATCTGGTTATGGAGTGTGAAGCGTCAAGAGAAATGCAAGGATTTGGCGGTGAATGGCAAGTGCCTTGTGCAACTTGCGACATCCACCCACCTCCATGATCAATTACTCACTCAGGTGGAAGTCAATACATCAGTTCAAGTCACTGGTGGCTCTGAAATCACCAGTGTTCATATCGAATGACCAGGCTCTCTGCTCCGTTGACTGCCAAAATGACCATCACCCTAGCTATCGCTCTCTCAAGACTGCGACCGCGTTATTACCACAGCATGCAAAGTGGCGCTTGCAACGAGCTACGGGTTCTCAACTAACGCCAGATAAGTTATGATGAAGACAAAATCGAGGTAAGATAATTTCGGGTGAACAGATTCTGAGTCCTCGCTCTGGATCTAATTCGTTGCTATACATTTCCCCTGAACGGCAACACAACGCAGTAATGACCTCTCATCTATACTCAAGCGTTGCCCCGGAGACCGCGGTGAGTCATGGTGTATGGCATTCTGATTTCAATGGCTGACATCCATCCACCATATTCAATCGCGAAGCAACTGAGTATTTACATGGCAAGAACAGCGTCCGGCACAGCACCATTTCATGTCGCCGAAGCCACAGTCTCCTCTCAAGGGACCGGTTCGTCAGAAACTAGAACAGGCACCGATAATCATCTCCTCGCAGCGCTACAGGGTTTACAACACACTTGTGCAAATTATGAGTCAATGCTTTATATTCAGCGACTTCTACAGTGTCTACGGCGACAGCGATTTCAGGCACCTTTTAGATGTCGCTACAAAGACAAGTAACCTAGCTCAACTCGGATGGGCACTCCGTGACCTTTCGCCGACGCCAATCTCCAACGCCGATCGACCTTCTGGGCTCTATCGATTGCGATAGACACCAATTCTCAAGGTTGGGCCTCTTTCAATCTTCCTCATGAGTGCAGAATGCCGATCAATCCGCCCTCCTCTACATCACAGCTGGAACAACACTGAAAGTAATTCTTGTGAGTCTCCCTTCCCGCGCTGTTCTCGAACAAGACCACAATACTGATTTCGTGAATGTATGTACTCCCATGCGGGGTTTTTGAGTCACGTCGCGCAGCGGAAGAAGAATCCCCAAAGATCCTTTTCCGAACACACATTCACGGCATTACCAGCTACTCCATTCCATTCGCGACCCCTGATGGGTTACAAAGACGTCTGCGCTATATTTTGATTATTCTTCTGCTTGCCTGGAAGGTGCGATGTGAGCTTTTGCCCGTCTTGTCCTACGAGGGGTTTACTGCTTGATCGAGGGTTGTGAACATACGATTTGCGCTTCCATTGTTTCCTTGGGTCGTTATTGAGGGTGCATTCTCTTTCTAATCGTGTCACAGAGTTTGTTCCTGTTTTCATGCTTTAGCAACAGCTAGACGCTCGCTGCCATGTCTTACAAGCCATGGTTCTGGTCGAGTCGACGACAGAGGCATGGATTCAAGGAAGGAGGTTGTATGATCAACTTACGCGACTTTGATGAGGACTCGAATCGAGGAGCTCTTTTGTCGTAGCCGGTAATAGCCGGTCGCCTGGTCAACTCTGAGCGATGAGAGTTTTGGTAGTAGTGGCGAAGCATCGTTCCTCAAGGTTACTGGCCATCAAGGTACATACAGCCATGCTACACTTCTGCATTGACAGTCTGCTCATGTCATCATCATCGTTGGTGTAAAGACAGAGGGATGTTCTTGCCTTCTTTGAATTGTCGATGCCGAGACATCTTACTTCTACTAAGTTCATTCCGCGACGCCGCAACTTGGGAAAGAGCTGTCATGTCGCTAAGAAGATGACGTAGAGTCATTCAAAGCTTTCATTGTACGGTAATGCTAACTCATTGTGTCTCGACGAGTGTGGCAGTATCAGCAGGAAACGGCTGCTTTGACAATTTTGGCGACCGTCAAGTCGCGCTTTCCCGACGACTTTTTCGAGCCTCCGAAGTGAGGGTTCGACACTCAGATCTCTCGCATCCAATTGTCCCTCAGACCCATTCAGAAACAGATCGTCATAAAAACTCGTCAGAGAATGCACGATAGCTGCAGCCTCGTTTCACTCGCCACCCTTTGGGAGCTCTGGCTGTATCTTTAATGGTTGCTTCAAATCTTGACTTACAGCAGCCCTCTGGGGGCTTGATTGCGCAATAGGATCAATATCATCGAAACACCCATCATAGACGACTATATTGCGTGTGATGTAACGTCAATCGTGCTGCGAGTCAACGTTGTAGTTCTTTCCTTTCCGTCCGGAGCCGGAACTATTTCAAAGCGCAGAGTGTAAGAGGCAACCCATGTCTTATGACGAGCCACTCGACAGACCCACTTGTTGATGGGCCTCCGATCTTGAGTAGGCTCGCTGTTGCCAACTTCAGACATCTTTCAGATCTGCCAAAGTATATTTCCATCGACGACAGATATCGCACCCAGGTCTGTACTCAACGCGACTTCGAGGACGGACGAAAGGGATGGATGATACACCCCAATCAAATGCACAAGATTCGCATGCAAGATGTACTCTGAGCACTGAGTCTCTACGCACAGTTTATGCGATTGCATCCCGGCAATTGCGATATAGACTCCAACACAGCTTCTCTTTCTTCTCTTTTCCCAATATCCCAAGACGTAATTAACCACGGCCTCCAAATCTCATTCATCATCAGACCTACCCACGAACCATTCATCCATTCACACAACAACCCCAACAATAGCCTCAAATCAATCTTTCACGACTCATCCTTTCAATCTCCCACTAACCATGCTCGGATGTCTATGCGGCTTAGTGGGCGCGATATTCGGTGTCCGCATCCTCAAACCGATATTCGAAAACGCGTCCGACAAAGCTCAAAATTCATTCTCCAGAGGTCGTCCTCGTTCGCGTTCTAGTTCGCGTTCTCCTCCGCGTTCTCGTTCGTATTCTCGTCCGCGTCCTCGTCCGCGTTCTCGAGAAGAAAGATCTTCGCGTTGATGTGGTGCAAGTCCCCAGTCAAGCCACGGTATCTATGCCGATGCGTACGCCGATGATGAGAAAGAGATATCAGAAATACAGCTACATCTGCTACCTGGTGAGATGTACGATAAGGGAACGATCTTGCTATGCATGCATGAGGTTGAGAAGGTTTAACGGTGGCATGTATTGGGAAGGGCAAGAAAATTCATGAGAAATGATGGGTCCACCTGAAGCTCGGAAGCAAGTATGTAGCATTTACTATCTAGAGTGAGTAGATAGTTGTCTGTCAATTTGTGTATGTAAGGATGAATCGGATGGATTACGTTGATAGCAATGCATGTTTCACAATGTTCTTTCCGTAAAGTAATGATTTGAGAGGCTGCACTTGCCTCTTGAAACACGGGGCTCCAATTTGTTACAGTGACCGTAGACATTACAAGGTTTGACTGGATCACAAGATTTCTCACATCTTTGAACAACGCACCCAGCTCCACCTTGTTTGTCAATAGATGCCAATTGCGTAGAGTACACGAAGTGAGTTGTCGCAGATCCACGATTGAATCGCAGGTTCTGTAGAATTGGATGTGCCACAAAGGACCAATTCAACATTCTTACGCCAGACGATTTCTGCTCTCTACCCATGCGAGATCTCACTGACCAGTACCCTGATTGAAACAACACGAAACATCTTCTAAGACAAAGTACTAATGAGCCTGGCCAGTCCGTTGCTTAGAGCTGAAGATCATGCAACAACGGGAAGGCACGATCCAAACAGATCTGCAAACACCGCGTCAAATTTCTGTCCTGGGACACAGTTAACAATACTTCAATCATCTGGTGACGCGGTCATGGTATCAAAGCTGTGATATATAACCCACCCAGACCCCCCCTCTGACTTTGTCCATCAAAGAACTCGAAAGCACATCAGAACTAAAAACTTCCAAATTTCTACACCATACATACCCAACAGCAACCCAAGTCCGATCTATCATCCAAACTCCACTACCTCAAGACAGTAATCAAAACAACCAATCCACCAACATGAAGTTCACCGCCATCATCCTCGCCATCACCGCCCTCGTGACCATCGGCATGTGCAACCCAGACGACCCTAACGACATGACCTCCGCAGAAATGTGGGCAGAGATTGAAGGAGGTGGCCAGGCGGCATCTGATTCTGGCATCGTAGACGAGGCCGGTGAACATTAGCGCTCATATCACGACGTATCGCGCGGAGCTGGACTCAAAGCGGGATACCTCACATCAACGAACAACATGACTACGTCTCTAAATGAATGGCTATGGAAGGGCATAGCATAATAATAGCTAAGCTCAGCACTTAGGACAGGATTACATGCACATCACAGCAATTATTTACAATCATCAGCCTCATAGTAGGAAACAAACTGGCTTACGTGATCCCCAATATCGCCCTGCCAATTCCCGTGGCTTACGCCCTTGAACTCAACCCCCCTCCCTCCAGTTTTGAGTCCCTTCATACATACAAACAAAAAGCCCTCCCTCTCCTCAACCGCCGCACTACCCCCCTCCCAAAACCCAGCAAAAAAACCCAGAGTCCTCACGCATCATTTTGATACCAAAATCCCCCTGCCCACCCCCGTAGTCCCAAACCTGTTTTTTCACGCACTCGTACTCGAACCCGCGGAGGGGGAGGGGACAAAAAAATTGGTTTTAGCTCATTTTAGATAGATGTCATCCTTAGTGCAGGGGCCATGCTAATCTTCTCTGGATAATTACTCTTGTTTCATATGCCCGAAGGCAGGTTTTTATTCTCGAAAGTAGGACTTTCTTATTGTAATTATATACCTTTTTTTTATTATTTTGGGAATCGGAACGTACTTTGTGCATTGGCGATCGGGATGGGGGTGCAGTATGCGAACTTTTTCTTAAAGTGAGTGAGTCTGTTGGTGGAATGAGACTGCGCTGAATACTGTGTTTTTGCGCATCTGGAATCTGGCTGTGTGTTTTGAGACTTGGATGGATTGATACGTTCTGGACAAATTATTTCTCTGGGGAAAGCTTGTGTAGAATTAAATTGGATCAACTCCCAGTTCGGGTTCTTTTCGAGGAGCTTCGCGCAGAGAGCGCGTACTTCATTCACGTCCTGACTGCGCATTCATCAAAAAATCCGACCTGGGGCTTGGTCCAACCTGGGGGCGATCTCTTGTAAGGAATTGTTCAAATCATATATACAAGTATGTCTGGTATCTAAAGGCTCCTACGGAAATCAGATTTCATACTACACTTTTCCTTTACTTCCATCTTCCTTCTCGTGGACCGGCTCCGCTGCTTATTGCTTCTAATTGCTTATCCTTTACACTCGCCCAGCCTACTTTGCGTCCAGAAGACTCGAATTCGACCATCCATCCGATTCTTCCCCGCCCAATTCTCCGACAAAACAAAATATCTAGCCGCCATAAGTTGAGATTCGCAGACTCCCGTTTCCGTCATCCACTCCACAAAACCTCACTCCCACTTTCTCCCCAGCAGGCGGAGGCTGTCTACTACCAGCCCTAACATGTGGCCCTTACCACTCTAAACATTAAAGCAGTCATAAATACGATCGAGGGTATGACACCCCTTCTTCAAGCCCTCCGACCGGTGGCACACTCCCATAAGCCACCCTACACGGCCTCCATCATGCCATCCGCATTATGCGCCCCTGCATCCAGATGCCTACTTATCAACCCCGTCCGTATCTTCCAAAAGATCGATCCCCCCTCCCCATTCCCCAACATCCAGATCATGATTTAATCAAATAGTAAGAGCTTGATGGCGTAAGGCGTGGGTTGGCCTATGGACATACAGGTCTTTCCATATCATGTAAGCGCCTTCTGAGCAGGGGAAGCCGCCGTTCGCGCCACCCAGGTCGTAGGAGCTGCCCTGAAGCCGAGCGTCGAGGCAGTCGGGCACGGCGTAGATGTGAAATGAGAGGTTTGTGGTGGAGGGGGAGGGGTTGGTGGGGGAGGGGCCGCGGATCAGGCCGGCGTTGGGGTTGGGGATGCGGGTGAGCAGATCTGCTGTAGTGATGAGGTTTGCTGTGGTGAGGAGGGGGGAGGAGGGGGAGGAGGAGGACGGTTGTTGTGGTGGTGGAGAAGTGCATTGTAGGTGGGGCTATCTTTTTCGTGCTGAGTTGGTGTGGTTTCTGATGTGGGGATGGGAAGGAGCTGGATCTCTTGGTTGGGTTGGGTTGGGCTGGAGATAGGGCAGGCGCGATGATGTATCTTCTTAGAATGGTCTGCTTCGATGAGGATTTCTGCGTGGCAGCGAAAGCTCTGGAGGGAAACAAAGAGGTACTAGCTATGGCGGTTCCATCCTGGGATGGACAATGGGGTTGAAGCAATCTTTCATCACTTACCGCTTTGTTCTTCAGGTATGTGAAAGCCGCATTACTGCCCAGCACAACACCCTGCAGGATTCTCTACTTGGATGAAGGTTTACCAGTAGTCATCAGCGAAGTTTCGATTAGAAGGCACTCTGTAGAATGACGGAAGTGAAAGGATTATTGCAGGAAGTGCTTGGGGCCTGGAAGCGCGTCGCAATTTCATCATGATCGACGTTCATTTCACAGTTCATCACCGCACAAAATACATGAATGCAAGATTTTAACCGACTTCTGCTTTATCTGTTGGTAGGATTGACGACAGTGCGTTTCAATCGTAGAAAATAGTATGGAGATAAAGCATAAGATAGCATGCGCCAAGTAAGCTATCTTGACAGTGACGAGCAGAAGCAGCACAGAAGGAACTCGACGCGAGTAGCAAAATGACCCGAGAAGAGGCAGTGTTTGGCTTTCCAGCCCCATCCATTAATTTCCCGCATCTTTTCAGCAGGAAGTTCCTAGGCGAAATAAGCCAACAGATTTCCATTTCCACGCATCCTTGCACGCAAACACTTCAGAGATTTAAATATGATCAGCCCATCGTCACCGAAGCTAGCATATTTGGTTGAAAAGACAGCCAGCGCTCCCATCGTATCGATCCCGATGATGGTGATGTCCATCAGCCCCACGAGCGCTTTTTAGCGTCCCGTTGCCTAATCGCCGAGATTGAATGAAGCGGGTGAAGATGCTCTGGTTATTCTTGTTGCAGCAGGCCGAGTTCTGTCGGCATCGGCAGCCCTTGCGTCAATCGTCTTGGTTGAACTGGGGATTGGAGCCGAAAAAATGGTGGTAGCGAGGGTCATCATGGCGACGAAGAGGCTGGAGCACTTCATGTTTGCTGAAGATTGTTAGATACTGTGGAGTTAGTATTGGCTTTTTGATTTGTAGTAAATGTGTGTGTGGTGTGATTTCTGGGGAGGAGCAGAAGAGGGAGATGGGGCATAGTATTTATCTTTTCTGTGTCCTGGGATCTTGTTTCGTGTTGACAGCTACTGAAGCAGCGGATGATTCATGCATAAGATGGCCAGACAAGGTGTGCTTTTTGGGAGTCTGACTGGTTGGATTGCGCGCTCGTTGTTTCATGGGATATTCTCCCAGGCGAATGAGAGGTCATATTTAGGTGCGCCCTCTTGGGTCTTGTGTCATTGTGTTTTGCCTTCACTGCAAGTCAATGGTGCCCCATACCAATACCGTGAGTTCTATGGAGAGCAAACAATGCTTCACGAAAATCTCTGTTTCATCGCAGTAGAGGGGGCTGGGGTTGGGTGGATGTGTTTGCCCGCTGAGCGGTTGGCGCAAAGATGTGGGATTTATTTAAGAGGGGGTGGGGGAGAGGAGTGGTTTGGGGTGATTCGAGAGATAAGGGGTTCTTTGGTCATGATTTGTGCAAAGAAGAGTTGGACGCAAAACATCGACCTACACTGTTGGACTTGGGATGGAGAATCTTTACTTTTCAAGTAAGGTTAGATCAATGTTTGTACTTATCTGGAAATTGATAGGCCCGAATATGAGACTTAACAAATGGATGTACCTAACCCGAGAAGTAATGTTTGGTCCCTAAAGTTGGGAAGTTGACACAGTGGCCGTGAAAGATACGCGTGGCGTTGATCGTGTCTAAGAATTGAAAGCATCCCAGCTGCATACTTGCAAAAGTTCACCCTCTTTCTGCCCAAATTCCATGACCTGTTACTTATTCAGCAGTAGCAGAAGGATCAAGAGGTGCTAGAAGGACGGCGTCGCCGACCCTGGCGATTTCGTCGTTTCTTCTCCGTGTCCGATGGCTGCACAACACTTCCTGCCGCAACTGGTACACCGCCGCTTGTATTACCGCTTGTGCTGGACAAGGGAGCGCCAGAGGTATCAGAACTCGGTGCAGTCTGTGCTGTCGTTGCCGTGTTATTCGTCGCAGTATCACCCAATGCGGTACCTGTCGAAGCATTTGTCGCATTTCCTGCGCCCGTGCCGGAACCGCCAAAATTCACCGTGACCTGCCACAGGGCTCTCCCCTCGCCAACTTTGTTGTCGGCGCCAAAATACAACTGCGCCGTCCCGTCAGTCGTAAGCGTATCGCCCTCATCGCCGATCAATGTGGGATACTTGCTCGCAGGATACTCGCCACTTTTGGGGGGAACGATGTACGTCGACGGCTCCCAGGTATATAGATCCGGGCTCTTGGAATACGCGATGCCGTCGCCCCAGTGTCCCCAGACCATATGAAAAACGTCATTTGCTTTGTCGAAAATGATGCTCGGGTTTGCGCCGGGGTTGTTGTTTAGTGCTGGGACTGAGGCGTCGTCGTCTTCGTTGCCAGTGCCGATAAAGCCAGGCGATGTAGCTCCCGAGTCCGCCATTACGCGTGTCCACGTCCCCGGCTTCGCCATGGGTTCTTTGGAGATTTTCAGCCCGAGACCCTTCGTCTCGGGGGAGAAGATCGCCCATTCTCCCTTCTTGTGGTTCCAAGCGGGCGCGAAGTCCCCGCCGCCCGTAAAGCGGTGGCTGTCGTCGCATTCTTCTGTTTCTTTGCCAGTGGTGACGATGGGAACAGAGCGCGTCCAGGACTTGCCGAGGTCTTTGCTGTAGCGGACGCCGATAGATTTGTAGGTGCAGTCTGTGGCGCCATTGGTGCCTTGAAAGTAGTCCTCGTTATGTTCGAAGCCGATCATTTCGTTGGGGTCAGCATCAGGTTGAGAGGTCTCGCTCAAGCGGTATGCGCCAAAAATCCAGACAGAGAGTTCGTCGTAATTTGTGCCGTTGCCGCGAAGCCCAGTCGTAGATGCGTCGGGGATGGGGATGTCGTTTTCGAGACTGATGAAGTTGGAGCCGTCATCTTTGCCCTCGGATTTCGCCGACGAGATATCTCGAAGTTCGATGGAATCGTCGAGCTGGCCTGAGGTGGATGTCATGAAGTAATTGGGGGTACTGTTGAGGATGAAGCCTTTGCTTTTGTCATTCGGGTCTGCACGAAACGACAGGAACTTTCCGTCAGGGACGTTTTGGCAGCTGCCGCAGCCCCATTGTGCCTTTGCTTTGGTTTGCATCAACTGATTCATTTTAGGCGCCCCGTCGAGGGACGCTGCTGTAGCACTGCTGGCCAGCAGCAACGCTTTCAGTATGAAGCCCATCATCCTGCTTGGAATAAGGGATGTTCAATGGACTGAAAAGGAATGGAACGAGACGACCTTGCGTCTCTTGAAGAATGAATGGAAGAAAAGCGAACCCGGGCACAAAATGACTCGAAAGCAGAAGGACATGGCGACTCTTTGTAGTAGAGGAGGCAATTTTGCAAGTATCAAACCCTTGCTGAAAGCAGGCGGTAAGGAACGTACACCTTGCACAGGTAAATAAGAGCGCCAATAGACGTGCTTTATCTCAGATGATGCGAGGTGAGAAAGGAGCCGCTTTCTGATCCTCACGGCATAAATGCTCCCCTTAGGACCATGAGATTGCACAAGTCTCGGTTTGAAACAAATAGACCTCTGCGGGGAAGACTGTGAGGACAGGGTACTCCAAAGAGATGATTGAAAAGTCGACAGATCCGACAATTTCAAGGACCAGGCATTGCTGTCAGCCATTCGTCCAACTACCTCTCGACGCTCCAGGCTCTAATTCCTCTTTAAAGACAGCTTGGGGGATGAAAGACTGGCAAAGGTAGAGCTGGAGGGGCGGCCATAGCGGGCGTGATAAATTAAAGGCAGAACCCTCCCCGCTAATTCTGTCTCACGTCGGCCCGCTTCGATGAAAGCGGAGAGACAGGCCCGCACGTCCCGCTCTGAGGCACCAGATGCTGAGCTGGGACATGGCCGATTGAAGAGATCAACAAAAGCCGGTGTCGACGGGGCAAAAGCGCGAGACCGGGGATTTCATGATAAGATGTCAGGCGACGGCGGCCAGTATCCAGCTGGATTGGGTCTTCGAGGAGGTCTGTAAGGCCGCAGTATTTATCATTAAGGCGTGTTCAGAAGAAACCCGAAATGTGCGAGTCTCTGTCATATTGCAAGGCCGTGTAAATTCATTGCCCGGCAGGACGTAGGAACTCGAGGCGTAGCTTCTAATAGCCCGACAATTTCGTGGAGACTTACGATCTCCTCCGAGTGTACGCAAAGACTGGCGCATTCGTATGTCGCCATTGCTTTTGAGTCGTATTCTCGTGTAGGAAATCTCTGTTGAGAGCGGAAAGTTGGCAGTTCAGAGAGGGAGAATTCTCCTCCTGAGGATGCGCATTACCTCATGCGCATTGGTCCGGCTTCCACCCCAAATGGCCAGGACCATGAATCTTGCTATTCTTTTTGAAGCTCACGATACGACTTTACGCCGTACCTCGCATCAATGACATTCATATTGATCTCCTATCGACCAAAAGCAATGGACCGCCCTGTGGAGCGCTCGGACTTAAGCGGCCGGGCAGGCTTGTTAGCGTGTGATGGATAAAATTAATTCCTTGGCATGAAAAATCTTCTACACCCCTATACTATTTTATATAAGCTTATTAAACTCCTACTACTAACAACTATTTCTATTGCTTTTAAAGCTACGAAATTATAATATATTTAAATCTTTATTATAATAGCTACTATAGCTTTTTATAAAACTAAGAATTTTAAGAAAGTAGCTACTACTTTTTTTCCTCCTTTTTTTCCTTTTCCTTATTATTATCGTTCTTTTTCTTCTCTTTCTTCTATTAATTTTTAAATTAATTATATTCTTTTAAGGTTTAGTTTTCTTATTATAAGTTTAAACTTAATTATCTAATAGCTTTAAAAAGATTTTTTTTATAAGCATAATACCTATATAAATAGATTAGAAAAGATAGCTAATAAATATTATTATATTTTTAATTTTAAATAGTATTACTAATTACTTAAGGAAAAAGTAATATTATAGTAATTAATACTAAAAAATAAAAAAAAGCTATAGCAATCAACTTTTCGAGATTATTATATTAATAATTCTAATAAATTACTAAAAACGTTTTATAGTTAATTACCTATTATATTAAATATTTAATAATATAAAATACTTTCTAATAATAATATTAACTTTAATCTTTATTTTTAAACTAAGTAACCTATTCTATAGCTTAGTCCTATTAATATATATAATCCTTTAAATTATTAAAAGATTAATAAAGAAATATTATATTATAATTATTTTAATTATATTACTAAGGAAAGATATTAAGATACTTAAGATATAGCTTAAAATCTTTATTAATTGATTTTTTTTTTAATAATTAAGATTCTCTATTAAAACAATAGTTATAGTAGTGAAGAAACTATTAAAATTTTTTTTATATTAATATTAAAATTTATATATATATTAAATACTATTTTCTAAGTAGTAGTAGCTTTAAAAAACCTAAATTTAAGAATTCTAAAAAGGAGGATAAATATAATAAATTATAGAATAGTTAAAATTATAAATATTATTTATATATAATACTTAAGAATATAATAAGTAGAATTATAAAAACTATTATTTAATAAGGCAAAATTAATACTTAAGATTTTATTATTAAAAACTATTTTAATATTAATCTTTAGAATAAGATTATAACTAAAATATAAAAAAATAAAATAAAAAATATACTTAATATTATAATATTAATAAAAGCTAATACTAATTAAGCTATATAGTAAAAGGTTATAATTAAAAATTTATTAATAAAGTTATAGTTTAAAAATATTAAGCTAATAATTAAAAACTAAGCTATTTAATAGAATATTAATAAACTATTAATTATTAATATTGTCTATATTAGTTAAGTTAATCTAGATAATTCTATAAAAGCTATTATTAGTTAAGCTATTAGTTCTACTAACAATTTCCTAAGATTAATATATACTAATTAGCTTAAAATACTATTAGCTATTAGATAAAATATTAATAAAGATATTAAAAAAATTAAAAAAATTAAAAAAAAGATTATTAATAATTATAGGAATTTATAAAGTTTATAAAATAATAATATTAAACTAAAATAATAGATAATATATTTAAATTTATATAAAAACAATAGCTAAATAACTAGTAATTTATACTAGCTATTAAGTTTAAACTACTTTATTTTCCCCTAAATTTGCTATTATAATACTAGCTTTAATTATAAAGCTATATTATTAATTTTCTTATTTAATTATTTAATTTTATTTATTTTTTAAAAAAATAATAAAATTATATTAAAAGTATTCTTTATATAATTAATATATATTAAAGGTATTAATAATATAGATTTGCATAAAACTATATTAAATTTCTATAAAATAATATAAGTTTAGTATTGCGACCTTAGTATTTAAATTAGTAAATAGTATTAGCTAATTTAACTACAAGTTAGCGGATTAGTTCTCCTAGAATATAAATAGTAGTTAGAAAATAAGTAAAGGCAAAATAATGAAATAGAATTAAGTTACAACTATTTTAAATTTTATAATAAAAAATAGAATTTATATTTAATATAAAGAAATCTATTTAAAGAAAAGAATAAAAAATTTTATATATACAACTTTATTTAACCTATTTAATAATACTTAACTTTTAATTATTTTAAGCCTATTTCATCTAGAGGTTGCTCAATGCTTTTAGTATTTAAATATACTTAAGTACTTCAACTATTTTTTCCTTTTTTTAGTTATTCTTTTTTATAACCTAGTATGGCTATAGTTTTTATTTTATAGCAGTTACTTAGTTATACCTATTATATAAAGTTATAATATTATCTCCTTTTTTAATATAATTAATTTTAATTACTAATTTCCTTTATTATATAATTCTTTTAATTATATTATATAATCTTTTAATAATAGTATTTAATACTATTATTATACTTCTAAGAAAAGAAAGCATTGTAATTATTATATTATTATATATTATTATAAAAACTATATTTCTTAAAGTTCTAAGTATATAAAAATTAATTAGTTAGTTTACTATACTAAGTATAATAAATATAATTAAAAATATAATTTAACTTTTTAAAAAAAAAGATAAATAAGTAATATAATATTTTTAATAACTTAAATAAGCAAGAGCTAGTTACTTATTCTAAGCTACTATATATTTGCAAAATAAAGTAATTTTATTTAAAAAAGCTAAATTAACTAGGTAATTTTAATATAAAAAATATTTTAAAAATAAAAGAGGATAAATATTATAAGGAAAAGCAAAAATAGCAATTTAATATTATATATTTATCAATTTCTATTTTTAGATTAGATCTAGCGATTAATAAAATTTTTTTTTTAATTAGTCTAATAAATAAATAAAAGTTTTATTTATTTTTGTTGTTACTGCTAGTAGAAGCGCCGAAGCTTCCCTATATAATTAAATAATAAATATTATTTTAATTTTTATATGTTTTTTTTCTTCTAAATAGTTCTTCTATTTAATAAAATATTAATTATATTATTTTTTTAGTATTTCTTTAACTTTAAAAATATTATTTTCTTTAGGTTTATATCTAAATAATATTAGAATAAATTCAGTATTTTTTATTTTTTTAAAAAATAATATATAAAAAATTAAGTATATTTTTATATTGTCTAATTGTTACGGATTATAATGAGAAAAGGATAGGGATATCCCGATTAGGCTTAGCTTAGCCCTACCCAGCTTAGCATAAGGCCCTACTCCTACTATAGCTCCTTAGATAGCTTTCAATTAATCTATTATCAACTAACTACATTGCATATATTACTTATTAAGGCCTGCACCTAGTGCGTTTCCTTACACTAATAGTTCTAGTTTATAGTTAATAAGTTTTTTTAATTTCTAGATTTTAAATAAGCTAACTTATAAGTAATTTAATTTCTTACTTAGTTGTTTTATTCTAAGATTTTTTATATAAAACTATATTTTATTTTATTTTTTTAGCTAAGGTTTATTTATTTTATATTTATTTTCCTATTTTTTTATTCTAATTTATACTTTTTCTAAAAAATTTATAATATTTTTATATATTTATTTAAGTTCTAATATATATTTAATAGCCTTCTATAATCTTAGTAATTCTTTTAATATATTATTTATATTTAAATTTCTTTTATAGTTTATATAAAATAATATTATTTTTATAGTATTTAATATTAAGTTATTAAGTACTAATTCTGCTATAAGCAAAAACTTTATT